TAAAGGCCACTGCTCTACCCATATGTGTTTACGTGGGCTCCACAGGAGGGCTGGAACATGGGGAGCAGTGGTCCCTAGCATTGGGAGTGGCTCAGGGTGGGCTTCCTCCGGTAGTGTTTCTCCTGGTCATTGCCTTTCAACCAAGGGCTGGGGAGAGGGGTCCCCAAGACCTTGGTTTTCACTTCTATCTTTTTAGTGTTGGTCGTTTTGGGTTCGCTCTTTATCAAAATCAGCCCAATTTTGCTCTTCTGCTTCCTCTGTAGGAGTGGGAGGGACCATTGGCCTAATTCTTGAGCCTGAGCCTCTCTCTTCCTATTCCTCCCCAACCTTGGGTGTGGCAGATGGCTGACCAGAAGGTCTAGTCTCAAGATTGGCCTTTCTTGCTCCTGCCGAGATTGGGGGTGGGGGTGAAAACAGGCCTTAAGGTCCTTGATAGTAGGGTGAAACCCCAGAAGAGGGTCTTACCAAGTGCTTTTCTCTTTCTACCACCAACCTCCCAACCCTTTCCCAGGTTTCCCAAGAGAAGTGGTTAGCAGCTGGAACCCAGGACGCTAAAGCTATGATGGTGTTCCAGGTTTTTGTTGCATTTGCACCTGTGAGATCCAGCCCTCTAGATTGAAGCATGATGGGGAGAGCCTTAATGGCTGGGTAATGCTTGGTTGAGTTTGCATTACCCATACTAAGAGTCTCACTCGCCTTGAGAGACCGCTTGGCCTCGATTGTGATCGCCCCACGTTGGGCGCCAGTTGCAGTGTTGCCGCTCTGCAATTCCTCCCTCAGAGGAGAGGACCGAGGAAAGGTGAGAACATCGTCCACCCCCAGCCCCTGCCCGCCACAAGGACAATCCAACTCAACAGGGAAACTGGTCAGGGGCAGGGACAAGATTTATTGATCCAAGCACGTGTTTAAGTAGGCTTCAGGATAGGGGCAGGGCTTCTGTGGGAGGAGTTTGATGATAGAGGGTGGAGAGACTAGGGTGGGCCAATAGCACCAGTTACCAGGCCGGGGTTACTTTCTTTTGCGCCCTGATGAATCATCGCTATACAGAAGTGCAACTGGAGACAGGTCTCCAAACTCGAGGCAAGATGGGGCCTTTAGGCCCGGCCTGGGCGCAGGCCTGGGGACTATCCCCAGGCCTGATGTCCCCACACTAATTTACTTTCTGTCTCGTGGCTTTATAATCTTATATTTGTACTGCCCACCCCGCTTGCCCTTCATCTGCCATCTCTGCCTCCCCCTCTCCCCGCAGTGTCTTCTCTGTCTCCCAAAGTCCTGCCTATACCTCCTGCCTAAATATTGCCAATTCAGCTTCGTATTAAACCAATCAAATGACACATCTTCACACAGTGTACAAATATGTAGTCCAAGATAGCTCTAAATATACAGCAGTACAGGACTCTTCCTTCAGCACTTCCTGACTGCTGGGATTACAGGCAGAGTGTGCCATGACACCTGGCTTTTTCTTTCCTGATGTTTGTTTGTTTTGTTTCATTTCCCTTTTTTCCTGGTTCCTTGAGTGTAAAATTAGGTTGTTAGCTTGGCTTTTTTTTTTTTTTTTTTTTTTTTTTTTTATGTAGGCATTCAGGCCTGCAAAACGGCTCACTTCCACGTAAAATCACTTCCTACCCATGCTGGATGATTTGAGTTCAACTTCTTGGTGCATGCCTTTAATCCCAGTACTTGAGAGGCAGAGACAGGTGGATATCCTGAGTTCGAGACCAGCCTGGTCTAACAGAGCGAGTTCCCATACACACACACACACACACACACACACACACACACACAGCCTTTTACAAGTGTAAGTTTCCATTTGAACACTTTTACTCTATCCTACCAATGTTGCTGTGTTTTTCTTTTATAATTCCTCTCAGATTGGTCCCTAATGCCCCTTACTTTTTTCACTGTAAGTGAAAACATTAATTCCCATATTTTTCTTCTGCCATTTTTTCCTGTTTCAGGTTTCTATTTTCATCTCATTATGGTTCAGAGATGGCATTTTTATTATTTTTATTGTGCTAAACATACCAAGAATTGTTGAACAGAGATTATTTCTGATGTCTTAGTCTTTTCATACAAAATTATGATCAATTCATGTGAAAACATACAAAAATTATGCTCATTATACATCTCTATCGTTCCACACCTGCAGGGTTTTATCACAGTATGCCTGTGATGAGCTTTGTATTGATCCTGTTATACATTTCCATTTGTCTATTAAATCATAAGTTGATCTCTTTTTTAAAGATAGGGTCTCCTTGTCTGGTGTAGTGATTCCAGAGGCAGAGACAGATGGATCATTGTGAGGTTGAAGCCAGCCTAGGCTACATAGTGAGTCCCATGCCAGCCAGGGCTATACAGTAAGACCTTACTATTGGAAGATGTCATTCTGTATATGTTTCTCATACTGATTTAATGAATAAAGCACTGTTGGCCAATAGGAAAGCAAGATAGACGGGACTAGGAGATGAGGACAAAAGAGGAAGTAGTAAGGAGGAGTCAGCATGGAGAGTCTGGAGAAAGCAGAATGCCGGCCTGCTCCCTGGTAAGAGAAGACCACGTGAAAACGACGCCCAAATTCCCAAATATTGTTTATAAATGTTTGTTTTCATTTAAATGGGGTTGGTTATAAATGATTAATGATTACAACCAATATCTTTTTAAAGATAAAAAGGATATTATGATATAGATATGATTACTTTGTTTTGGAATGGATTTTCATTTATTGCTACAATTTAAGGTCAATTTTGTGATATGTATATTTCTCCTCTTGTTTAAGTATTGTTTAGAAATGTAATGTATAATTCAATACAGATTATAGATAGTACCTATGATAGTCAGATCTTATAGTTAAGTTAGTTAAGATTTCTAGATATACAGACATGTATTTGAGATAAATAGGCATTCTTCAAACCTTTCAAAGACCTACAAAATATGGCATTTAAAATGGTTGACAGTGAGACATAACTGCTCCTGGCAACTCTACCTGCATCAAGAAGGAAAATGGACCTTGAAAAAAGGAGTTATAAAGTTTTCTCCCAATATGGCAAGACTAGCCATTTGGACAAGATACTGCTCTTGTCTGGACTATTTGATTTCATGATGTATAAACTGGACATGCAGAACTCACAGAAAAGTGACTGCTGATTCAAGATGGACATTGCTACAGAGTTCCTGCTTCATGAAAGGGTCTGCCAGACAGTCTGCAGGACACACACACACACACAAAAAAAAAGTGACTGACAAACTGCCAATACAAGAAAACAGTTTAAAGTTTCCTGCTTTGCTGAAGAGTCTGCCAGACACACTATGGCCTATGGGCTAAAGATGGAAGGTTACAGAAAAACTTCAGGTGACTTACCAGGCAGTGAGTTGTCTCTTACATTTCTAGAGTTTATATACTATCCTTCTGTGGTCTTTAAAGGAGTTAAAGACGGATAGTTATGGTTATAGTTTTCCTTAGTTAAGCTTAAAGATAAGTTACATATAGGACTTTAGACTCACAAATATATGATAAATAATAAAATAGTTTCTTTTAGTTAATGAACTAAATATTGTTAACTGTGATTCTTACTTGATTACTGTTGTGTTATGTTATATATTTTGCTATGTTAAGGTTAAAACCCTTCTTTTTATTTGGACAGAAAAGAGGAGATGATGGGAGATGCCATTATGTATATATGTTTCTCATACTGGTTAATGAATAAAGCACTGTTGGCCAATAGGAAAGGAAGATAGGAGGGACTAGGAGACAAGGAGGAAAGAGGAAGGAGTAAGGAGGAGTCAAGATGGAGAGACCAGGGAGAGCACAATGTCAGCCCATTCCTCGGTAAGATGAAAGCACATGGAAATATGTAGATATGTAGATTAACAGAAATGGGTTAATACTTAAGACAGAGCTAGCCCATAAGAAACAAGTAACTGGTCAACAGAATTATATCAAATACAGAGTCTTTGTGTGTTAATTGGGGCTGGGGCTGGGGCTGGCGTGGCAGCGGGCCAAGACCAGCGGAGGGCGGAAAAACCTTACTCCTTACACCTTACCAAAAAAACAAAACAAAAAACAACAATAAAAATGCTGTCTCCCTTTGCAGCCCATCCCAGCCTGAAAGTAGCTGTTTGGCCAGGATCTACTTGTATTCTTCTGGCCTCTGCCTCCCCACCCAATGCTGGGATTATAGAAGGGAGCAGTCAAGTCCAGTATAAAGTGATTATGATACAACCTCATAAAGTAGGTTGTATGATGAAACTTGAACCCCACACCCAAGCAAAGTACCTTGTCTACAACTATCGTGGTGCCAGAACTCAGATCCATACCTTTTACAATCACTTCTCTATTCTAGACCTTTTATTTTCATCTCACTCATCTTAATCTGAGGAATCAAATATTTCCAAATTAGTCCCTACTCAGTACATTTCTGATCCTAGCACCCAGGGCCCACCCACTCGAGACTGTCAACCAACTGAGCTGTAGAGTGGTGGATGCTCAAATTCAGGAAGTTCCCATTTTCTCCCGCTGATGATGCTGACAATCGAACCCAGGGGCCCACGAGGGCTAGTCAACCTCTTCAGCCCTAAATTCTCCTGTTTGATCCCAACCCTTTGGGAAACTTGTTTCTTACCTGTCCTAGCTTCCCAGCACTCTGCCTAGCACCCATCCACAATTATTTCTGTCAAAAGTCACCATCCATTCTCTCAAAACTCCAATTTTGGGTTTACCTCTATACCCCTACTGGCCATTTACAGTCTCAAAAAAGAAACTGAAAGTCTTGAACACTAGGCTGATCTAGGAAGCAGAGTTCAGCTAGCTGGAGACAGGCTTTCTTGGCGGCTGGCGGAGATGACAAGGGACAGTCGGGAGACACCCCCTAAGGGGCGCTGGGGGCAGCGCAAGCCAGGGGTTCTGGAGGTGCAGCCACGGCCCCGCCCCGTCGCGCCGCGCCACGCCCCGCTGCGCCCATAGCGGAAGCACCGCGGCTGGCTGGAATACTGTCTGCGGAGGACCCAGGAGCGGACCGGACCGTCAGACCCCAGGGACGTCCAGCCGGATCTCCAAGCAGGTACCTGGATGCCCCAGGAGGCCGTCTGATAGCTCCAAGGGACCCGGTGGTTCTGGTTGGGTGGGCGTGACCTTTGCTGATGCCTTTTGCAGGGTGCGCCCAGAAGGTCAACTTTGCGCGATCAGAGAGACAAAGCAGAATGCTAATTTTCTTTACTCTCTAATAGTTGGGTTTCCAAAGAAACTTAGCAAAAGAGCAATCGTTTGGTGAATACTGCGGAAAACGTAGGAAGTACGGTAGTAGAGGAAATAGCTCATTGATCTCTGGAGTTGAAATTTAGCCAAACCTGACTGTAAACCTTAGCTCATATATATGGGAGTGGGTGGGCTAATTTACAGTTTCAGCCAAGACTGGAGATAGAGAAATTCGTGTCTGGGCCTTGCCTGTGACAACGTTACAATTTATTTAAAAGAAAAAGAGAAAGGTCAAGAGACATGCCCATGTAAGTTTGTACTTGTGTTGAATTTGTAACTCTGCCCTTACGGGAAGGAACTTCCGGTGTTATAGCTATGCTTGGTTGTGAAGTTGATGCACCTGGGAAGACTGAACCTCAATTGAGGAGTTGTCTCCATTGGATTGGCCTCTGGGGCGTGTCTGGGGAACATTTTCTTGATTGCTAACTGATTAGCCCGCTGTAGGTGTCACATGTGGGCAGGTGCGCCTGGATTGCGTGAGGAAAGCAGGTGAGCAGAGCAGAAAGCAAGCCAGGAAGCTGTGTTCCTCCACAGCCTCTGCCTCCAGCAGTGGTCCTCAACCTTCCTAATGCTACCACCTCATGCTGTGGTGACAACAACCACAAAATTATTTGCATTATTTCAGCTACTTCATAACTGTAATTTTGCTACTGTTAAGACTCTAATGCAAATATCTGTTTTCCAATGGTCTTAGGTGACCTCTTTGAAAGGGTCATTTGATCCTGGAGTCACTATCAGATTGAGAACCTCTAACCTTCAGGTTCCTGTCTGGAGTTCATGCCCTGACTTCCTTTCATGATGGACATTAGCTGTGAAATGAAATAGACCCTTTCCTCTTCAAGTTGCTTTTGGTTATGATCTTTATGACAAGAATAGAAACATAATTAAAACAAGGCTCTTGAGTGGGCTTCTTAATTCCTAGCATGGTATTTCTTGCTGGGATCCTATTTCCTAAGGCCCTGTTATGAAACATTCAGGTCAGTAAAATAGTGTCTGCCAGGGTTCAGAATGATTCACTAGGGGAGGAGTGGGTAGATCTCAGCCTTGTGTGGATTCTCCACTGTAAATGGCAACAAATTAATAGCAGCAAACCAAGTGTGGTGTTTTAAGGGGGAAAGTCACTCTGAATATGAGTGTGTTGCAGACTTTTTTTTTCTCACAGTTGACTCTGTCTTAATCAGGAAGTACTTTTCAGGTATATAGGTTTAACGCTGCATGCCAAGGAGATACACCCAGAACCTCTGCTTCCCATTCCAGAGGCTCGTTGTTGGTGCCATTTAGTCTGTCCATGCTAATAGTGTCAGAAGGCTTTTATATAATCCAGGGCTTTATGTGTGAGTGTTTTAATGTGATCTGGATTCTAGCTAGGCATACGAATAAAACATAGCTCCTAAGTAGTTAGCCTAGGGTTGAGAACAGCTGATGACAGAAGAGTAGATGAGATCAATTCTGGGACCGACTGCAGGGCAGGCAATAGGAAGACAGCCCTGGGGCATCCAGAAGCGAAGCAAGGCTGGTAAAGACTCCACACTGCCATTTACAAGAGAGGCAGCCTTTACTCCACTGTGTGGTTTTAAACTGTTGTGGGAAGCTGGGGCCCTGTAGCTCTGAGGGTTGGTTCCAGAGCCCCCATTCTATTGCATCCTGTAGCTGAGCCTTTCTGGCTTTTGTGCTCCCACATGAATTGTAGGATTTTTTTTTCTACTTATTTGAAAAATGTCTTTGGGATTTTGATGTGGATTGTTTTGAATCTCCAGATCATTTTCAACAGCACAGCTATTTTTATAATATTCTGTCAGTACATTCACATGGGAGGCTTTCCTTCTAGTTTCTTCTTCCAGTTGTGTTTTACAGTTGTCATCGTAGAGGTATTCCACCTCCTTTTGTTAGGTTTATTTCCAGTTTGATATTTTAAAAGCTATTGGAATGATTTTTTTTTTCTCTCTTCAGGTCTTTTTGACAAGTTTGTTACTGGTTTATAGGAAGGATGCCTATCTTCGTTTGTTGGTTTTATTTCCTGTCACTCTTCTAAAAAGTGTTATCAAGCCTAAGGATTTTCTGGTAGAAGCCAGGCACAGCAGCACACACCTGTAATCCCAACACTGTGAGGGCTAAGACATAAGGGTCACCATGAGTTTGAGGCCTGAGCTCCACACTGAGTTCTAGGCCAGCCAGTACAACAATGAGACCCTACCCAACTCTAAACCAGGCCAGTAAGGTGTGGCAGTGGGGTGCACATCTTAAATCCTAGGACTTGGACAATAGAGGTAAATAGCTAGATCTCTGAGTTCAAGCCCAGCCTGGTCTACATAGGCTAGCCAAAGCTACAAAAATAAGCAACAAAAACCTAAAGCAAAGCAAACAAATTCAATTAAAAAATTGCAACACAAGTTTCTGGTGAAGTTTTTAGGGTATTTGAGAATAGTGTCACATCATCCGGAAATAGAGATAAGGTGACTTTTTCCTGTCCCATGTGTGTTTCTTTTGTTTGTCTCTCTTACTAGTTCAGCAAGACTTCTAGCATTATATTAAAAAGTGGAGAGTGCTTACCCTTTTAGAGGAAATTCTCCATTTAGTGCAATGTTGAGGTACACCCTTCTGTTTCTACTTTCTCAAGGTCTTTGTTATGAAGGGATGTTGGACTTCGTCAAAGGCCTTTAATGTGTCAATTTGTGATCATGTGATTTTGTCATAAAAATCTGTTTGTCCGTTGTATTATATTTATAGATGCAGATAATGTTGAACCAATCTTAACATCCCTGAGGTGAAACTAACTTTATTACAGAGTCTGATCTTATTAATGTGTTTTTGAAAATCGATTTGCAATATTTCTAAGTTTTGTAGTTGTTTTCTTTTTGTTGTTATTGTGTCCTGTCTAGTTTGTTATCAGGGTAATACTGGCTTTGTAGAGTGAGTGTGGCAGTGCCCATTCCCTTTGTACTTTGTGGGGCAATTTGAGCACATTTTATTACTATCCCAACTTAGTTGCCTGTTGCAGATGCTTAAGTTGTCTATGTCTTCTTGATTTAATTTTGGTAGGTCACATATAGGTAGGAATGTATTGATTTCTTCCAGATTTTCTAGGCTTTTGTTGTTGTTTGGTTGGTTGTTTTTTGTTGTGTAATGCAAGTTAAGGAATTCCCTGAGATACTCTGCATTTTATTTCAGCATATTATAAAATCCCCCTTTCCATCTCTACTTTCTTAACACATGTCTGTCTCTCTCTCCACTCTCTCTTTATGGTCTTGTGTAGTCCATGCTGGCCTGAAACTTACCATATAGTGGAGGATAGCCTTGAGCTTCTAACCCTCTACCACCACCTCTGGTGCTGGGATTATAGACCCACCTGGTTGTAGCTGACACTGAGGAGCAAACCCATGGCTTTGCTCCAGCACTGCTAGGAGTCTGTCGGTCTTGCTTAGCTTTTCAAAAAACCAACTTTCTGACTGGCTGGTTACATGCCTTGTTCTTTTAGCCCCCATTTCATTCATTTCTGCTCTGCCATATACTACTTTTGGTTTTGGCTTGGTCTTGTTTTTCTAAGAAGTTGGGGGTGAATCACTACGCTTTTTTTTTTTGGTTTGGTTTGGTTTGGTTTGTTTGTTTTTGTTTTTGTTTTTTGTTTTTTAAGATTACACTGATTTGTTTTCTTTTTGAGACCGTGTCTCAGCCTCTGGTAGCATTAAAGATGTAGACCATCATACCCTGACCTACTCTGGTTTTTCAACATAAGCATAGGTAGCTGCAAAGATTCCTCTTAGACACGCCTTTGCTGTAACCAAGATTGGCCTTGACTGAGTCTCACCTTTAGTCTGTATCTCTTAATTGGTGAGTCAAGCCATTTCCATCTGAGGTTATTATTGAGAGGTGTTTACTACTTCCTGTCATTTTGTTGGTTGTTTTCCTGGTTGGATGGATTATTGTTCATTCTTTACTTTTTCCCTACTCCTGTTAGGAGTTTGCTGGTTTACTATACTGGATGCTGGTCCCAGCTTTTTTTTTTTAATTTCTTCCAGGAACTTATTATTTCTTTTGCTCCTGTGACTGAGGATACTCCCCCCCCCCCCCATGGATAGTATGTACGTCATTCTCGAAGTATCTTCCGCAATGATGGCTTGTTGGCCTTGAACTGCCTTGGACTGTTCTTTTCTTGAATTGCCTTTATTTCTCAATCGAATTTAAATGATAATTGCTGGATACAATAATTCTGGTCATCAGTCATTTAATTCAGCAATGGAAATATGCAATCCTGTTGTCTCCTGGCTTTTAGGTTGATGATGAGAGAGACGATGTCCTGTGTCTCTGTAGGCAAGCAGGCGCTTTCCATTTATACCACTTCCTTGTATTTTTGACATCTTGACTAGTCCATGTCATAGAGTGTCCCTCTGGCTGTGTCTGTCTGTGATTCTAGATGCTTCTTGTGTTTGTCTGCTTTCTTTCTCTAGATTTGGGGAACTTTCTGTTGTAAGTTCATTGACTGTACAATAAGACAGTAAAAATACTAAGGAAGTATAACGATGGGGAACGTGTGGAGGGAGAAAGAAGTCTAGTGTAGTGGCTCACACCTGCAATCTAGGCACTTAGGAAGCTATGGCACATCTGAGTTCAAGGCCACATGGGCTAGAGAATAAGAAAAACACAAAAAATAAAAATAAATAAATAAGGATTTTCCTAAAAATGACAAAACAAGTATAAACAAAATTATATGAAAATATAAAAACATTTCCAGTTTTTGATGTTCTTTAATATGATAAGAATGAAAATACTCATAAAATGTAGTGAAAAGAGCATCATTTGATATGTCTCTTAAATCCGTTCCTTCCTTGGCAAACTGACCAGGGAACTAAGGAGTTTGTTATTGACACCATGGTAGGGTCTTCAAGGAGCGTTCAGGCCCCAGCACCAGAGAGAGGCCTTGTAGCTTCCTTTATACTTTTTGTAGGATGCTCAGCAAGAACCGCAGCTACGCTGCCTGATTGATGGCAGGAGGTAGGGAGAGCACTGGCAACAGGATGTGATGCTGTTTTGATGTAGGTTCACTTCCCTAAAGTGACTGTCAGCAATATTCACTGAGCATGACATTCACTGAGAAGGGACTCCTTGAAAGCTGTGACTTGAGCTAGCAGTAATCCCAGGACACAGCGTCTGGGGCAACAGAATTGTTCCAAGTTCAAGACTGGGATACAAAATGTGTGCCAGGCCAGCCAGACACACACACACACACACACACACACACACACACACACACACACACACAAAACCATAAACCAAAATAAATAAATAAATAACTGTCTCAAAAAAATTGTGTGTGTGGAGCTGGAGAGCTGGCTCAGTGCTTAAGAGCACTGGTTGCTCTTCCAGTAGTCCTGAGTTCAATTCCCAGCAACCACATGGTGGCTCACAAGCATCTATAACATGCCCTCTTCTGGCATGCAGGCATACATGCGAAGCACTCATATACATAAAATATAAATAAAATAAAATAAATTGTGTGTATGTATGTATGTGTGACTTGGAAAATGTCATAATTAAGCCCATTATAATGCATAATTAAGATATACTCGCAAAACACTTTTTAGGGGCTGGAGAACTGACTTAGCAATTAAGAGTACATACTGCTCTTACAAAGGACCTAGTTTAAGGTCACAGCACCAATGGCAGGCAGGTGGCTCACAAATGCCTGTAATGCCTGTAATGCAGTTGCAACATCTCTGCTCTCATATGTACATACTCTACACATGAATAAAAATATTAAAAAATAAATATTTTAAAAACATTTTTAATGGAAAAATAACTGAAAAGCAAGCAAGTGATCCCTACAAAGGGGGCTAGGAATGTAGCTTGATGACAGAATGTTTGAGGTTCTCAGTTCCATCCTTAGAACTATGAAAATAAGGGACATTTGTAATCCTGGAGCTAGGGGTGCAGCCACAAAAAGAAAGACAGAACACACAACAACCATAAGCTCACGGATGCGTCTGAGACTATGGTGGTGTTTTCCCTGCACTGATCCTGCCTTCTCCCACAGGCTGTCTTACGGCCCCTCCCATGCTAGTCACCCTCTTGTTTTGTCTTGTTTCGTTTGTATTTATTTCATTGTCTTTTCTGTACGTGTGTGCATATGGATTTCAGGCTTGGTAGCTGGTGCCTTTGCCCTCTGCCCCATCCACCTTTCACTCTCGAGCATCTGGGTCCTGATGCTGAGACTCAGGTCCACAATGGAGGAAAAGCTAACAGTTGGTCCATCATTGCACTGATAATACAAATGTGGCATTGGTTCCATTATCTCAGAGCTGCAGCGAGTAACAAGGTTGAAGGGCTCTAGCCCTTCTCCCAAAAGGCCCTACCCTGTGATCCTCTAAGCCTGCTACACTGCCCTCCCTGTAGCTGCTTGTGAGGAGTGGGTTGAGCTGCCCATCCTGCTAGAATACTTGAATTGAGTGTTTTTGACACAGCTCATGCATCAACCAGAATAAACAAATGGTGGGGCATACCCAAGCCAGAGAGCTTCTCTGTAGTGATCAGATTCTACCGCATATTAAACACCCACATGTAATTCACTTTCCCAAGAAACCTCCATTCAAGACTGACTCACTCACAGAGCACAACGCCCTCACGCTCTCTGGAAAGATGGGACAGTCTGTACAGGAGCACAGGGCAGGGGTAGGGAGGGGGTCATGAAGGCTGAAGCTAGATTCCAGTCCTGTGCCTTTGTTTTACTGAGTCATGTGACTTTGGGCACAGTTCCTCATCTGTGAAATGGGGATAAAGTGTCAAAAACCATAATTAAACTGGGGGGTGTAGCTCGGTTGCTAGAATGCTTCCCTAGCATGCCCTGGCTTCAACCCCAACTGCCAAATAAACTGTAGTGGCTCACACCTGTAATTCCAGCACTTCAGAGATGGAGACAATATAGTCAAGTGTTCAAAGTGACTAACTACATAAACCCTGTCTTGAAAAACCAAGTTCACATATCACAATGGAACCAACATCAGTGTCCAGCAATAGGAACAGACAAGGAAAACATGATATATGTACACAATCAAATTTTTTCAGCAATAAAGAGAAACAAAATCATAGTATTTGCAGAAAAGTGGATGCAACTAGATTAAACCAATCACAGAAAGACAAATATGTTTTCTCTCATTTGTGCTTCCTTAATTTCATATAAATATATAAAATCACATGTGTATGTGTATATATGTAATATGTATGCATGTATATAGAATTAAAACCATCTAAGAGGACAAAGCAGATCAACAGGAGTGAGAAGGTGGTAGAGATATGAAAGGGAATGTGTTCAATGTATAATATAAACATATATGAAACTTAAAGTCAAATAATTATGACAACAAGCAGAAGCCTATGACTCAAAACTATTTTTGCTTTCAGGATGACTTTGGGAATCTTTGCAAATTGTATATTCTGCTTGAAAGTCAAATACTTACCTCGTCAACAGAAGAAAAAACTGCAAACTGATATTAAGGAAAATGGTGGAAAGTTTTCCTTTCTATTAAATCCCCAGGTATTTCCAAATGTTTTCGGTCGCTTTCTGGGTATATGAACTTTCAGGGAACATAGCTCATGGTTAGAGAGTAAGCAGAGAAAACTGGTAGCAGGAGACATTGGGACATGGTCCCCTGGGGGATGGGCCAGAAGCAGCAGAGGGTGCCAGAGGACCTAACCTGATCTTCTGCTCTGGGAGTTTCATAACATTGTCCTGACCTTGTGAATCTGCTATCATTCAGGTTTAGCCACACCTATTCTTAAAAGAAAGTCATATTGTACCTGCTTGCCAAAGGCATGCTGTGCCACTGGCCAGTAGGCCAGCGCAGGGCTGACAGGTGGGATCATCAGTGCAAGGTGGACTAACCTTTCTATAGTAGCTTACCTGATAAGAGCTGAAGGAAGCTAGTGCTTCTCAGAGATGAGTTGCAGACCTAAGTGTTTAGATACAAAGTCTCACAAGTAGATGCTATCTTGAAAAAATGTTAAGGCAATTTCCTCCTTTCTAAAAAGGCAAAAAATGCAAGTCTAAAGGCATTATGTCCCCTCCTTGCTGGCTCTGTCCCTTTCTCTTCCCCCTGTGGATAGGTCTGGTCCTGGCTGTCTTTCTCTGGGTCCATTCCAGGTACTAACTGTAGACAGCATCATCTACTCTAGGAGACCAGTTCAACTCCAGCAGGGTACTACAAAGAGAATGTCCCACTCGATTCCAGTACAGAAAGAGCTGTGAACACTCCCATCACATGGCTTCCTGATGTCCCAGCCTCACCATTCCCAAGGGTGGGGAAATCATCCATTTAAAAGTAATAAGGTGCACACTTTTAATCCCAGCACTTGGGAGGCAGAGGCAGAAGGATCTCTGTCAATTTGAGGCCAACCTAGTCTACAGAGTAAGTTCCAGGACAGCCAGGGCTATTACACAGAGTTCCTGGCTGCCCTAGAACTCATTTTGTAGATCACACTGGCCTCAAACTCACAGAGCTTTGCCTGCCTCTATCTCAAGAAAAAACAGAACAAGTACATGAAGATGTATCCATGAGTACACTCACAGCATGGGGAACTTGGAAGCAACCTGTGATGTAGATCACCCATACCCTTAGTATAATCACTGTTAGCCTAGGGCAAGGGTGTAGCTCAGTGGCACAGTGCTTTCCCAGCATGGTCATGGCCCTAGGTTCCATCTAGACCTGGGGGGGGGGGGGTGGACGGGGCACATGACATGACAAAACAACGTATCCATGTTTTCCAAAATCTGAAAAAATTCACTACAAACTGCCTTAAAAATACGACCTTTGGGGGTTAAAGTTACTAATACAAATACTGTTGTTAAAGGTTGTTTTGCTGCTGTATAATGAACTTGCTTTGCCCTTAGTGCACACATGTAATCTTAGACAATGCCGACTCCCTGAATCGGTATCAACTGAACTCCATCCAAAAGAATGATGTCCAGATTGCAAGCCCAGATTTCATATGGGACTCTGTCAATCAGAGGAGACTCATGGATGTGACAAATTATGATCCCAAGTCACTGGTTGTCATGGCACCTCCAGGTGAAAAGAGCTGTGTTGGTGAGTGTGTCCTACCAAGACTCAGTATATTATAGGTGCCATGTAGACTTTTGGACATGTCAGAGGTGTGAGAAAAAAAATGTCCAGGAATACTACAAAATAATTATGTTTCATTTTACCTTAGAAGCAGGAAACAAAGGCCAACTTAGAAACAGAGATTTTTTTTTAATGTGAAGTCTTTGAGGTCAGACTCAAAATGACTAATAAACCCTGAAGGTCTCAGAATATGTGATGTGTAATTTGTTTAACTATATTTTACTATATTTACTATATTTTAATTTCTTTATTTTGTGTATGTATATGGATGCATGACCCATGGTCAGAAGACAGGTGTGGGTCCTATCCTTTGGGACGCTGTCCACCTCCTTTCAGATAGGGTCTCCCACTGGTGTGGAGCTCATGAATCAGTCTAAGATGGCTTGTGAGAGAGCCCCGGGCATCCTCTGGTTCCCCCCCTCCCCAGCACTGGAATTACAAGACTTCTTTGCCATACTCAACCTTTTGCTTGGGTGCTGGGGCTAAAACTCATGTCTTCATGCTTGTAAAGTGCTTTACTATCTGAGCTATCCCCAGCCCCGTGTATGATTTTAACTGGGAGTAGAATAACCCTTGATGTTAAGAAGGTAATTTCAGGGCTTGTAAGAAGGTACAGGAAGACCACTAGAACCTCTGAGTTCATGAGTTCATGGCCAGCGTGTGCAACTGGTAAAACCCTCAACTAAAAATATCCCCAAACCAACAAAACAAAAAGAGAACTGTGGCCGAGAGTGTGGCCCAGCAATGGGTGCCTCCCTAGCACGCATACGGCCCTGAGTCTGAGTCCCCAGAACACTGAACAGGGAGGGGAATTATATAGCAAATATCGAATTTAAGAATCATAACAAGGCCAGGTGGTGGTGCATGACTTTAATCCCAGAACTTGTGAGGCAGAGGCAGGAGGATCTCTGAGTTCAAGGCCAGCCTGGTCCACAGAGCGAGTTCCACTAACAGCCAGGGATACACAGGGAAACCCTGTCTCTAAAAACCAAAACAAACAAAAAGTCATAACAATTCTAGCAGTTAGGCTCACAGTTACTTATAAGTGTTTGAATAGTCAACAAGTTTTCCTCTTAATTCTAGAGGTGGAAGCAGAAGATGCATCTTTGGACAACACCCCAGAGAATGAAAACACCGGAGTCACTCAGTAAGCAGAGTGTTTTGTGAGCTCCAATCATAGCATTAAAAACACAAAGTACTGAGAGTGGCATGCCTGTAATCCCAGCACTCGGGAGGCGGAAGCAGGGCCAAGCTAGCAGTGGAGACCCTGCCTCAAAAAATAGACAAATAAAAATAAAATAAAAGCAAAACAAAAACAAGCAAAGGACAGCTGATATATTGGACTCCTCTGTTTTGTAAAAAGGACTTGACATAGCCCCGAAAACCATTGCTAAGAGTCAGAGTCCCAACCAAACATAGTGACCACAGAAGCTAGCTGTGTTTCTGTCTCTGCTTTTGCCTGTCCTCGCCTCCCTGTGACTCCAGGTTCTGGCTTTAGTGTTTGGGAATCTGGAAGAGTAAGATGAGGGTTCCCTGATCATCCCTCACTTAATGCACAGGTTAAATTATCACACACCCCCCTCTGCAAATATATAAAATCAGAAAATAATAACTAATAAATTAGTTATGCAGAGGATGAATCCAGCCCATTTTTCACATTTGTTTAGCCATTTCTAGAATACTCAAGGAGACACCAGGGACTTCCTACATACATCATCAGGAATTAGGGGATCTGTTGAGAGAGTGTGGTCCAAAGTTCCATTTCAATCTTAAGTGTTTAATTATATAAATTTCAGAGTTTCCTTGGAGAATGTTGAAATTCCTCATTTTCTTCAAGACTTTGAAGTTGTGAAATATAATGTCTTGGAAAAGGTAAGAGCCTGATTTTTACCTAGAGAAGAGAAACTATTATTTCTGAAAACATGTTTTATTTGATGGTTTTTCATTGTTTTGAAAAGTTGTTCATATTCTGAATATCATATGTTCCTGTCACACAAGCTGGCTTTTACTACTCAGAAAATGTTTGTTTGAATTTTTGCCTGGTATAGTAGCTCGTGCCTATAATCCCAACACTTAGGAGGTTGAGCCAGAGGCATATGAGTTCAAGGACAGCCCTAGCTACACAATGAAACCCTTCTCAAATAAAACCCAAAAATAAATAAATTTTAAACAAGAAAAAGCGATCTGTTTAGTGTTTTTAATGAAAGTAAGTCATACTCATAATATATTTTGTTTGTTTTTTGAGATAGGATCGCATGTATCCCAGGCTGGTCTTGAACTTGCTACATAATGGAAATGATTTTGAACTCTTGATCCCTTCTGCCTCTGCCTCCCAAGTGCTAGGATTATAACTATGCAACATCCGGTTTGTGCAGTGCTTGAGATCAAACCCAAGGCTTCAGGTATGCTAATCAAGCACTCAACCAACCACTTACAATCCAGCCACTTACAACAAATACATAGCAATATAAAACATCAATATGGCATTGTAAATACCATACCTTGCCATTAACTGTTTCTTATATTATATTTATACCATGTTGAATTGTTCTTTCTGCATTAAAGGAAAACAGAAAACTTTATTGATAGAAGTCATACAAATTAAAATCATGACTTGCCTTTGAAGTGATGTCCCACTTATATTTTTAGATATTTAAATAAAATATAAATTTGAAAGAATATTTCCCTCTATAATGAGAAAAATGTGAAAAGTGATACATTGTAAACACACAGATAAAAATATACAAAAGTATTGATAGTGATTTTATTGCTCTGGGTTTCAGGTGTTTTCATTTATTTATCATTTCAGGTGATTTTTACTCTCTTGATGCTTTTGTGTTTTCTAATGTACTTCTCCAAATGAACACGCATTGTTCCAGCATATTAGGCAGCCTTTTCTGATGTGGAGTGTGGCTAGTTTCCATAGCTCTGCTTCTAAAATGTACATCTTGCAGGTGGGAGCGGACGGAGGCCAGGAGATCGCAGTAGTAGAGCTGCAGTGCTCCCAGGACCCAGGGGACTGCCCCTTTGTGATATCCACGCACTTCCTCCTGGCTGACCCTGTGCAGGTGCTGCCCTTGAGTTACACTCCTCTGTCTTTACTCCTCCTGTTGCTAGTTTGCTTAAACGAATCAAGCCAACAACCAACTTGCTAAACGTTTTCTTCAGCTGGGCTGCTGAAATGAATAAATAGTATGGTGACTGGGTGGCTTAAGCAACAGTTTCTCCCTATGCTGGAAGCTGAAGGTCAAAGATTAAAGGGTAACAGAGATCCTCTTCCTCCATCTTGCCCTCCTCCTCCATCTTGCCCTCCTCATCCTCCATCTTGCCCTCCTCCCCCTCCCCTTGCCCTCCTCCTCCATCTTTCCCACCTCCTCCATCCTGCCCTACTCCTCCATCTTGTCTTTCTCTTCCTTTACCTTTTCCTACTTTGTTCCTTTTCTTTTTCCCCTTTTAAAAAAATGAGACAGAGGGTTTCAGTCTGTATTCCAGGCTTGCTTCTACATGGCGCTCCTTCATAGCCTCCCTTCCGTTGCCATTACCAGTATGAACCACACCCACTTCACATCAGAGTCTTCCCTGGGACCCCCTGTGACAGTTCTGACACTGCTGTGCATGTGAAGTACTCAGGGCTCGTGATCATAGAATGCTGGAAATCATAGGAAGGCTTCACAAAAGCCATACCTGTTATCCTAGTTCAGTATCAAGTCAGGAGCCCAGCTGTGGTCTAAAACAATTCTGAAATAAAAATAGATCCAGAATGAACATCCCAAAATTAAATAAGGTAGGCACCAAGCATCACCCACCAGGAGTCTTCTCACATAGGTATTCAGCTTTGTAGATCTACTGTGGCTGGAAACAGCAGCTGTCAGTACAGAGAGTCCATTCTTCATTGAGCGATGTCCTCACAGGCTCTGGAAGCTTCTCATATGGCCCCTAGCGCAGATGTCACTCAGGTAGACACACACATCAGATGGAACCATTTGAGAAGCCCTGACCCTCAGTAGCGCCTATCTCGTAACACAGGTTTCAGATGACCAGGAGATGCACTCTGTTCTATGAATTACCACTCTCAAGGAAGCCCAAAGCTTTGGTTTCCACCACACATACTCACTGAAGTCCTAATCTTGGTGCAGATTTACCAGAGATTTCACCACAGTTACAGCTGGTTGTTTTGGGAGGGGCGGAGGGTTTGCATTTTGAGACAGGCCTCACTCTTGCCTCAACCTCTCAAATGTTGGTTTTACAAACCTATATTACAGCACTAGCCTTATAGCTGACTTTTTATCAGGTTTCCATGGGAACAGAGCTAGAACCTTAATCCAGGGTCACATGTGTCCAGGTAGGAGATAGTTAACTTTCTGCCCCCAAATATGTGGTTATTTTGTTATTTGGATAAACAATAATTCAAGCCAGGTGGTGGTGGTGGTGCATACCTCTAATCCCAGCATTTTGGAGGCAGAGGCAGGCAGATCTCTGGAGTTTGAGGCCAGCCTGATCTACAAGAGAGAGTGCCAGGACCCTGTCTCAAAAAATCAACAACAAAAGTACTTAAAATCAAATAAAAAACCACGATGTTATATCTTTATAACACTGTATAGACCATATTTCCTGGTGACCTCCCTGTCCACCTGCTAGGAGTAACCCTCACTCAAGCAGTGGTGAGAGATGTGTGAAAGAGGCTTCTCTGGCTTGCCCTGACTCCCAAAAATTCCACTGTTAGGACACTCTCCATCACTTAACAAAATACCTTAAATAATTAACTTAGAAAGTTTGTGCTAGAGAGATGGTTCAGAGGCCAAGTGCTTGCTCCTTATCCAGGGGAGTTTGACTCCCAGCACCCATGTTTAACAATGAAAAGCTTTAAGGGCAGGGCTGTTGCTGGGTGGTTGACATCTTGAGTAGCAGGTATGAGGCCTGTGTGGTTCTCTTTGGCCCTGGGGCAATTAAGATCCAAACTCTATCATCTACCTTTAAAATAGAGTGACTTGGATGTATACTTCCTTTCTAAAGTTTCAGAGATATCCCGCAGTGCACCCCGCAGCAAACAGTCTATGATTGTGGCATCTCTCTGTATCTGTATACCTCAGGGTCAGGATTAGCCAACATCTAGGGGACACTGGCACTCCCAAGCAGGGCAAGTCTTCCTCCATTGTCCAGGATCAGTATCGGTTGAGTTCTTCAGTCATGGGATGGGTTTCCAAAGAGCAGACAGGCCACATGCATGTACTGTTCACATCATCTGCCTAACCACAGAGCTTTCCAGCCCTTTTCCTTGACTGATACCTGTCCCCAGCTGTACCATTCCCTACCCTTGACTGACTTTCTACGTTTCCAAAAAGGAGTGGAATGCCAGTCTTCCAGGTTCACTAACCCACCGGCTCTCGAGTGCTTGAATGAACACTTCCCTACAAGGCTTTTTCTCTTTGTTCTACCCACTCGGGCTTTTTGCTCGCTCAACTCCAGCTTTAAGTGTTTCTTGTCTGTTTCTTGCCATGACAAGGCAACTGAGAGATGGATGGGTTTATTTGGACATTGGGTTCCAGGGGAATAACAGTCATATCATATCAGGGAAGTGTGGTGGCAGGCAGGCACGGCACTTGGGAGGCAAGCTGAGAGCTCCCATCTCTAACAGAAAGCAGAAAGGGAACTAGGGTGATTTTTAAAACATGAAACAAAGCCTGCCCCGCCCCATGATGTATTTCCCCCAGCAAGGTCACACCTCTAAGCCTCCTCAAAAAGCACCTGCCATCTGGGGACCAAGCCCTGAGGTCAGCCAGACATTTTCATTCAAACCAGCATGATGATTCATTAAGAAAAATAGTTTTAAACCCCTTCATGGCAGGGTGTAGGGATTCACTGAGGACGAATGTGTTCATAAGGTCCTGTGTCCTGTGTACTGTAATTCCCAGACTAGAAGAGAGAGCACCGGAAAGCAAACCTCTGAAGGCGCAAGTGAATATTATGAACATTACATTGAAGACCTGAAGAAACAAGGATTTCTGCTTCAAGAACACTTTACCGCTGAAGCAACACAATTAGCATCTGAAAAACTGCAAGCAGTAAGCTAGCTGCTTGATAGGATTGCATTGCATTGGCTGAGTTGGGAGGGGGTGTGTGTGATTGCTGTTCAGTTTGGTTTGTTTTATTTTTCTTTTGTTGGTTTTTCAAGACAGGGTTTCTCTGTGGTTTTAGAGGCTGTCCTGGAACTTGCCCTGTAGACCAGGCTGGCCTCAAACTCCAAGAGATCTTCCTGCCTCCACCTATTGAGTGCTGGGATTAAAGGTGTGTGCCACCACCACCCTGCTTGGTTTGTTATTTTAGATACTCTCTCCAGGATGGCATCACATTCAAACAAACCCCCTCCTCAGACTTCTCAGTGCTGAGATTTTGGATGGCACTACCATACCCAGATGATTGATTTTGTTGTTGTTGTTGTTGTTTTGTCTAGTTTTGTTTTGTTTTTTTTTTTTTTAAGCAGGGTCTTACCATGTAATAGCTTAGAACATATTATGTAGACCAGTGTGGCCTTAAAGTCAGATTCATCTGCCTCTGCTTCCTGATTGCTAGGAGAAAAAAAATGAAGTCAAAACTAGAGAGATGGGCCAGCAGTTAAAAGAAATGGCTACCTTCCAGAGCCTTGATTTGATTCCCAGTATGTAGATGTTGGCTCATAACTACCTGTAACTCCAGTTTTAGAGGACATGATGGCCTCTTCTGACTTCTGTCAGTACATGTAGCATGCAGACAGGCACACAGGCCAAACATCCATATGCATAAACTAAAAAAACTAAAAAATATATACAAATTGCTCTGCATAAAAATGAAAAGCTGTGGATTCCTTCCAGACTAACATGGTTTAATCAGGCAAGACTCACCCCTCCCTGCCTCCCGAAACAGTGTCCCATGTGATCCAACATTCAAAACAAAATTATTATGAGCACTTTCCTACCAGCCTGGTCCCACAGCTGTGTCAGCCCCAAAATAACACACAGAGACTCTATTAGTTATAAAGCTGTTGGCCAATGGCTAGAGCTTCTTATTGGCTAGCTCTTTCTTAAATACTAATTCACTTCTATCAATCTAATTGTTTTCATGTGGTCTTATCTTACTGGAGAGAGGGTCTAGACCTCCTCTCTCACGTCCTACATCTTGACTCCTCTCTACTACATCTCCCAGAATCCTCCTTGTCTCCTAGGCCCACCTATCCTGCTTTCCTATTGGCTAATAAACTTTATTCATTAACCAATAAGAGAAACATATATACAGAATGACATCTCCCATCATCTTTTCTGTCTAAAATAAAAAGAACGGTTTTAACTTTAACATAGGAAAATATATAACAAAACAGTTATCAAATAAGAACTATTGTTAACATGCCCCTTGTCTACATTATAATATGGAGAGCATCCGTGTATTCTGAGGCTCTTCCTTGTGTTCTGGGTACTGTCCATCAGTTTCTGCCTCTTAAAGGGCCTACTGCTGTGGTACTACCCTACTACTCCACAGTGGGGACCAGGTGCCGGCATAAGAACCTGAGGGACACTCAAGCCATTCCCAGCCTTAATGTCTGGCCATGGGAGCGGGTGCCTCTCTTGGACCCTGTTATTTTTTCTTATACTTCTCTGTGTCTATACTGTTGTTGTTTTGTTTGTTGTTTGTAAGGTTGGAAGTGGAACCCAGGGTATTGGATATACTGGGCAAGTGCTCTACTGTTGACACACTCAGCTCCTGTGTCAGTTTTACACAAAGTGCTCATGAGGACGTGTGTGTGTGTGTGTGTGTGTGTGTGTGTGTGTGTGTGTGTGTGTGGTGATGCTTTGTCTCGATGTTGTTTCAGCTGCTTTTGGAGGAGGTCATAAGTTCAGGCACTCTGAGCCGGGAGGTGAGCAATTTGGTGGAGACGGTCTGGGCAGAAGCTCTGGGACACCTGGAGCACACACTTCTCAAGCCAGTGAACAGCATAAGCCTGAATGACGTAAGTCACAAGTGTCATTGGAACAGTACCACGCACCTACTTCCTGATGGACTGGTGTAAGCACTGATGATAACAGTCATGTGCTGGCTGGTTTACTCTGAAGTCCACCCCTCAGTGTTCTTTCCTCATTCTCTGAAGGAATGGAGCTTCATGAGAACCAAATGTCCCTGTCATGTCAGTTCTCAGTGGTGGCCAATATAGCCCTAAGTATTGGCGCTGAGGGTATTGTTGCCAAAGAACAGAGTGGTAGTGCCTCATCTTAGATACCCAGATCGTGATCTACTTTGAAATAACTCTTTTAGCCTTTCACCTCCTCACTGTCTTAGGGAAGGCAGGCTTGCTTGTAGATACCAGGACATGCTGTTCTCTTTTCCATTATGTATAACAGTGGTTGAAAGATTAAGTGATTGACAGATGATATTCCCAATGATCCAACTGAGTAGTCAAAGGAAAACAGTGCAGGCAGCATTCCCTTTGGAATGAGACAACCTGTTTCTGGGAGAAACAGATTTCTTGCTGTTAGATTCATGATGCACTTGAAGAATTAGGAATGTGGCCTGGTTTGATGTTGACATCGTTCTGTTTCTCTACGAAAAGTGAGTCCCCTGCAGGTGCATTTGTATTCCTGTCTGTTCATGTGTGCATATGTGTAGAAATATGGCACTGCATTTTTCTTCCATGGTATAGCCACGGATAAGTTGCCCACAATTCAGAGAATAACCCTGCACTTACACAAACAAAAGCAACCCTAAGTAAACTCAGTGGGTTATTTTTAGAAAGACGTTTGTGCAACAGGGAGTCATTTGAGAAGAGGATCCAGAAGGAGAAGAAGAGGGTTGAGAAGAGGAGTGGGTCTGATCAAAATGCATATGTGTATAAGACTGTCCACAAATGGGGCTGGGGAGATGGCTCAGAGGTTAAGAGCACTGGTTGTTTTCCCTGAGGTCCTGAGTTCAATTCCCAGCAACCACATGGTGGCTCACAACCATCTGTAATGAGATCTGGTTCCCTCTTCTGGCCTGCAGGGATACATGGAACAGAACACTGTATACATAATAAATAAATAAATCTTAAAAAAAAAAAAAGACTGTCCACAAATAATTTTTTAAAATGTTTTTAAGAAGAAACAAAGAGCCCTGGTTGTTTGTCTACCGTTGAGCTGAGACCAGTTTGCAAGTATCTTCCTGCCTGGCATTATTCACAGCTGAGCTATGCCTTAAAATCCGAATTTGCCTTGGTGGCTGTGTTAGTTTTCTTGTCACTCTAAGGACAATCCACTCATAAAGAGAAGATAGCTTTTGGCTCACTTTGTAAATCTCAGGCTATGATAAATTGGCACTGTTGTTTGGGGCTTCTGATGAGTCAGCCCAGAGGACTGAAACTGTGAGAGAATTAACAGAAGTCATTCTATTTTTTAAAGGCCCACACTGTGGCAGTGGCAGCGGTCTAAAGAAAACTCATAGTTCCAATGTCTGCAGCTGCCACTTTAGGTGTTTTTATGCATGTCTCTTCTATGAATGTCAGGATTTAAATTTTAAAAGCATATTTGCTTTTCTGTTTGCAGGTGAGTAAAGCAGAGGGGGTCCTCCTCCTAGTAAAATCAGCACTGAAGAATGGAGGAACAGCGGAGCAGCTGCAGAAGACCATGGCTGATTTCTACCGATTGATTCCCCACAAACATCCCGTGTCAGAAGACATTACCCTGAGGTTGTTAGCTCAGAAAGAGGACCTTTGTCAGGTACACCCCTGGAATAAAGAATTCAATTTAAAATGTGTTTGCAGGGCCATGACTTTAGAGATGGTGCAGTGGTTAAAGAGCACCTGAATTCTGTTCCCAGCACCCATGGTGGCTCACAACCAGCTATACCTACAGTCCTAAGGGATTCAGCATCATCTTCTGAGATCTGTGGGCACCAGGCAGGAGGATAGTATGCATACATGCATGTGGGCAAAATACTCATACAGATAAAAATAAGCAGGAGGGTGGGGCCTAGTCCCTACTCCAAATGACTTGGCAGATTTTGTTGACCCCTCCTGGAAGGTACCATACTCCCTGTGGGGTAGGGGGGGTATTGGATGGGGGGGGACATAGGAGAGAGGCAGAGAGGGAGTGTGGGAGGGAGAGGGAACTGGGATCGATATGTAAAATTAAAAAATAACTAAATAATTAAAATAATAATAATAAAATCTGTATGGGGAATAAAGCCAGGCATAGTGATCCATATCTGTAAATCCCAGCTCTCAAGGGAGGCAGAGGCAGAAGGAGCAGGAGTTCAAGGACAGCCTCAACTACATACAAATCTGAGGCCACCCTAGGCTGCACAAACCCTGTCTCAAAAAGGGGGGGGGGCTGGACAGATGGCTTAGTGATTAAGAGCACCTGTTGTTCTTGCTAAAGACCTGGTTTCAGTTCCCAGCACCCACATAGTGGCTCACAGCCATCCATACTCACTTCCAGGGGATCCCATGTCCTCTTCTGACTTTCACTAGCACCAGGCATGTATACAGTACACACATATGCATGCAAACAAAACATTTATACATAGAAAAAAATAAATCTTTTAAAGAGGATGCATGTTCTGGGGCAAGGTGGTACACCTTTAATCCCAGCACTCAGGAGGCAGAGGAAGGTGAACCATTTTCAGTCCTAGATCAGCCTGGTCTACAGACATCCAGGGCTACAGAGAGAAACCCTGTCTCAAAAAGCAAAACAAAACAAAACAAAAAAGTGATGTGTGTGCTCCTGATATCAGTTTGTTGGGATTTGGAATTACACCTCTGGACCTATCTGTGAGGATGTGTCCAGAGCGGTTTAACCAAGGAGGGAAGATTCACCCTGAATGTGGGCAGCAGCATCCCATGGGCTGGGTCCAAGGGTGAATAAGGAGAAAGTGAGGCCACACCAGCATCCGTCCCTCTGGGCTCCCTGACTGCAGACCACGTGTGGCCAGCAGTCTCACAATCCCGCCACGCAGGCTGTACCCCCTAAACCGGAACCAAAACCTTCCTTCCTTCCTTCCTTCCTTCCTTCCTTCCTTCCTTCCTTCCTTCCTTCCTTAAGTTGCCTTTGTCTGGCATTTTGATACCACAATGGGAAAAGTAGCTAATTTAAAGTACTATACCAATGTACACTTCTACTGTGCTATCAGTGAGGCAATTCTTTCTACATCTGTCTTTCTGTCTGTCTGTCTGTCTGTCTATCTATCTATCTATGTATTTGAGGTGGGGATTTCTATATTCATCCCAGGCTAGCCTTTAACTTCTGGGCTCAGTAATCCTGCCTCAGTCTCCCAAGTATTGTACCAAGCCTTCTGATTTTTAGAAACTTTATTTTAACTTTTGAGAACAGCCTTACACTGCACTTTGGGCTGGCCTGGAGTTTACTATAACCTAGGCTAGCCTTGAATTCATGCCAATCTTTCTGCCCCTCCCCAATTACTAAGGTTACCCATGTAAGCCACCATGACCAGCTTTGTACCCAGCATTTATTCAGTTTAGTATACATACTACCAACACCAAATACTATTCAAAAACTTTGTGGGAAAACTGATTTTTATCGTTTTGGAAAATATTAATGTAATATTCATATTAACTTTGACATGTGGTGTCTCTAACATCTCTGTATCATTTCTGCCCACAGCTAGTAAGAGACATGGTGAATGTTTGCGAAACTAATTTATCCAAACCTAACCCACCATCTCTTGCCAAATACCGAGCTTTGAGATGCAAAATCGAACATGTTGAACAGAACACAGAAGAATTTTCCAGGGTTAGAAAAGAAGTGTTGCAGAGTAGTCACGGGTAAGCATGAAGCAAGCCTCCTAGGATCTGTGACAATGATGCTGTCTGAGAAACTAGAGAAAGTAATCCTCCACATTCAAACAAAACAGCTGCAGTGTTATGACAAAGCACTTTCGTCCGTGTTTACAATATTATCTTAAGGGGCTGGCCACGTGACGCAGTGGGTCAAAGCACTTGCTGCCAGACCCAATGGCCTGAGTTTGATCCCCAGAACCCACACGGTGGAAGGAGGGAACCAACTCTCACAGGAGTGCCATGACACCCATGGACACACACACACATACACACAATAAGTAAATGCAATTAAGAAAAAGAAAATTCAGTTTTATCTGGGGGAGTACCCTGTGCTAATAGGTTCTCCCCATTCACCCACTCTACTTTCTCAGTTACTTGAATTTTATTGCTATCATTATGATGATTATGTCCATATATGATGTGCACATGTGAGTGTAGGTGCCCACATATCACAACACCCATGTATAGGTCAGAGAAAAAACCTTCTGGAGTTCACCCTCTTCTTCACTGTGGGCTCTGGTTTACTCAACAAGCACTTTACCCCCTGGGCCATCTTGCCAGCCTGTGACCAAGTCTTGTTGAAGGTTAGATTTAAACCTCCAGGGGGTAAAGGTGTAACGTAGCACATCCTGATATGTTTTCCTGTCTTCCCCGATCCATCCACTTGAGTTCCTATAACAATCAGTTAGATCATAGCATGTGTACTGCATCATGCCGTATTCCAGTAAATGTCACCTACAAAGAGTGGCCGTTTTACCACATTTTTTTTTTTTCTGGACCTAGTTGGTTTTCTTAGAAACATGAATAATTTAGTAGCTTAATTTTTGTCCCTCCTATCAGAATGTAAACTCAATGAAGACAGAGAGCATGCTGTCTTAGTTCTAATTCCTGAGGAAATATTCAGCATGGCTTATGATTAATGCATAAATGAATACCTCTCCTGCCCACGGCCAGAGGGATCCCACTGTGGCTTGGCACAGCCCATGGATGGGACATTTAGAGCACAGATCAGATTATATGTGTGTGCTGCTTGGTTTCTGTCATCTTGACAGAAACTAGAACTATCTGGGAAGAGGGAACCTCAATTGATCTGAGGCAAGTCTCTGGACATTTTCTTGATTAATGACTGATATGGATGGCCCAGCCCACTGTGGAGTGACAGCCCTGGACATGTGGTCCTGGGTTATATAAAAAAGCAGGCCAGGGGAACAAGCCAGGAAACAGTATTTCACTGTGATCTCTGCTTCAGTTCCTGCCTCCAGGTTTCCTGCTTGAGTTCCTCGGCTGCTTCCCTCTGTGATGGACTATGACTTATAATCCAAAAGCAAAAACAAAACAAACCCTTTCCCCTCGCCTTTGGTCAGGGTGTTTATCATAGCAACAGAAAGCAAAATGTGCTCTGCGTGTGTGCATTACATGTGTAAATGCATGCAGCTGCCACTGCGTGCTGATGAAGATCAGAGGACAGTCTGTGGGGCTGGCTCTACCCTTCACCACTTGGGCTCTGGAGACCATCAGGCTCACTGACGAGCACCTCTAACTGCTGAGCCATGGATTTTCCTTGAGTTTCCTTGAGATTTCACTTATTAGTGATTTTTAGTTTTCTTCTAACTATATGACCTGAAGGTTTTCTCCTAATTCTTCCAGTGCAAGTCCAGTAGATGTCCTGCAGATATTTAGAGTTGGCAGAGTGAATGAAGCCACAGAGTTTTTGAGCATACTGGGCAACGTGCAGCCCTTGTTTCATGGATCTCCTGTGCGGAACATTCTTGGAATCTTGTCCCGGTAAGATGTGCCATTTTACTTTCTAGTTTTCAGGCTTACAAGTGTGAAATGTTCCCCTTTCTTGCCTACTTTTGTCTAGCATCTTTGATGCCAAACAAGACCAAAGTAAATACACAAATCACATGAGCTTTTCAGTTAAAGCAGCAAATCTATACACAGAGAAACGTATATGTCATCAACATTTTTTATTTGTGATTATATATTATATATTTGTGGGTTTTTAAAAAAGTGTTTTACATACGTATGAATTACTCCTTGAAATTTGGGCATGGTGATACCTATAATCCTAACCCTCAGCAAGCTGAGGCAGGATGATGGCATCTAGTTCAAGCCCAGCTTTGGCTACAGAATGAATTCAAGGCCATTCAGTGTTGATGGAGTTTTCCTGTCCTGGCAGCCACTCCCAAATAAATGCACAGAGGCTAGTATTAATCATAAATGCTAAGCCAATAGCTCAGGCTTGTTACTATCTACCTCTTACATTTAAATTAATCCAATTTTACCTATGCTCTGCCACATGGCTTGGTACCTTACCTCAGTACAGCATGTTCATGTCCCACTTCCTCTGTGTCTAGGGTGACTCCTTAGACTCTGCCCTTCTTCCTCCCAGCATTCTCCTAGTCTGGCTCTCCTGTCCAATCTCTTCCTGGCCAGCTCAATAGACCTGATTTCTAAACCTTGGGGGAGAAGCTGACGTTACAGGGGCAAAGAGAATTAGGAGTATATTTTGGTCCTTTACTCAAGCACATAGGGATTTTTAGTTTTCTTCTAACTGTATGACCTGGGGGTGGTGATGCAATAATTCCAGCATTCTGGAAACAGAGGCAGGCAGATCTCTGTGAGTTCAAAGCCAACTTGGCCTACATAGCAAGTTGCAGGCCACCCAGAGCTACATAGTGAGACTCTGTCTAAAAAGAAGAGGAAGAAGACGACAAAATGGAAGAGGAAGAAAGGAAAAGGTGGAGGAGGAGGAAGAAGCTGAAACTTAAGGGCTGGGAAGTGGCTTAGTGGTAGCCTAGCAGGAGTGAGGTCCTGGGTTCAATCCCAAGTACTGAAAACCAAACAAATTAACTGTATAGAAAAGCCCTTTCTATATGGGACAAAATCCCAAAAAACATCTTATAAAATCAATTCAATCTTCTGGTGCAAAAGTCAAACAATTGATATTTTTGTAATCAAAAACAGAAGCCTGCCATGGCCTGTCTATAGAGAACGCCATGTTTTCATGCTAAGAGAATTCTGAATGTCTGAAGTCCAGTGGGAACCTGTATAAGAGCCCAAGCAGTGAAGAGAATCAGTCAGCACTGGGCTGGCTTATCTGGGGCCTTGCCTGGAAGAGGCAGAAGCAATGGCCAAGAGCCTGTGTGGTCAAGACAGCGATGGGGAACCAACCACAGCTAGCAACATGCTAATGGCATGTGTTGCTCTGAGAGGTCACAGTCATGTTTGGTATCTATGGAGTTGCTTCCAGAACTTTCTCAGATGCTGAAACCTCCAGTGCTCAAGGGTCCTCTGTAAATGGAGTCTGCATAGAACAGAAGTGTTTTCCCTGTACTTTAAATTATACCCACATGGTGTAATAGTGTCTAATACAGTGTGAGGGCTATGAACACTGTTGCCAGGAAGTATTGTTTAAATTAATGACAAGAAAGTTCTGTATATATTCCATATAGGTGATTTATTTTCTAAATGTTTTAAATCCATGGCTGGTTGACTATAGGTATGGAGGGCCTGCTGAACTCTGACCTGGGGTTTGTAAAGACAGGTGAATCTGCTGTTGGAGTTTAAAGGAGTTAAAGGAGTCTTGTCCTCTGGTAAATCACCATCCTGCCCTTCTCTTTCAGAGGGCTGCTTTTACCTAAAGTTGTAGAAGACCGTGGCATGCAAAGGACAGATGCTGGAAATCTGGGCAGTGGGATTTACTTCAGTGACTCAGTCAGGTTGGTGTGTTCTAACCATCCCCCACCACTGAGGCTCCTTGCAAACCTCATCTTTAGTGAGTGAGTCTCTCTCCCAACAACACATCATCACCGAAAGCAGTCGGTTCTGTAAAACCGACTGTAAAAGCAGGGCTTCTTGGTGAGCATTTGAGAAATGGTGTTTAAAATCTTCTTAGTGCCCGGGAATTGTGGCACACACCTTTAGTCCCAGCACTTGGGAGGCAGAGGCAGGCAGATCTCTGAGTCTACAGAGCGATTTCCAGGACAGGTTCCAAAACAATACAAAGAAACCCTGTCTCAGGGGGGAAAAATGTTTTATTACTTTTAAAACTGTTTATTTAGTGTGGTGTGTGTGTGTGTGTGTGTGTGTGTGTGTGTGTGTGTGTGTGTGTGTGAAGGTGGGCTGGGGGTGGGGGAGACATGGTCATTCCACAGTGTATTTGTGGAGGTCAGAGAACAACCTGACCTCCACAGTCAGTTCCTTCCACCAAGTAGGTCCCAGGGATCCAACTCTGGTCACCAAGTTTCACAGCAGGCACCTTTACCCACTGAGCCATCTTGCCAACCCACATCAGCTTTTACATATATTTCTAGCTGGACTTCTCCAGTACCCGTCACCTCCTCTTCCCTCAGCCCCCACCCCATGGGTAAACCCTCTCATATCACAGATGGGGACCCTAAGGCCTCAGGCCATGCAGCTAAAAGAAGACACAAGGGGGATCAGGCCTTGGCAGTTTTGATCTTTGTCCAGGCCAGTGATTATTAGTTACTTTTCTGTTACTGAGACATAACACCACAACAAGGCAACGACAGAAGGAAGAATTTATTTGAGCTTGTGGTTCCAGGGAGTTAGAGTCTGTGATGGTGGAGTGAAGGCATGGCTTCAGGAGCGGGAAGCCAAGGGCCCACATCTTCAACACAAAACAGAATGCACTGAAAGTGGCATGAGGCTTTGAGACTTCAAAAGCAGCCCCAAGCACAGACTTCCTCAATGACTCCTCCCCGCTAAGCCTCCAAAAGCAGTGTTGTCACCTGGCCCCAAGGCTGTGGGGGCATCCCATCCAAGGACCACAGCAGCCATGCTTGCTCTTGCTGACCACTGCTTTCTCTCACTCCCATCTAGTGGGCTTTGTCTCCTTGTGACTTCATGTTTCTTGAGATTGGTGTAACCCTGTGTAACCCTTGCTGGCCTAGGACTTGTCATATAGATCAGACTGGCTTCAGACTAACAGAGATCTGCCTGCCTCTGTCTCTCAACGGCTAGGACTAAAGGCATTGTTATTTTTTTTTTTTTATTTTAATCATTTATTATTTATATATTGTTCCTGCCTGCACACCAGAAGAGGGCACCAGATCTCATTATAGATGGTTGTGAGCCACTGTGTGGGTGCTGGGACTTGAACTCATGACCTCTGGAAGAGCAACCAGTGCTCTTAACCTCTGAGCCTATGTATCCCCTAGGCTGAGGCTATGTATCCTAGGCTGGCCTTGAACTCATGACCCTCCTGCCTTGATCTCCTAAGTACTGGGCTATAGGTGTGTACCTGCCCAACTTTTTAGGATGAAGTTCTAACTTTTATCTTTGGAGATACTGCAATGGTGGTCAACTTTGGAAAGATTTCCCTAGAAAAATCTTTCAACAATACAGGCTTGGGTATTCTTTGTCTAGGAATTAGATCTTTCTTGCAGATTTGAGATTATCTGTGGGGACACCCAAATCCAAATGTGGAATTCATTTTTGCATCATGTACATCTCATAACCTGCTGGTATTTCTACACAATATGCTTAGTGACCTTCCCTCAGACCACAACCATCACAGGGTTAGGGGTAGAATTTTCCATCCGTGGTGTCACACTGGTGCACAAAGTTTTCAAAGTCGTTTCATTTTGGTTCACAGTTTTGGGTTTGAGATACCCCACCTATGTCTCTTATACAGTGAAGTGAGGCTGGCCCGTAGCCATTATAACCTGTGTTTGTTTCCTTCTTCACGCAGTACAAGCATTAAGTACTCACATGCAGGGGAGACAGATGGCTCCAGACTCCTGGTCATCTGTGATGTTGCCCTGGGAAAGTGTATGGACTTATTCAAGAAGGACTTTTCTTTAACTGAGGCACCACCAGGCTATGACAGTGTGCATGGAGTTTCCAAAATGACCTCTGTCACCACAGACTTTGAGGTACTTTATTTTGAGACATATGCGGACCTGGAGTTATGGGTCAGTAGCCAATCCCTTTGCCCAGATGTGCAATGACCAGCCCCAGAGGGTTGCTTCTATTTTTATTAAATATGTTTTCATTTAAGTCATGCCCATCTATCTACTGCCCAAATTCAGCCTTTGCTAAATTAATAAATCTGAGAGTCTGTTTCTCTGGGAACATCTGGCTGCTCTTGCTGAGTTTGTTTATGTCTTATTGATTCCCCTTTGCTCTAGGATGACGAATTTGTTGTTTATAAAACCAATCAAGTTAAAATGAAGTACATTGTTAAATTTCGCATTCCTGGAGATCAGATAAAGGATTTCTGTCCTCATGAAAACACTGAGTTAGAGGAGCACAGAGCTGCGCCTTCAAATGTTTCAAAGCTTGAAGGTAAGACAAGTTTCTTAGGTACTGTCTTATGAAATAACATGAAGTGGAATTTTTTTTTCAAAAGCATTTATATTTGTGTTTGGTAAGCAGTATCTGTGACTTCCTATTTCATTTTGTCTTGAACATTTAAAAAGCAAGATGCTTAAGAGAGATAAAGTGATCCCTTGCTTTGTCACTAGCTTGCCTAAGCTGACTTGTTGAGGGTTGCCGTGATTTCCTTACAGGCTTTACAGCAGGCAAGGTCAAAAATGGTCCTTGAAAAGACAAGAATAAAACTCAACTCAGCCCTATTTTATTGTAACTGGGATGGACCAGGATTTCTAGAGTCTGGCCCAGATCATTTTACTTTAGCCATAGTTATGCATATCACAAGTTTGGGAAAAGGTTTTCAGTTAACAATTAACTCAGAATTAACTCAGCCCCAAGTGCACAATTTAAGACATGTTTTCATTGAGATTCCTTACCAAGTACATCTGGCTTCTTTCACAAGAATGACTCAGAGATAGTACCCAAGATTTAGGGTCTAGAGAGCTTGACGGAGGTAAACATAAAGCCCGTGGGTGTCAGGATTGGCCAGCCTCGAAAACTTAGAAGTCACTCCGGCTGTTATAAAGGACAAGTGGCATCACTCTTTACAGTGGGTTTATGGTCTAAAAGCAACACTCACCATTTAGGGGAAAGGGATTAGGAAAAAAGGAAAACAGTAAATTCTCATCAGAAAGCAGAGGATCACCAGGTTGTAAAGGACATCATTCCTGGTGTTCCATGAAGGACAGCTATGCACCTCATTCATTGCAGAGGTGAGCTGTGGGCTTAACTTCCCTGGCTTCTCCAGTGATTGCCTGTGTACACAAGGCTCTTTGTTCTCTATAGGGGATGAGTCTCCATTTTTTTTTGTTGTTGTTGCTATAGCAAAAAACTAGGTGTGTTATAAAGAAAAAAATTGTAATACATGTGTGTGTCTTTGTGTGTGTGTGTGTGTGTGTGTGTGTGTGTGTGTGTGTGTGTGTGTACATGTTTGGAGGTCAAAGAATAATTTTGCAAGAATTTTCCTCTTTTCACCAGTAGACCCTTGGGGTTGAACTCAGTACACAGGAGGATCTTGCATTCCAGGCCTTCCTGGACTATAAGTCAAGTGTCTATCTCAAAACAAACCAAAACAGGAGTGTTGTCTGTCCTACAATTTTAAATGTTCAGGGGTCTGATGCTGCCATCAGCTTGGCTCTGATGTGGACCTCAAAGCAGATGCTATCACAACAGAAACATGGGCAAGAGGGAGATCATGTCATAGGCAGTCAGCCAGAGTAGGAGTGGAACCAGCAGCCAACTCCACTAGGTCCTGATTCTAAAGGTCCCACGCACCCCCAGACATCACACCCTGCTGACTAAGCATCCAACACAGGAACTGTTGGGAGATGAACTATATCCAAGCCATGGCATCCGTGGAACTAGGTCAGGGTGCAATAGCAAAGGGAGCAGAATAAGCAGATGTGGCTGTAGACTCAGAAAGCTGGTGTTGACTGTGGCTCCCACTTAGCAAGTGGTGCTGTCTTGAACACTTGACCTCTTCTCAGATGGACATGAACATATGTCCTTGTTAAATGTCACTATAAGATGAATAAAAAATGAAAAAGGGGCCCACAAATTGTAATGGACATTGAAGTCAAATAGCAGGAAACAAGCTTCCTGGAAGACGTTGGCCCTTATAATAAATGCCACCTAGTAAGAGTAAAAGCATGTTAGAAGCCAGCCATGATGCTGCATGCATATAATTCCAGCATTGAAGCCTAGGGTGGACAGGAGGATGCTCTCCATAAGTTTGACGCCTGCCAAGGCTACATAGCAAGACCCCCTGACAATATCCTTCCAAAAAGAGCAGTTCTACTGATTGTTTTGGTTAGTTTGTGTGTCTATTTTGATGCACGGGACTGATCCAGATTCTTGCACATGCTGAACAAGTACTCCATCTCTAAGCCACATCCCCCGTGCTTTTTTATAATCTGTTCTTTTTTCTTTTTATTTTATTTTTTCCTGTGCTAAGATTGAGCAAAGAGCCTCACACATGCTATTACTTCCTGTTGCCTTTGGATAAAGATGCAGCAAAACACCCATACACATAAAATAAAAATTTTTAAATAATTTAAAAATAGAAACAGACAGAAAATAATACTAAGAATCAATGAAACAAACAGTTGGTTCTTTGAAAAGAAAGATTTAGGTCCTCTTTTTTGGTCTCCAACACAAATAAATAAATAAGTAAATCCTTTTTAAAAATTATTAATGTGTGTGTGCATGCATGAACACATATGTGCACACATGTGGGGGTCAGAAGACAATCCATGGTAAGTTGTTCTTTTCTTCCCATATGGGCCTAGGGATCAAACTCAAATTGTCATGCTTGGGACCAACTAAATGCCTTTACTCAATAAGCTGGCTCACCATCCCAATAAAATACTTCTTTAGTGAAATAGAAAAGTAGAAATGTATTTGAGAATGCTTTCCTCACTGGGTTTACTTTGCATAACTGAGTATTAAAAGCTATAGTGGCTTGAGTGTAGCTCATTTGGTAGAGGCTTGCTTCGTGTTCACAAAGCTGTGGGTTCAGTCCTGAGCAGTGCCACAACAAAAGCAAAAAAAGATGAAACAAAACCAAAAGATAGAATAACAGCTGGACGTGGCAACACACACCTATAATCCCAGCACTTGTGAGGCTGGGGTAGGCAACTTTCCAGTTTGAGAGTAGGCTAGGGCTAGCTAGCTACATAGGGAAATCTTAAACAGAAAACTCATAGGATACCATGAATATAATATTATTTCCATCTTTCCCAAGCTTTCATGTCTACACAGTAATTAATGGGGATGAATATGATAACAACAGAGCTGTAGCTGTTTTAAAGCTGATGTTGTGTTTGTAAGTTGCAGATTTCCAGTTACCAGATATCAAGCCCCTCACCAACGTCAAAGCTGGCCTTCAGGATGTTTCTGCAAATTCTGTCCCTCTTGACAGTGTTCACATCAAGGGAAGAATAATAGACTTTGTAGCTCAGGTATGCTTTTTGTGGTTTATGACACTTAAATGAATATGTCATAAATAAGAATGTGGTTGCAGTTTTATGAACTAAATGAAATACATATTAAAATGCACATGTCACTTGTTTAAGGAATAATGGTAGGGAAAACTTCTTAAATTCACTACTTAATATAGGCACTTTTTTTTCAAATATTCTATCTATAGTTGGTTGAATCCACCATGGGATTGGCATCAACATATATAGAAGGCCAATTGTATATTATTCTAGAATCTACTCATTAAATGCATTTTCCACTTACATTTTTAGCTTATCATGGATTTATTGAGACATGACCTCATCACAGAGCCAGGAATGTCTGTATTCCAGAAGTCCCCAGCCACATGACACTTGGGAGGCAGCAAAATTCTTAGCATAAAAGGGGCCTTTTGACTTCTACGCTGGTCAGGCATATATAACTGCCTAAATACACAGCTGGTGCTCTGGTCATGTGGCATGAACGGTCCACTGTGGTATACAAAGCATTGACCCCAGAAACCAGGCTTGTGAATTTGGAGGACATGTTGACATTTTAAGGGATTTAAACTGTGATCAGTGTGCACACCTGTAATGCTAGCACTTGGGAAATTAAGGAAGGCAGGCGGGTCCCCAATTTAAGATCAATTTCAGGTTCATGACTGGCCTGGGCTGCATGGGACCCTATCTCAAAAAAAGCAAAAAAAAAAAAAATGTTTTTAGGTAATTAGTATATATAATGAATATGTATAATTATCTTCACTAGTTGTTCTTGTAAATGTCCCATGTGATTTTTTTCAATTATATGGATCTTTTTTCCTTTCTCTTTCAGGTCATTGTTTTTCAGACATACACAAATCAAAGTCAAGTGCCTATTGAGGCAAAATATATCTTTCCTTTGGATGACAAGGCAGCCGTGTGTGGCTTTGAGGCATTTATCAACGGGAAACATATAGTAGGAGAGGTAAGAGGCTAAAGCGCAGAGCCCATATTCCCAAAGCTTCATTACCCGAGTAACCATGGCTGCAAAGTTGGGAAATAGCAGCATTAAAATGGAAAGTACAGTCTGCCTCCACTGATGGATCCCTCCCTAACCAAAGAGGATGGGGAAGAGGAGGAAGATAAAGGAGATGATAGCCAGGCAGTGTTTAATCCCTGCACTTGTGAGGCAGAGACAGGTGAATCTCTGAGTTTGAGGTCAGCGTGGTCTACAGAGTGAATTCCAGGTCAGCCAAGGGCTACGTAGTGAGACTCCATCTTTAAAAAAAGAGAGAGTTATAAGAAAAATCACTACATTAAAAATAGACAATTTTTTTGTGTGTCTGCCGACGTTCCAGACTCTAATTTTCAGCTTCTGACTGGAGTTTGACCCTAACTTAGAGAGGGTCCTTTTCTAGTTCAGACTCTTATCAGGCTACATGCTGATAAGATCCATTTATGTAAATTTTCATCTACCCAAGACTTACTTTCCTGGCTCTGTGTAGGCTTTAATAAACATTGGCATCATTTTCCTATTAAAGTCTGAAATCATTCTTCTATAAAGAACATTTTAAAAATCTTTTCCTAGCTGGGCAGTGGTGGCACACCCCTTTGATCCCAGCACTCGGGAGGCAGAGGCAGGCAGATCTCTTTCAGTTCAAGGCCAGCCTGGTCTACAGAGTGAGTTCCAAGATAGCCAGGCCTACGTAGAGAGACTCTGTTTCAAAAGACAAAACAAAACAAAAGAAGTCTCTCCCAAAGTTGGACATGGCATCTCCCACCTGTGATCTCAGCAGAGGCAGGAGGATTGTTGCAAGTTCAAAGCCAGTCTGGGATACATAGTGAATTCCAGGCTAGTCTAATACAGAGTGAGACTTAGTCTCTTAAAAAAAAATCAAAATAAACAAAATCATCATAATAATTGTCTTTTCCAGATAAAGGAGAAGGAGGAAGCCAAGCAGGAATACAGAGAGGCTATCAGCCAAGGCCATGGCGCTTACTTGATGGACCAGGACACTCCGGTACAGCTTGTTATTCATCCAGTGGCTAGTGTATTATGGGAAATGATTTGGAATAAGAATCTACAGTAGAAACAAAGACTGTTTATAGTCCTTTAGGTTTATAAGATCTCTTGTAAATATCACAAGCTCTAGGCTGTGCACAGCTACCTTGCAAGACCTTGTCTCAAACACACTAATGAAAATCGCCTTAAGATAAGGGAGGCCAAGCCAGCCATAGCCATGTGAGCTGTCTACATAAACTGGGAAGTGAAGTCAGTGCTACAGGAAGCAGGAAGAACCACCAGGCTGTGGGTTCGGAACTGATGGCACACATTTGGACTACACAATCCCAACTGTAAAATGTAATAATTTATGTTTTTCCCAGAACTAAACTCACTTACCAACGTGTCCAGTTTTCACCAAGTTGTAAGCAGGAAGGCATTCCTGAAAGGGCTTTTATACATTTAATATTTGGCTGAGGGAAGAACACACTAAAGGTTAATGCTGTTCTATGGGAAAAGTTGCTTTCTTTCTTTCTTTCATTCATTCATTCTGTGTGCTCACGCTCACACCACAGCTTGTGGAAGTCAAAGGACAGCTTTGTGAAATTGGTTCTCTCCTTTTACCATGTAGATTCAGGAAACTGAACTCAGGTCATCAGCTAGTGCCTTTACCGTCTGACAAACCTATTCCTGGCCTCCCACTCCTGCACTTTAAGGATTGGCACTACAAATTCTTTAATAATTTCCCTTCATTGTCTTAGCACTTTCCTACAGATGGATGTACTTAATGACAAAATTTAGGGCTACTGAGATGGCTTTGCAGGTAGAAGTGCTTGCTGTACAAGCTCGACACCCTGAGTTGGGTCCCCAGAACCCATGTAAAAGTAGCATAAAAAAATGGATTTCCTTTGTCAATTGTCATCTGACCTACACACACACATATGGAAAGCAATGTTTCCTTTTTGCCTGGCAGAATTATGCTCTTCCTATAGTAAGAGATCTGGGGGCACTCCTTTAGCTGAATTCTACATTGCGGGGCCTCATATTTCCTAAACAGTCTTAGTAGATGCTTTATAATTAAAGTATTATTCCCAGTGTCTCCTGTATCAATGGTCGCTCTGGTGGTAGTGTTTGCACACTCCATCTAGCACCAGACAAACCAAGCATGGGCACACCTGTGAGTCTCAGCATGGGGCACTCAGACATTCAAGGTCATCCTTGGCTCCATAGTGGGCTTGAGGCAAGCTTAGGGTGTATGAGACTGGAAAGAAAGAAAAGAAGGGAAGGAAGTCAGGGAAGACAAAGCAAGAAGAAAGAAAAGGGGAAGGACTGAAAGGTGTTTCTCTCTTCCATCTTTCCTGCTCATTGGGTTGCCAGCTTCTACAATACTTATCATATCCCATTCAAAGGGTGTTAAATAACTACAAACTTACCCTTTAGTGAGCAGATTCAGCTTAGGGCAAGCTGAAAGCCACTTTCTGAACCCACAGGGGGCCTGATGCCAATTGCCATCAAGGTCAAAGAAGCCGCAGGTCCCCCATGTGATGAAGTGCAAAGTATGTGACTTCAGCTTGGAGTCCCTTGAGACTGTCCCAATGGCCATCCTCTCCTCTGCTTCCACAGATGTCACTCTTGTCCCCATCACAAGTGAATAGCTCCAGAGTTCCCCTTCACACTAGCAATGGTCTGTCACCATTTTCTGGCTCACTCTAGTGACACAAGGAATTAACTAGCAGAGAGTGGATATGCTTCTGAGTAGCTGTTTGCATTTCAGGATGTTTTCACTGTGAGTGTTGGAAACTTACCTCCTCGGGCTAAGGTTCTCATCAAAATCACCTACATCACTGAGCTCAGCATCCAAAGCCCTGTGGCCGTCTTCTTCATGCCTGCCACTGTAGCACCCTGGCAACAGGACAAGGCTTTGACTGAGAACCTTCAGGTGGGTGTCCTTAAGATGAGATTTATGGAAGCCAGGTATAGCATGCCTTTAATCCCAGAATTTGGGAGGCAGAGGTAGATAGATCTCTGTGAGTTCAAAGCCAGCCTGGTCTACATTGGGAGTTCTAGGACAGCCAAAGTACCATAGTTAGTCTCTGCTTCAAAAAGCCATTGCATATATGGGTGAGATGCTGGAGAGGTGGCTCTGTGGTTTAAGAGCATTTGCTGCTTTAGTAGAAGACCTGGGTTGAAATCATAACACCCTCGTGACAGCTAAAAACTGTAACTCCCATACCAGAGGATTCAGCACCTCTTCTGGCCTTCTCAAGCACTGCACTCATGTACCTAGTATACAATACATGCAAAACACCTATAGGCATTAAAAAAAAAAAATCTTCAAGAAAAAAAATCTTTGTGGTAATGGTTAGAGGTGTTCCTGATATCACACATCACTTGAGTGCTAGAAGTTAATGCCATCTCCTGACCCTATGCTTTGTCACTGCTTGGAAATGAGTCTGTCTCTTGATGCTGTCAGCTGTGCCTGGCTGGACTACCATAGAGCCCTAAAAGCCTACTGGGAACCCCTTATTCACATATATTTTTCTTCTGACAGGACACAGTGGAGAAGGTTTGTATAAAGGAAATAGGGACAAAGCAAAGGTCAGTACCTAAAATATAAACCCTGTGGTTAACTCATTCAATGGGCATTGGCTTTTATAGCTTAAATTTCTATTTACAGTGTTGGAAAGGCTGGGGGGTAGAGTTCACTGCTAGACTGATTGCTTACATGCATGAAGCCTTGGCTTTGATTCTCAATACTGCAAAGAGGAAAAGAAAAAGAAGAAAGATCATTTGAAGCAACCACAAGTGGGAATTTAAGATCTTGTACTAATATGATCTCTTCATTTTCGGTAGCTTCTCCCTGGCTATGTCCATTGAGATGCCCTACAAGATTGAATTCATTTCCAGTGACACGCATGAGCTGAGGCAGAAGGTCAGTGAACACTATTGGTTTCTGAAGAGCTCCTAGTTTCCCATTAATTCTGACATATCAAAAATATAAGTATGTGGTATAAAAGTGATCTAAGGTGACTCTGGCTTCCAAGCAGCAATCAGTGCTCCTTGCTGCTCCACAGGTTGGGGTCCAGTTGTCACTTCGAAAGTTCGAACTGTTTCTCTGCTGTTGTCCCAGGGCTTTAAATAATCATTTTTTACCATTTTCTCTTGATTCATCTGTGTCATGTAAGGATGGGTTGTAGCTCAATGTGTAGTGTTTGACCAGCATGCATGAATCCTGGCTTTGATCCTCATTATTGGGGATTAGGGGGAAGTTGTTTTTTGATAATCTGTTTGATAGGAATATGTAACAATGTTTATTGTTGCACCAATAAATGTATTACGATGGCATTTTTTTTTTTTTTGGTTTTTTGAGACAGGGTTTCTCTGTATTGCTTTGGAGTTTGTCCTGGAGATCTGTAGACCAGGCTGGCCTCAGACTCACAGAAATCTGCCTGCCTCTGCCTCCTGGGTCCTGGGACTAAAGGTGTGTGCCACCAACACCCAGCTGGCATTTTCTTTTTAGATAAATATTATGATTATGATTGATTATGATTATGATTATTATTTTGGCCAGGTGGTGGTAGCACATGCCTTTAATTCCAGCACTCAGGAGGCAGAGGCAGGTGGGTCTCTGTGAGTTCAAGTCCAACCTGGTCTACTGAGCAAGTTCTAGGACAGGTGCCAAAGCTACACAAAGAAACCCTGTCTGAAAAAAATGGGGGAAAAAAAGATTTGTTTATTTTTATTTTCTGATGAGTGTCTGCCTCTATGCATATATGTGTGCCACCTGAGTGCCTGGTGCCCATTCTAGCCAGAAGACAGAATGGGATTCCCTGCAACTGGCATTATACATAGTTATAAGCCTCCATATAGATGCTGGAAACCAAACTGGAGCCCTCTGCAAGAGCGGTAAATGGTCTTACCACTGAGGTGTCTTTCCAGCACTGGCATTTTATTTTTTAATCTCTATATAATATTTACTTTAAAAAGGTGGCCCCCAGGCTGGGGATATGGCCTTGAACTTGGTATGTACCAGAGGCTAATCTTGAACTCCTCAGCCTCCAAATGCTAGAATTATAATTGTGTGCCCTCTTGCCCTGGTGGTGGTGGTATACACCTTTAATCCCCACACTCGAGGCAGAGGCAGGCAGATCTCTGAGTCTGAGGCTTGCCTGGTCTATAGAGTGAGTTCCGGGACAGCCAGCATTATTCAGAGAAATCCTGTCTCAAGAAAAAAAAAAAAAAAAAAGTTATATATCCCCATGCCTCCCTTGAAAATATGTTTAATATTTTTTTTCTTGTTTTCTGTCTCCTCCGGTTGAGTTTTTCTCTCCCACACTGGCTTTTTTTGTTTGTTTGTTTGTTTGTTTGTTGTCTCCATTATTTCGTTTTAGAGGCTTTCCTCCAAATGCTAGAAGTATGAGTGACTCTTTGTTGGTTAAAATCAGGATGTTTGCAAATGAAGGGAAAGATGAGTAAGGGGCCGGTGTAGAATGCTGACTTTTAACCTTTCTCTCCCCTAAATGAAGCAGCCTGGTACTCTAGGCTTCATAAGCCCAAAGCTTCTAGTCTGGATTCTATTGGCTGAATTCTCTTAAGTAAATCATCTCTGATTCCCTTCACAGGGAGATGAGGGATAAATGACACTGCTTGGTTTACCCGGGTCAGAGACTCTCGCCCTGGGACCTGAGCACCGGGACCTGAGCACTCACTACACTGTTCACTTACCATGTTTTCTCAGTAACTGGTGCCTTCAGGCTGTGAGCCTTCTCAGAACCAATGAGCACATTGCAGTTGTCTGTCTGTCTCATTTGGGTAGCAATTGTTTTGCTGAGTCACCTGCCACTTCACAATTAATCATCGTCGTAAAAATTTGTTAACAGGCCAGGTAGTGGTGGCACACGCCTTTGATCCCAGCAGAGACAGACAAATGTCTGTGAGTTCCAGGACAGCCTCCGAAGCTACAGAGAAACCCTGTCCCAAAAAACAAAACAAACAATGTGATAACAGCTTTCTTTGTTGCTATCTGCAGTCTTCTTCTTGTGACCCCTTCCCCCTCCCCCACCCCGCCCCTCGTGGTTTCTACTGATTCTCTAGGAAGCAGAAGTTAGTGCACCAGTTTAATCATTTTGGAATGAGCCCTGCTCACAAATAGTCCCACAACTCTGTGGCTTAAAATATCAAGCAGTTTTTTATCCTCAGGAGGCTGTGGCGTGACTGGGACAAGATGGTCTAGGAACACAGCTGCTGGCCTGTGTCACTGTGTATGGCCACTGTGTGTCTCCCATCATAATGAGGCTTGCTCAGGGTCATTCATGTAGAAGTAGAAGAGTCCCCATTGGCAACAAGTCAAGGCCAGCCCCATGCAGACTGCTCTGCCTCATGCTTGCATCACATTTGCCAGCAGTACTGACCAAAGGATGTCACATGCTCAATCCCTTGGCAAATTCAAGAGTAGAACAGTAGATGCCACTTCCAAATGGGGGAGCTCCTAAGTCCCTGCAAAAGGGTCAGTGTCCTGGAATGCAGAGTCCTGCGGCCATTTTACAGTGCACTGTGTGGTCGTCATTATTTTAAAACTTAGCATCTTGGTCTTCAAACGTTGTTTCATATTTATGAATACCTACTTTACAAAGTGTAATCCCAAGGTGTCTAGTGAATGTTGTTTTGTTGTTCCAGGTTCTGATTATATGGTATGCTTTCTGCTGTATCCAGATAAACATACAGATCTATGATCTTTAGATATAGAGTGAATTGTCTCAGACCTAACTAGACTTGACTGTATCAGTCAACATGAGAGTTTCAGAAATGCAACCTATCTGATAGTGGCCACTCACAACTTTGGAATGTATTGCTGCAGTGTTGATTCATAATGCAGTTATGTGAATAATGCAGATTCTTACGGGGTGGCAGGTCAGTACAGATGGACAGGATGCTGCCATTCCCTTCTTTACCTGGTTGTGTGCTTGTTTTCCTTTGCAGAGCACAGACTGTAAAGCTGTAATTAGCACTGCGGAAGGCAGCTCCTTAGACATCAGTGGATTTTCTCTCCACATTGGTTTGTGTGATGCCTATCTCCCAAGAATGTGGGTCGAAAAACATCCAGAAAAAGAAAGTGAGGTACGTTCCTTCTTACTTAGGGATAGGAAACACTGCCAGACACGATTGTTCATTTAGAAAAGCTGAGGCAGAAAATAAATAAAGAAAAGAAAATCCAAGGCAGGAAAGTTACCACTACTTCAAAGCATGCCTTGGCTACATAGCAAGAAAACACCAACATACATACGTACATACATACATACATACAGTAGCTGAGCATAGCGCCTTACGCCTTTTAATCCAGTGCTTAGGAAATAGAGGCAAGGGGAAATCAGATATTATCCTTGATATTATCTTTCCATACAAAATTTAAGACCAGCATGTGCTATATGAGACCCTGTCTCAAAAATATAGTAATAATAATGATAATAATAGTAATAGAACTAGGAGATGCCATCTATTGTAGAAAATGTATGAATAAATATGCTACTAAAGTTGGAATTTTTTTGTTTTTTTGAAACAGGGTCTTTCTATGTAGTTTCAACTAGTCTTGAACTTTCTTTGTATCTCAGACTGGCCTTGAACTTGTGATCCTCCTGATTTAGTCCTCCAAGTGCTAGAAGTACAGGCATGTGCCACCCCATCTGGTGTTAGTGGGGTGAGGGTAACTCTTGGTCTGTGTCTCTTTGAAAGAAGGAAGACAGTTTAGAGGCATAGATACATAGACAGTTTAGCCAGTTTGTTTAGCAAAGATAAGCAAACAAACACTCCAAAGAGATTAAAGTGGGCTGCCCTAAAGGAAGCAGTCCAGTGCCTTCTTCCATGGATTTTCAACAAATTTCATGAATACTTGGAGGGGGGGTTCATGGGGTGAGGTAACCTTTTCCCTCCTGAATCATGGTGGATCACACCTTCCTCTTAGGGCATTTCTTCCTATGATCTTCTAGAAATGCCCACAGGGTGTGGCACAGAATCACAGTCTGAATGATTACAAGGGAGGTGGGTCTTTTTAGAGTGCAGACTCTGCCTTAGTGTACATGAAATGCCCTGGTGCCTTAGTTTCTGATGTAGCAGAAACAACATAACTATAGTTTCAAGGATGTCTCACTGCATGAGACATCTTATATGCCAGGAGACACAGCTACCAAGATACAGCTGGTATTCCTCAGTTACCTGGAGCCCACATGGTGGAGAGAATTGACTCCTGCCAGTCAGTTGTCCTCTGACCTCTACTTGCACACATGCAGACATATAAATGTAAAAACAAATAAAGCCAAGAGAGATGGTTTAGCAGTTAAAGGTTCTTGCCTTTAACAACCTGAGATCCTTGGAGCCCACATAGTGGAAAGAGAAAAGTGACTCCCATAAATTTTCCTCAGATCTCCATGTGCACACAGGTTCATGTGTGCACTCATCAACACCACACACACACACACCACACACACACACACACACCACACAAATAAATAAATTAGCAGAATGCAATTAAAATATTTTCAAAAATAAATAAAATTAGCCAGACGGTGTTGGCACACACCCATCAAGGCCCGATTTTTATTTGAATGCCTAGGATGCCTGGCCCCTTAGCCCTCGGTAGGTCGTTTTATTATTGAAAAAATAATAGGAATGAGTGGTAATATATACCTGTAATCTTAGTGCTTTGGAAAAATAGTTAAGAGAATCCAAAGTTCAAGATCACCCTTGACTATAGCAATTTTAGGCTAGCTTTTGTTACATGGTGGAGCTTTAAAAGTCTAAAAAGAGAAATTGTATCTGTTTTATCTTGGTAGCATTAGTTTGCTAGAGGTTTTCTTCTTTTAAGTGTGTGTGTGTGTGTGTGTGTGTGTGTGTGTGTGTGTGTGTATGTGTGTATGAGTGTATGGGTATGTGTGTATGTTGTAGACATGTGCCACAGAAAGCCTGTAAAAGCCAGAAGAAAACTTTGAGTGTGTTCTTTATGTCCCTGTGGCTTCTGGGGGTTGAAGTCAGGTCATCAGGCTTGAACAAAAGGCATGTTTACCTACTCAGCCATCTCACAGGCCCTAGAAACTTTCAAAATTATAGGTGCTTTCCCATGTAAACCCTGAGAACCTCTGACCCAGTCTTTTTCTCCTTTTAGGCTTGCATGCTTGTCTTTCAACCGGATCTTGCGGCCACCCTTCCTGATCTCCGTGAAAAGAATGAAGTGATTATTTGTCTTGATTGTTCCAACTCAATGGAGGGTGTGACATTCATGCAAGCCAAGCAAGTTGCCTTGTATGCTCTGTCTCTGGTGGGTGAGGAGCAAAAAGTAAACATTATGCAGTTTGGCACAGGTTAGTGCACTGTCTCAGCCCTTCATCCATCTCTTCTTTAACATGAGCATGTGCCGAATGGTGACTGTTTGGGCCTGGCTGGCCTCATCTGTGCAGTGGGAGACAGCTTAGCATGAAGCTGAAACACAGAGAGCTGAAGTCAGTGTCTCTTGGTGAAGATCCCATCCCACCTGTTCATAAGCTCACCAGTCACTTCGGGCAAGTCTGCTTAAACTTTTCATCTGCATGACTATAGCCCTTACATCATAGTCTTGTATGGGTGGAGCTAACATAGGCCAAGGATTTTAAGCTTTGATATATATATATATATATATATATATATATATAGAGAGAGAGAGAGAGAGAGAGAGAGAGAGAGAGAGAGAGGCTAAGACACAAATGTGACCAATGTAATCATCAGCTAAGCAAAACACAAGAACCTTGGTTTATTTAATAGGAAGGCCCAAAGAATCAGGACCAATATTTGCAACCAGTGCACTCATAGATAATGTGTTAGAAATGGTTCAGGCCATTATTACAAGAATAATCTTAGGATAACCAATCAAATGGTTAATAGTGCCTTTGAGCCGAGCGTGATGGTTCATATCTATATTCCCAGCACTCCAGAGACTGAGGCAATAGGACTGACCCAAGGCTAGCCTGAGCTACATTGTGAATTCCAGGCTAGCCTGAGCTACAGAGCAAGGCCCTGTCTCAAAGAAATAAATAAATGTTGGGCAGTGGTAGTGCATGCCTTTAATCCCAGCACTTGGGAGGCAGAGGCAAGCAGATCTCTGTGAGTTCAAGCTCAGCCTCGGCTACAGAGTGAGTTCCAGGACAGCCTCCAACAGAGAAACCCTGTGTTGAAAAACAAAAACAAACAAAAATAAATAAATAAGTCCAGCATCTCAGGATGAAAGAAAAGCGTAGAGTAAGGTCAGGGGACAGTCTTGTCCTGATGACTCTCATCTAGCTTTTTTACAATGAAGCTAGGATCATTCTGCCAGAAACATGGATCCTACAGGCATGGCAAGCACTTTGCTGGAGTCTGCCTTGCCAGGGCTGAGCTGCCCATGCCACTGAAGAGTCCTGCACTTTGATTTTCCTGGATGGCGCAGAGATCTCTATGTAAAATTGACTAAAAACATCTTATATAGTATAGCTTATAGAATAAGCATTGAAACATGAGTATTTTTGTATGTTAAAGTGTTTGTACATAGTTCTCTGAAAAGGAAATACTCACATAAAATTCCAATGTTCTTTATGGCAGAAGCAGTGTTGTACAGTATCATTGGTGTTTATTAGTGATCAGTCTGGTGAGTTTAATGTCAATATATCATACTTTCTCATTACACAGGTTACAAGGAGCTATTTTCATACCCTAAGTACATTGCAAACAATAAAATGGCCACAGAGTTCATTATGGTAAGAGAACTGTCCTCCCCTCCTGAATCTTTGTGTGGGAAGCTTGAGTGGTACTGCCCCTTAATCCTGGGATGTTTGCACATTGGTGATTGGTAAGTCAGCTTTTTCTACAAATGCATGTGATAAACCAATTTATAAGGTTTTTTTTTTTTTTCCCCTCAAGACGGGGTTTCTCTGTATTGCTTTGGAGCCTGTCCTGGAACTCGCTCTGTAGACCAGGCTGGCCTGGAACTCGCAGAGATTTATCTGCCTCTGCCTCCCCAGTGCTCGGATTAAAGGAGTTCACCACCAGCGTCCAGCTGGAGGCAGGTTTCTTTAGTTCACACTTGCAGAAGTTTCATACTGTTCCTTCTTGGCCTTCTAGCTTTAGTCCTTCCACGGCACAGCATGTTACAGCAGAGGAGAGGAGAGTCATTCACCTGAGGGCTCAGGAGCAGAGGAAGGCAGAGGCCCACTCTTTAAGGGCACAATCTGAATCCTAGTACACGAAGTCCCATCACCTGCCAGGAGCACCACAGGCAGATAATAAAGCCTTTGTGGGGTGGGAGAAGTCAGTTATCTATCCCACAGCAGTGGCCTCTGATGATGATGGTGAGGATGGTATGACCTTTATTGAATTGGGCTTAGCAAGAGTGAAAACAGAAAAGTCAAATTTGTAATCCCAGCACTCAGCAGGCAGAGGCAGGAGGATCAGTTGTTCAGAACAAGGTTAGCTACCTAGAAGTTCTGAGGCCAGCCTGAGCTGTACCTGTCTCAAAAAAAAAAAAAAAAAAAAAACCTAAGAAGGGTCTGATGAGTCTGGTGAGAAGGCTCAGTGGGTAAAGGCAGCAACTGAGTTCCACCCTGGGAGAATTGGCTCACACAAGTTGTTGTGTGACCTCCACACATGCTCCATGGCACCCATGAGCTCCACCCCCACACAAATCAAAAAATATAATAAAAAAATTAAACAACCACCAACATGGCTATGTAAGCATTTTGGAAAATGAACAGTCTACCACCCAGGCCAGCAAAGTCGAGGATACTTTGACGTCATGTTTCTCTGCATAGATGTTTAGTTCTTTGAAAACTAGTGTTTAGATGTTCCATGGTAATATTATATTTGCTATGGGGCATGGGATAAACTAGAAGGATATAAGTATCTTTGTTCCGTGAGGAATTAATGAGAGGCTGGGAGTAATAAACTGCTGTTAAAAGGACTTGCTCAGGAAATATTAAGTTATACAGAAGTAGAATTTAGCTAAAGGAGCGCTGCCTCAGATTGAACCGGAAGACCAGTGGTGTGCTAATCAGGCTTCTTAGGAACTACAGACAGATAAGAAAAGAATAGCTGACCTCTAATGTAGTCAGAGCCCAGAGTTACCAAATCTGCTAAGTTTTGTTCATGACAACTGCCAGCTAGCAGGACCCGGGAACAACACTGCTCTGATTCAAAGTAACTGGGACAACATTTTTGCTGTGTAAATGTCCCTTTTGTCGAAATGGCCAAGTTTACAGTTTGTATTTTTGCTTAATTTAATTAAATTAATTTAATTTAAATATGTTTAATTTAATTGCTCAAAGTGTAGCTTGGATCTGGGACCTATAAGAGATTTACAGGTGATAGCATATTATGTATGCAATGCTATAGCTCTAAATCTATAGCGCTAAAAGATTTCTGTTCAGGACCAGTTTCTCTTTGGACATTTGTCAGAACTAGACATGCACTATCACTGAAAAGCTTTTCCTTCAGTGTCCCCTGGTGTTTGGAGTGAATCCTCACTGGGGACTGGAAGGATTTGCCGTAACATCTAGACCTGAAGATATAATGCTTCTTCCCCTGCAGTCCTCGGCACCTACCATGGGGAACACAGACTTCTGGAAAATTCTCCGCTATTTAAGTTTCCTGCACCCTTCTGAAGGGTTACGGAACATTCTCCTCATATCTGATGGGCACCTCCAGAGTGAGAGTCTGACATTGCAGCTTGTGAAGAGAAATATCCAGCACACCAGACTGTTCACCTGTGCTGTTGGGTAAGTCTCACAGCTCTGGTCACCATGGTGACAAAGGCAGCTAGTAGACAAGTCTTCAGTTGGTGTGTCTGGCAATTTTGCAAGTTTAGAAGTTGGTATGAAGCTGAGCAGTGGTGGCACACGCCTTTAATCCCAGCACTCAGGAGGCAGAGGCAGGCAGATCTCTGTGAGTTCGAGCCTGGTCTACAAGAGCTAGTTCCAGGACAGCCTCCAAAACCACAGAGAAACCCTGTCTCAAAAAAACAAAAAACAAAACCAAACAAACAAAAAAGTTGGTATGAGTATATGAAACCTATATGTTGCAGAGGGGTTGAGTTCTTGGCTTGGGACTAGGGTCTCACAACTACAGGGACCTTGGGCAGGCTGTTTCATTTGTAAAATGAAGGTGCAAATAATCATGGGATTATTATTTTGCTTAAGAGTCCAGGTGCCTAGCTTGTCCTTGGCGGTCTGGCTCAGCTCCCTGGGGCTGATTTGGGCAATGCCTGCACTTGGGGCATTGGGTCTCATACGGTCTCACGCCTGCTGTCTCCCTCCCTGTGCTGTCCATCAGTTTCCTGCATTTGCACTGAAACTCTGGAGTCAGTCTCTCCACAAGTAATTGTAATTAGCGTCTGTAAGGAAAGAGCGAGGCTGGGGGGGGGGGGGGTGTCCTGCTGATTGGGTAGAGCCTCTCACCTGGTGCCTCTCCTGAAGCTCCTAGATTCTTCCTGCACAGCTCCCGCCCCAGGACACCAGGTGTCCCTGTTCTGAGGTGGGGAATGAGGCAGATTAGTGAGGTGATATGTGTAGACTTGCTGTGCTGTCCTCACAAGTGAGCTCTGACCACAAGCCCCCATTGTCTGGAGTCTAGGACATCCACATACCTTCCCAGCATTCCATTCCTATCTTTCATAGCCTCTAAGGCGCTCTAAGGTGATTAAAAGTAGCTCTTGCTGTTCCTACAACTCTCCATGCTTTTGCTTATTTTTTTCCCTTTGTTTCAACTGGGCTAGCCAGGCTAGCCAGGAAATTACTAAACAGACCAGGCTGGCCTGGAACTCATAATACTCTCTCCTCAGACTGTCAGTCGAATCTGAGATTACAAGCATGTGCCACCATGCCTGGCTAGGCTGATATATTGTGTTTTGTGGCAGGGTCTCATGCAGCCCAAGCTGGCCATGAACTCTTAAAGTAACAGAGGAAGACCTTGGTCGCTGATCCTCTTGCCTTTGCCTCCCAAAGGCAAGGATTACAGATGTGTTCTGGTACACCTGGTTTGTTCAGTGCTGGGGATTGAACTCAGTGCCTTGTGCATGCCAGGCAAACGCTCTACAATGTGAGCTACATTCTAGTTCTTTAGGTTGCTATCTTTATCAAGTATCACTCTGATATCTTTTGAGTTTTGTGTTTGTTTATACTTTGCTTTGTTTAAGAAAGGTCTCTGTGTGGCCCAGGCAGACTTCAAAATGTAACCAAGGGTACCTTTGGGCCCCTGATCTTCCTGCCTCTGTCTCCCAAGTATGACATCATGCCTAGTACCTTTTGGGGTTGTTGTCATTGTTAGTGTTTAAGTATGGAAGTATTAGATTTTATTTATTTATTAACACCATGTGTATTAGCAGAGTGGCATCCCTGTGAGGCAAGAAGGAAGTCTAGTTCAACACTAGTAGCCAGTGTCCATTCACACTTCTGGAGTCTGGCACCAGGCATTTTATTTTAGGCATATTTAAGTACAGTACAATTTGGGGAGGGGAGTTTCCTGGTATAACAATTCCATGTGCACAATAAAGCTTAAGACATAATTTCATCAAAACTCTTTCAAAGTACATGTCCCCTCTTCTGTGTTATCTTAGGGGTTTGGGGGAGAGTCAGGTGTGGCCTCAGTCATACTGATAGTGCTGAAGTCACTTATACTATTAACCACCTCTGGTTCTGTTTGTAAGAGTCTGGAGGGGACAGGTGTGGCCTCAGCCATATGGATAGTGCAGGCTCTTCACCACTCCATTCCCAGGCTTCTGGGTGGACAACGGTTATACATTTATTCCTTTGAAGAGACAACCCTGCGGTTTAACAGGCCTAGTTTCCCTAGTGCTTATGTGCACAAGGACCTCACTTTATCTGCTTAAGTCGGCAACAGAAAAGTTAATCTTCATTTATCTTTTTCAACATTGTTAGCATATATTTTACAACTTTGTCTAAAATGTCTTGAAAATTGCTGGGTGTTAAGTTTGTAATCTCAGCACTTGGCAATCCAAGCAAGAGGATTGAAAGTTTAAGGTCAGTAAGGCTACTTAGTAAGATCTATCTAAAAAACAAACAAATAAAAAGCAACTGAATACCACCAAGATTGGCATGATGTTACAGACCTCTAAGAGGTGGAAGGATTGCCCCAAGTTCAAGGATAGCCTGAGCTACAGAGAAAGACTCTTAAAAAAAAAAGTGTCTTAAAAATTAAAAACATGGAAGCCCAGTGTGGTGGCTGATATCTTTAATCCCAGCACTCAGGTGCCAGGGTCCAGCCTGGGCTCAGGTTCAGGTCCTGTGTCAGGGAAAGGGCATGGTCACAAGGAAAACTTCTGACCACCAAGTGGATTGCACTCCAGTGGCCCTGAATAGCTCAAGCTGTCTTTATTTATACTTAGAGTTTTTCTTACCAGGGTTGCATGAACAGTTTTATTATTGGCTTTTTTTAACTTTTAAAAAATATTTAACTTTTAAATAATATATTTTAAGGAAAACATCATAATCATAATGAAAGTCCTGTTGTTCCCCTTTATGCTTCCCTAATACACCTCCCCACGCCCTACATAACCTTATTCTAGACATAGGGTTCAGCATTTTTGCAGGCTTAACTAAATATCAAGCCAGACACATCCTGCTGTAGAACTTATATCAGCTGGCAACTACTTGCAGTTATAGAGTTAAAATGTAATAGACATGGGCACACACTTTAAGAACAACAATAGCCAAGCTCAGATAATTCTTTCATGTCTGCAAGATATGTTTTTATGCAGTTCCCTACAAGAAGGTCCTTTGTCTCGATCTCTCTGCGAAAGGCAGACTTTGATGAGGCACTCTCTTCCCATCTCACTGTACCATACTTCCACCAGTATAAGCTCCTGTATGGTAAAGGTGGATCTCTCCAGCCTACATTTTACATTGCATTACTCCCATCAGAGTATACTAGATCTTATCATTGATTCTATATGATTGGTCCCCAGGAAACTTACTCTTAACAGTTGGCACTATGTATACTCCTGAGGCCTTTTCCCTGTTCTGTGTGTTCATGCCCTACTCTTTCCAGGACTGTGAGACATGGTTAATGTTCCCAGTGTTGCTTTCACAAATCTACCTGTCCCTGTTGAGTCAGAAAAGTTCCCAAGATTAGTAGTTGTAGTTAGTAACTCCAAATAAGAGATTTGAGAAACATTAGCTCCCAATTGAATCTTAGGGGAAAATATTTGAAAAGGAAAAGAATCTCCAGGAAAAATTATAGCTGTTGCATATGTGACTGGCAAAGCAAAACTAAAAACCACCCAAAGAATCACCACTATAATGAGAGAGAAAAAAGCCTGCAAGCTGCATGAACTTTGCAAATTCCTACACTGTCCTATGGACTATATGTCCTTGACAAGTGAGAGTCCATTTCCACAGGTGTCTTGCCACAAAGAAACCCATTGGACAGCTAGTCATATGCTGATCAGAGGCTAGGCTGAATGACTTCTGACACTCAGAGTCAAAGGCAGGTAGATCTCTTGAGATCAAGGTCAGCCTGGTCTACAGAGTGAGTTCCAGGACAGGCTCCAAAGCCACAGAGAAATCCTGTCTCAAAAAAACAAAAACAAATAAAAAAAAAAAACAGAAATTAAAATGTGTGAAATGTGATCAGTTCTACAGCAAATCGTCACATCTTAAGGACCTTGTCTCAGTGTGGTGCTGGAGTATTTGAATATTTTAACTCAAAATCCAAGCAGAGTTGGAAAAAGCAGGTATGTGTTTTGTTTTGTTTTTTTAACATCTACCTGTACTCCTGTGTTTACATGCACAAATCCTATCTTCTTGCAAGTCTGAGAGTAACTTCTGTCTTTTTGTGAATAGATAAGACCTACAAGGAGGTCAAAGTTTTTAAAAACATTTTTTAAATAATAAGGATCAAGTCAGGCATGGTGGTTCACGCCCTTAATGCCAGCACACCTCTTCCATCTACTCTTCAGTGCTGCATCACAGAGGGGACCACACCCAGTGGTTAGTTTTTCATTGTGATAAAATGCACACAAGATTTGCAAGTTGATTTCATTCCTATAAATTAATCCACAATGTTGTGTAACCAGCATTACCAGCCATTTCCAGAACTCCGTCACCATCCTTAACAGAAAATCTAAATAATAACTCTGTATTACCTCCTGCCTCCAGTGCCTAACAATGTCTATTCTACTTCCAGTCTTCATGAACTTGCCTTTTCCAGATACTTCTAGGAGCAAAAGCACACATTTGTTCCTTTGTGTCTGGCTTATTTAACTTAGCACGATGTCCACAAGACTCATCTGTGTTGTGTTTTTGACAGGATTTAATTTCATTTTAATGCCAAATATTTTATTATTGGGTTTTGAGAAAGGAGCTTCATGTAACCTAGGCTGAGCTGAGGCAGGACTTGAACTCCTGATCCTACTGCCTCCATTATGGCAGTGTTGAGATTTCATGTATGTGTCGTAGTACCCATTTTAAGGATGAGTAATAGTCTGTCAAATATGCACAAAATTATTCTGTCATAGACACACACACTCATTTCATTTGTTAACCTATCATGGGAGTGGCTTATTTGCACTATATGCTGCTGCGAATGGCCCTGAGGTGAATGCTGACACACAGCATCTGTCTGAGCCCTTCTATTTGTTCAATTATGGGTTTGTACTCAGCGGTGACATGTGTGTGTGTGTGTGTGTGTGTGTGTGTGTGTGTTTCTAGAACCTTTAGTCCCAGGACTCAGAGACAAGTGGATCACTATGAGTTTGAGGCCAGCCTGGTTTACAAAGTGAGTTCCAGGGCTACATGGTAAGACCCTGTCTCAATTTTTTTCCCCTTTAGAAAAGTGACCCATGATAGGAAGAAAAGAAAAACCAAAAAAGCTATAAGATCCCCAAAGACAGAATTAAGCTTTCAAGTGTTAAGTGGCTCTATTTTAGGGTGCTGGGGATTGAGGCCATTCAATCATCCATATAAGGCAACTCTGCCAACTGAGATATACCCCCAGCCTGCTTTGTCAGAGGATAGCCCTGAAGGGGAAGCATTTTCTCTTCTATTATAGATAGAAGCCCAATTGACCAGGATGCGTTCCCCGAGCTGCCACTCTGTCTCTGTGAAGTGGCAGCAGCTCAGCAGAGATGCTCCTGAGCCTCTGCAGGCTCCAGCCCAGGTGCCCTCCTTGTTTCATAACGACCGACTCCTCGTCTATGGGTTCATTCCTCATTGTACTCAGGTAAAGACAGTGAATGTTGTTTTGCCTCTGTTGGCATTATGGTTCCCTTCCCCTGGGTACCTGGCTGGGAAAGCTCTTGATTTCTCTCGAGAGGGGAGGATGTTGGCAGAAGAGCTGTTGTCACAGTAAGTGACACACTGGGAGTAGAAAAACTAATGAAACACTCACGTTTCTCCTATTTCAGGCAACTCTGTGTGCATTCATCCAAGAAAAGGAATTTCATACAATGGTGTCAACTACAGAGCTGCAGAAAACTACCGGGACTGTAAGATTCAAACCGGGCTGTGGGTAGAACTCAGTGAGAGAGCACTAGCTAGGCAGGTGGAAGGCTCTCTCCCATTCCCAGGTACACACACACTCAAGCTATGGGCAGAAGGTTACAATGTTAAATTTTCACCTGTAAGCTCCATGGACTTCTGCTTTTCTGTGTTGACATGTCAGCACACATGAAGGGTGGTCAGGGCTTCTCTGTGCAGTCAGTGAAGACACACTCTTTAATGAGTCTTCATCTACGATTCTTGGAGCTGGGTGTATCTCTACAGGTACCCATGGGTATGAGTAACTGCAAGTAAACATGAGATTTTTGCCAGGTGGAATTGTGTTTACACACATATCACCCCAGCACTGGGGTGGTAGAGGCATTAAGACTGGGAATTTGAGGTCCTCCTTGGATACAAAGCAAGATTGAGGCCAGCATAGGCTACATGAGACCTTTTCTCAAAACACAATATGATTGTTTTGTTTTTGTTTGAGATACTGTCTAGTTCAAGATGGCCTTGAATAGGAAGGTTTCTCCTGCCGCAGCCTCCACTCATGCACTACCACATCTGTCTAACAGAAGTTGTTACAGACCCCATGGGTGAGGGCTTGGCCACACAAAACTCACCAGTTCAGATGCCAGTCGCAAGTCTTGGCCTTCATGTTACCTGCTCGTCCAGCTTGTCAGGAGTTGGGGGTTCCCTGAGTCCTTTGTCAGAACTCAGGAAAACAGTTCATTTACTGTTGCTGACGGTTACAGTGAAGGCCCAAACCTTTTTTCCTTTCCCTTTCTTCTTTCCTTCCTTCCTCCTTCCTTTTTTCCTTCCTTCCTTCCTTCTTTCCTTCCTTCCTTCTTTCCTTCCTTCCTTTCTTTTTTTCCTGGTTTTTCAAGGCAGTGTTTTTCTGTGTAACAGTCCTGGCTATCCTAAAACTCACCTGCCTCTGCCTCCCAAGTGCTGAGATTAAAGGCGTGCTCCACCACCACCCACCTCTTTTTTTCTAACAACAGTGTTTTTAATCAATTCTTTGTTCTTTTGAGAATTTCATAAGTAAGTAGTGTATTTAGATCATTTCTTTTCCTCCTTCTCTAGCTACTCTCAAGTCAATTCCCCTCTCCCTCTCAAGTTCATACATGACCTCTTCTTATATAATTATGCTCTTTTATCTCTCTCTCACATACACACACACACACAATAAATAAATAAATAAATAAATAGATAAATAAATAAATAAATAAATAAATAGAGCCTATTGATCCCCTTTAGTGTTGACAGCTTTTATGTACACATGCTTAGGGCTGGCCACTTGGAACTGAATAATCTGTCAGGGAGTTCATCCCTGAAGCAGACTGTTTCACAGCAGCCATTGACTGCTTATAGGTTTTCATCTAGGTGGAAGGCAGCAGAGACTGGAGACCTTCCTGAAGCCTGCTGGCCAGCTAGCCTCGCTACCACAGCAGCAGTCTTAAATATGGTCAAAAGGGGAAAACTGACACCTGAAGGCTGTGCTCTGACCTACATACACAGTCTATTAGCATGTCTGTACCACACACATGAGGTAACACACACACACACACACACAAGACTCACATGTCTCTCAAAGCCATTTTAATCCTTTCTCCCCTTCACTGCTTACACACAGATGATTCACAAGCTGGCAGCTCGAGCACTGATTAGAGATTATGAAGACGGTATTCTCCATGACAATGAAACCAACCATGAGGTTTGTAAAGGCCATGGAGCATTGTTCTTCTTCGTTGTTAATTTGTTCATATCAATACCGAGTAGGGATGGCTGAATAAAGAAGAATATGATATCAGGGCAACATCAACATCTGTGATTCAGTCCTGGGGTGCAGGTGATCAGCAGCTGTTTGCTGGATCCCTAAATGAAAGATCTAATGGCAATGACTTCCTCAGACTTCTGTGATTTCTCCCTATGGGAAATAGCCTGGAGAGGTGCTCAGAGGGTGTCCACCGAGGCCTGGGATAGCTATCATCTCTCATCTCAGAAGCTGTAATTCAGCAGCTCAGGGACAGGATGGTGGTGAGATGCCTCAGGAGAGTAAGAAGAGTCACATTCACCTTGCTCCCTCCTTGATGGACAGAGGAGGGTCCTGGCAGAGGGGACCCCTTGGCCAGCTACTGTGACAGTCAAGCCGAGGTCTTAAGTGAGGTTCTAGCATTGGTGTTCGATGGCATTCCTAAAAAGGATTCCCATACTGTGCAGAGGCTGCAGGCTGAGGATTGGGAGCCTTGTTTTCCTGACAGCCCCAAGCAGGGGTTGAAGGGGAGGTAGGGGGTAGGGGGGATAGGCAGAATGGGGGTGTTGTTATTGGAGGGGTTGGGGGTGTTGTTTATAAGCACAAAAGCCACAAACCTGTTGCCAAGTACTGGTTGCACCGATCAGGATTCAAAGATTAGGGTCTTTCCTTGTGTGTTCTATCATTGTCAACAGAGAATATAAGGTTTTCAGTCCAACCAATCAGATTCATTTGTTCTTGCTGTTGTTAGGAGCAGCCATGATGTTTTAGAGAATTAAAGCTGCATAACAGACCATTTCTATGGTTTAAGGAGGAGATGGCTATTAGAAAGTCCTTATCTCCCTTAGAGCCTGGGAACCTGAACGTGGTTTCAACCTACAGGTAAAACTGAATCTGAAGTCAAAACGTCAGCACTTAGGTCAAGGTGCTTTTGCCTGCTCCTTCCTTCAGTGACCACTTGGATTAGCACTCAGTGTTCCCTTTGACTTAAGGTTCATTTATCTCTGAGTGCATCTGACTAGCTTTGCTTTGAATGATCCTAAACAAGTAATGACGCCTGTACAGTTCTTCAACTTTGCACTGGGAGCTTTGAGAGGATGAGAAGAGTTGCACGCAGCATGAGAGGGCTCTCTGAAAACTGTAAAGGGCTGTGTGACTAAATTCCTTCTATCCCAAATCACAGAAAGCGTATGTCACCCACCTATGATACTTACACAGGACCCCTGATTGAGTGTCTGATTTGAAGTACTAATTATAAAAATTTTTTATATAGGGTGGGAGATATAGTCAGTAGGTAGAGGGCCTACCCAGCTTTCACAAAGTTCTGAATTCAATATCCAGCACTATATAAACCAAGTGAGATGGTGCACACATATAATCCCACATCTGGGATTATAGTAGTTGAGGCAGAGTTCAGAAATTCAAAATCAGCAGCAGCAACATAGCTGAGTTCCAGTCCAGCCTGAGACACATGAGATGTCTCACATAGAAATGGATGATCCAGGAGTGGTGGTGAATGCCTTTAATCCCAGCACTCAGGAGGTAGAGGCAGGTGGATCTCTGTGAGTTCAAGGCCAACCTGCTCTACATAGCAGGTTCTGGAAATACATGGTAAGACTGTCTCAAAAAAAAAAAAAAAAAAAGGAAGAAAATTAAGAGGAGAAAGTGAATGTATTAAGGGATTTATTTGTCCCAGGAAAACACTTCAGATTATTTTATACCTTTTCAATCTCAGGACACATAAACAATCTTACACGGTTTCTTTCTATCCTAGATGAAGAAAAAAATCATGAAATCTCTGATTATTGAGCTCAGTAAAGAAAATTCTCTAATTACACAATTTACAAGCTTTGTGGCAGTTGAGAAAAGGGTATGTACTATTATTAATTTAAGATTAAACTTTTAAACTTTTATTTAGTCACCATTGGCTGGAGATATGGTTCAGCTTGGACCCAAATCCAGTTCCCAGCACCCACAGACCCACGGATGGCTTACAATAGCAACCCGAACTCCAGAGACCCTGGCATCCTCTTCTGGCTTCTGTAGGCATGCACACATAAAAGAAAAAGAAAAAGAAATCACTGTTTGCAGAAGTGGTGGTGCAGGTGTTTAACGCCAGCACTGAGAGGCCAAGGCAGATGGAACTCCATGAGTTGTAGGCTAGCCAGGGCTACGTAGTGAGACCCTGTCTCAAAACAAAAGAAAAATAAGGATGGGTGGTAATGGCACATGCATTTAATCCCAGCACTGAGGAGGCAGAGGCAGGAGGATCTCTGTGAGTTCGAGACCAGCTTGGTCTACAAGAGCTAGTTCCAGGACAGCCTCCAAAACCACAGAGAAACCCTGTCTCGAAAAATAAAAATAACAAAAACAAAAATAAACAAACAAAAGAAAGTAGCTAAATAAAAAGAAATGTAATAATCAGTAAGCATTTCTCTAGGTGTGGAGGTATGCCTACAGTCCTAGCACTTAGGAGGCAGAGGCAGGAGGAGACTGAGTTCAGGCTAGGCTGCACAGGGAGATTCTGTGTCAAAAATAGCAGCACTCTACAGGGTGGTGGCACACACCTTTAATACCAGGAGGCAGATGCAGGTAGATCTCTGTGAGTTCCAGGCCAACCTGGTCTACAGAGCGAATTCCAGGACGTCCAAGACTGTTATACAGAGAAATCCTGTCTCAAAAAACAAACGAAGCAACATCTAGTTGTGGTGGCACAGACGTATATAATCTTAGTACTTCAGAGTAGAAACAGTATTGACACAAGTTTGAGGGCAGCCTGATCAACATTGTGAGTCCTAGGCCATCCAGGGCTATACAGGGAGACTGTATATTAAGAAAACAACAGAACTCAGGAATGACAGTGGCCACTGGGGGCTATGAAGGGCAAAGTGGACAGAGGCCAGGAGACAGGAGCCGGGGTCTCCTTCCTAGGAGGATGTTCATGCTAGCACGTGGCTAATTTCTCTAATGAATTGCATGTTCTAGTTAGGTTTCTATTGCTGTGATAAAACACATCAACCCAAAGCAATCTGGGGAGGAAAGGGTTTATTTAATCATAAAGTCATAGTCTCTCATGGAAGGAAATCAAGGCAGGAACCTGGAGTCGAGAACTGAAGTAAAGGCCATGGAGGTGTGCTGCTTACTGGCTTCTATTGGCTTGCTCAGACCACCTGACAGGATAGCACCACCATAGCTAGCTGGGGCCTTCCAAATCAATCATCAATCAAGAAAATGTTCCATAGAGTTACCTTCAAGCCAATCTGATGGAGGCATTTTCTCAGTTGAAGGCCCTTCTCACATGACTCTTGTTTATAAAAACTAACCAGCACATGTGTGTTAGTATTTTTAATGTTTTTATTATTAACTAGCTGTATGTATATGTGTATACACACACACACACACACACACACACACACACTTTTTTGAGATAGGGTTTGTCTGTGTAACAGCCTTGGCTGACTGTCCTGGAATTTGCTCTGTTATCCAGCTGGCCTGTATGTATATTTTAAGATGTCTATAAAAGCCAGGCAGTAGAGACACATGCCTTTAATCCCAATACTCAGGAAGCAGAGGCAGGTGGATCTATGAGTTGGAGATCAGCCTGGTCTACAGAGTAAGTTCCAGGATGGTCAGGGCTGTACATTAAAACCCTGTCTTGAATAGCCAAAAAATTGACATCTCTAATTGTTTGGGGCTGGGATGTGGTACAATACTGTAGTTAAGCCCAAACACACAGTCATGCACAAAAAAAAAAAAAAAAAACAAGCTATAATTTCATTACTTGTTTAATTTCTGGATTTATTGTTCAGACTGACCTTTAGGCAAAGCCTATGGGACATTTTCTTTTCTTTTTCCATCATGTGTTTATTGGGATGGTTCCCACTCAACTTCAATCAGGTGCTGTTTGGTGCTGCTTCCTCCGGAAGGAGCATTCTTCTGTCAGCCGCGCTTTTCCACCCATGTGCTGATAGAGGACAGTGGAGCAGCCAACCCACAAGACTACCGTTTGTGCATGGCTGAAGACTGTGTGATTTTACCGCACCCTGGGTATTTCACTTTATAGAGCAGGAACTGGGGCTCTGCACCAGGCGCTTTTTCTTGTGTTTCCTCTTTTCCTCTTCTGGAGAGGGATGCAGGAGATGCTTTGCGAGAGGAGTGTTCTCGTAAGGAAGTCATCACCCCCAAAGGGTGGGGTATGTTTTTGATTGATGATTGATATGCAAAGGCCTCAGAGTGAGGAACTTAGAGCCAAGCAAATGCCCAGCTATTCTAAGCCCAACATCCACAGGGCTTTAGAATGTGTTAATTATTTAATTTGATGAAATCATTTTTTTAAAAAAATTTAACCCATTGTGATTCTATGTAGGACAGTAATGAGATTCATTTTGCTAATGTCCCAAATATTTCTGAACTTGTTGCCAAAGAAGACGTAGACTTTCTGCCATACATGAGTTGGCAAGAAGAGCAGCAAGAGGTCTTCACAGCACTGGTAAGTACAATCACCAAATTCAGCCATCCATTGCTTAATGGTGGGGATGTATTCTAAGAAGTATGTTGGGACAAATTTCATGGATTCGTGAACTCACACAGGCCCAGTGGTCTAGGGCAGTTACTGAATGTGTGGCCTTCAGGAAATCAAGAGACCCAGTAAACACCAGACTCTGAAGCTACTGCTGGGACAAGGCAAACCGTCAAGTCAAACAGTAACCTTGTTTGAATAAAATGAGTAGAAGACAAACATTCCTTTTTTTCTTTTTTTGAGACAGGGTCTCTCTACATAACCCTGGCTGTACTGGAACTCTCTATGTAGACCAGGCTGTTCTAGTACTCATAGAAATCTGCCTGCTTCTGCCTCCCAAGTGCTGGGATAAAGGTGTGTGACACTATTCCTGGCCACAGAAAGAATACACTCTTAAAAGATAGTTCATAAAAGATTCTGGGAAAGTGTGGCATTGGTGGCACATGCTTTTAATTCCAGCACTAGGGAGTCAGAGGCAGGTGGATCTCTGTGAGGTCGAGGCCAGCCTGGTCTACAGAGCAAGTTCCAGGACAGGCTTGAAAGCAACAGAGAAACCCTGTTTCAAAAGGAAAACAAAAAAGGATTCTGGGAGCTGAGTGTGGTACACTCAGATCAGGGTTGTCCTAAGCTACATGGAAAGTTTTAGGCCAGTTGGGATACATTAGCTTCTGTCTCAAAGGAATAAAAAAGGTTAATTGTTTAAATTTTTTTATTATTTTTTATGTGTTCACACCTGTTCGGCAGTTAAGTGTGTAACCCCTCATATACAGGAAAGACACCCTAAGGTAGAGTGAGCAAGAAAAGCAAGGAGAACATTGTGAGGACAATTTCTACAGATCGTAAATGTATTTGCTTATTGCCTCCTTTGCTTGCTCTTGCTTTTATTTACTGTTATACATTTCCTTTTTTGTGGTGCTTGGGTTTGAACGCAGTACCTCTTATATACTAAGCAAGGGCTGTACTACCCCTTAAAACTGAAATGTGTCCATCCCCCAGGAGGACAGCCTGGTGGCCCAGGGCGGGGGGAGGGATTGTTAGAGGACACTTGCTTTGTTATAACACATTCATTTGCACACTTTTACTTTTGTACCATAGGCAGGCATTGAGTGTTGGGCACTAAAGCAAGATGAAGTCACTGATGGCAGCAGACTGTTAGAGGAATACCTTTTTTTTTTTTTTTTTTAATGCATAATACACCCTTCTGCTTGCCTGTACTCCTGCAGACCAGAAGAGAGCAGATCTCATTACAGATGGTTGTGGTTGCTGGGAATTGAACTCAAAACCTCTGGAACAGCAGCCAGTGTTCCTTACCCCTGAGTCATCTCTCCAGCCCAGACGTATGCCATTAAACAGAGCTGTGCATGATGAATTCTCAGGGGGGGAAAAGAAAACTTGTTTTTCCAATTTGCCATTTATAATTATTTATTTACATATTTTGTGTGTGTGTGTGTGTGTGTGTGTGTGTGTGTAAGAGAGAGAGACAGACAGAGAGTGTGTGTGTGAGTGTGAGAGAGAAAGGGAGAGAGTGTGTGCGTGTGAGTGTGCATGGGTGTGTGCATGCGTGCAGGTACCTATGGAGGCCAGTAGAGGGTGTTGAATCTCTGGAATGTTGAATAAGCTGGAATTACAGTGTGAGCTGCCAGACAGCATGGGCGCTAGGAACTGAATTGGGTCCTCTGAAAGAACACTTAATTTCACAACCATCTCTCCAACCCCTATGACAAATTTTAATTTGTTTTTAAATATCTTGCCTCATATGTGCATGTGTTTTAGGATACCTTCTATTTGTTCTTTGACCGTTTCATACATTTATACAACGAATCTTGTTCATACCCTCCCTAGCTCTTCCTCCCAGTTTTTTGCTTTTGTTTGGGTTGTTTTGCTTTTCTGTGCCTAGAATTACCTTTCATATTTATAAGTTATACTTTAAGTTTTCCCCCTTCATTTCTTTTAGGAATTCTGTTTTATTTTGTTTTTGCTGTGTTAGAGAGTGACCAGAAATCCCTGTATAGCCAGACTGGCTTCAATCTCAAGATCCCCCTGCCTCAGCTTCCCAAATGCTGGTATTAAAGACATTACCAGAGGTCTGGGTCTAGGCAAGGTGTTCCCAGGCTTAAGAGTTGACAATAACTAAGGACTGATGCAGATGTCCAACATGAATAAGATAATGTTACTTACATTTTACATTCTTTGTTTTAATTATGTGTATTTGTGTATGTTTATGTGCACCTGTCCATAATAAGCTTCTAACACTCTGTGGCTAGAGCTGCATTAGACAATTTTGACTCACCCAAGGTAGCTGGGTCCTCTGGAAGAGCAGCTTCAAGACAACCTGTGTTTAAAGCAAAGCAATAGGGTCAGGCATAAAGATGCACACCTTTAATCCCCACACTCAGGAGGCAGAGGCAGGAGGATCTCTGTGAGTTCAAGGCCAGCCTGGTCTATGTAACAAGTTCCAGACTGATCGGGGCTATAGGGTAAGGTCCTATCTCAAAATAATAGACAGGTAGGTAGGTAGATAGATAGACAGACAGACAGATTAAAAACCAAACAGGCAAATAGATATGTCAGAATACACTTTGAGAGAATAGTAGGCCACGTGAACAAAGATGACCAAGGGCCCCAATTATTATCTGGGGCATCCTTCCAAAGAAAAAGGAATTTGGTTGCTAAGGGGTATAGTTTAGGTGGTTCTATATTTTAATTGCTAGATTAGGTCATTTAAACATTTTCCTACTACACATATCCCTTCTGATTTTAATTATAAACATGTCCAGTTATGCATAGGCATAAGTTAGTAAGTAGAGAGTTCTCCCTACAAGTTCACTTTGAGGACACTGTTTGCCTTATGGTCCATGCCCCTAAAACCAGTTCAGACCAGATTAGGCTTTCTGGTCTATTTACCCAGATACATTAGGAATATTTTGAATGGAAAATGTCTAAGTTTGATTGTTGATAGTGAAGGAGAAACTTTCTGTTATCCAGAAAGGGGTATGTGTATAGGCCAATGCAGGTGGGGTTTGAAGGGGTTCTGAAGTTGCTGGGTGCCTTGTTCAGAGAGGACTGTGTGTGCATGGCACATGTAGGTGAAGGACCAAAGCCAGATAGGGTCCTAGACTACTAACTTGCCCTGTGCTTCCATTCCTTGGGCCGGGACCCATGGCTCTGGTTCTCTTCAAATCATACAAATTTTTTTGCCTTTTACCCTTGCTCTTTGTCTATTAGCTTATTATAAAACTTTTAGCCAGAAGTAGTGTGTGGCTCATACCTGTAATCTCACACTCAAGAGGATGAAGTACGAGGATTAACATGAGATCAAGGCCAACCTGGGTTGTACCATAAGACTCTGCCTCTAAAAGTAAAACTAACTAAATACATTTAGGCCTTGGGTATAGAACAGTGGTAGGACACTTGATTGGTTATTTATTTATAACATTTATTTATTTATTTATTTGCATGCTGGCAGAGGGTATGGAGGTCTGAAGACACTTTGTACAAATTAGGTCTCTCCGTTATAATGTGTATCTTTGAGATTGAATTTAGGCTTGGGCACACGTGTCTCTGGCTGCCAAGCCACCTGACCAGCCCACATATTATTTTATTTTTCTTTTCTTGTTATTTTGGTGGTATTCATGAATGAACCCAGAGTCTGGTTTGCTCGAGCTAGGGAAACACCTCACCACTGAACATTGTCCCTAGCCCTCTTTAACTTTTGTTTTTTTGGTTTTTGGGGGTGTTTTTTTTGTTTGTTTGTTTGTTTTTTGGGTTTTTTTGTTTTGTTTTTTTTTGTTTTGTTTTGTTTTGTTTTTGAGACAGTGTTTCTCTGTGTAGTCCTGGCTTTCCTGGATCTGTAAACCAGGCTGGCCTCGAACTCACAGAGATCTACCTGCCTCTGCCTCCCCAGTGCTGAGATCAAAGGAGTACACCACCAATACCCGATTAATTTTTTATTTTGAAACAGTGTCTCTCTAAATTTCCCAGGCTGGCCTTGAAATTTAGGATCTTCCTGCCTGAGCCTCCTGAGTGTGAGACTAAAAGTGTGCGCCACCACACCTGGCTAAAAGTCCTTCTCCCTGGGCCACGGTTGATTTCTGGGATGAGTGATCCTTAACAACTCAATCGTCCAGCTACTTGGAAGAACGTTTGCTAATTTATTTTGTTCTGTTTTCTCTTTGTATGCATAACTTCACCACCTGGGCAGCCCTTACCGGTCTCCTCTGAAGGGAATGAGAGACAGCCACGGCTACTTTTGACTAAAAAATGTAAAAAAAAGCAAAAGACATGTCGTCTAGAACTTTCTGAAGATTTTGAAGGCATGATCCTAGAGCCACAATCATTTACAACAGCAGAATCTTTCAAGGTCCACCTGCAATCAAAAGATGTGGAACAGCCATTGGGTGTGAATCAGATGGAGGCCAGGAAAAGAGGGGCACTTAAGAGACTGCAGGCATCTGGACTACGAAGTGCTCTGCCTGTTTCCCTGGGTTCTTCGGCTTCTGCTGGGTTTTCTTTCCATTCTCCCTGCAGCTCCCAGTCTGCTTTCTTTTCACCTCCCTGCCACATTTCTCCTCTTCCTGCCCCTCCCCCTCCCCCTGGTGGCACCCATCTTCCTCCCCCTCCCCCTGGTGGCACCCATCTTCCTCCCCCTCCCCCTGGTGGCACCCATCTTCCCCCCCCTCCCCCTGGTGGCACCCATCTTCCTCCCCCTCCCCCTCTTCTTGTTGGCAGCCATCTTCCTCCTCCTCCCAGAGAATTCATCCCATTTAAGTTTGACTCGCCTAAGTTCCGCCGAAGCCCTAAGCCTGTAGGAGGTACCAACATTTTCCATGACTCAGAGTCTTCTCCCGGGCAGCCCTTTGTGGGCTTTGGCAGTATTACTGCTTTACCTAGTTCAGAGGATTTTGATCTAGGGAAAGTTTCCCAAGGCCCCAACATCCGCGTTGTCTCCCCCAAAACCAGTGAGTTAGGTTCTCTTCGTGGGTCACTTTTTTCTGCTTCTTTTATGCCACCTATTTGCAGTCCTACTAAGCCACCATTTGTCCCTCCTCGTCCCACCAATGTCCTTAGCTCTGAGCATCCCCAGAGTCCCTTTTCTCTTCCTTTGCTAAGATCCAAATTCCTTGGCATTAGTAGGATGGATTCATGTGAGTCGGCTCTCCCATTGGCCAGCCCAGCGACATCAGATTACACCCTAGACAGGGTTTTGCTTGACTCTTTAGATGGCAGCTCTTTCAAAACAGAAACGGATGAAGCAGGAGAATGTGCAGCATACAGCATTTTGGAAAGTATGGAGAAAACTTCTGTAACAAGTGACGCTTCCTCAGAGGAAGATGAGGAATGCATAGCCTGTGAAGAAAGCTGTCCTGCACCGTGGGCTTCACTCTTTGCTCTACAAACCGAGGTATTTGCCTTATCTCTCTCCAAGTCTGTGGTCAGTTAGCTTCACAGTTTACAGCAGTGCTTCTCAGAGCACTTGATCATAGACAGTGGATGGCCAGTCCATAGTGGTTCAGGATATATATCAGCGTGGAGACTATTTCTCTCTGTGAATCGGCGGCTGAACTAAAACTGTCCACATGGTGATGTTTGTCATTCATTATTAGCAACTGTTAATATTTGTCAGTTGAAAATTAGCATCCGTCAGCCGGGTATCAGTTGCTCACAGCTTTAATCCCAGCACTCAGGAGGCAGAGGCAGGCAGCTTTCTTGTGAGTTTGAGGCCAGCCTGGTCAAAGAAAAAATTATTTACATGTTATTATTATTATTAGTGTGTGTGTGTGTGTGTGTGTGCTTTCTTAGCTGCTCTTCTGTAGCTCAAGGTCTCTTAACTTTTGCATCAATCCCTCAGTGACCCTTTTAGAATCCATTTTCCTGGGAAACTTCTGACAGAAGGGCAGAAAGGTCTGTATTTCGTGTCTTTAAATCCTGGGACAGCCTACTGTAACCTCCCATTGGGTCTGCCAGTTTTAAAGCAAAGATGGGTTGACACACCTCTGCCAATGGGAGGCTGAAGAACACAGTGAAGAACACTTGTGTATCTGGAAGAATCAGGCTCATGAGAATCAGAGGTTCTAGGTATCTTCACAGGCAGGAGAGGTGTACTCCACAGTAACTGACAGGGCACCAGGATGCCTGTCTCTCCAAGCTAGGCAATGTGCACTGAGTTTTGTTTTCAGGGTCATTGAGTATTGTTAAATCTGGATGGGGGTAGCTGAACTGGTTAATTGAACAATTATAGGAGCCAGTCCTAGGGTGTTGGTTTCTGCCCATACACTGGAGATCTTTGTTATATAGTCCAACTGTATCTTTTGTTTGGAGGCAGAACTTTCAGCTAGGAGATATTCTGATCGAGATAAGACACCAACATTTTGCTAGGTGTCTGTAAGTCTAACTACATCTCATCATTAGAGAAGGCAATGGTGGCTTTCAGAATATGCAAATGGTCTTGTCCCATGCAGTTCCTTATTGTAAAACACCCTTTGCGCTACCTCCAGCAACTGGGACCTACTTATATTTTTTAAATTTATATATATATATATATATATATATATATATATATATATATGTATGTATATATTTTTTTAAATATCTGGGGCCAACTAGGAACTAGGTGACAAAGAAAATCTCTCTCTCTCTCTCTCTCTCTCTCTCTCTCTCTCTCTCTCTCTCTTTTAAGACAGGATTTCTCTGTATTGCTTTGGAAGTTGTCCTGGAACTCGCTCTATAGACCAGGCTGGCCTGGAACTCACAGAGATCCACCTGCCTCTGTCCCAGTGCTGGGATTAAAGGAGTGAGCCACCAATGCCTGGCCAAAGGAAATCTTTCTATAAATTATAAAAAAGAAAGGAGTGGAGCTTTCTCTTTTCCCTCATGTTCAACCATGGAGAACTTTCCCCTTCCGAGGGACTGCTTAGAGCAGGCATGGAGTGAAGCAAGGGGATGCTCATCTGGGGGAACTATTTCCCCCTCCCTGTGTGCACTCAGCTTGGATGGCAGGGGGCTCTGAATGAGAGGCCCAATCCTCCCACCTCCACAGGTACCAACACTGATTGTGAGCAAGAGTCAAGCAACATAACAAGCAAGAGCCCCTGCTCCTGGAGTGGGACAGGTAGAGGTTTTTTTTTTTTTTGGTTTCTCAGGTGACCTGGCAGAGTCAAAAAGGATTCAGGTCCCTAATGGGATGGGGCACAGGTATTTAGCTAGGAGTTCTCACACCAGAGAAAGTCACTGGTCAATACAACAAAACTGACATAAACACATAGAGACACACATACACACAGAGAGACACAGTAAAGACAGCCAGGGGCAGCCACCATACAATTATACACCTGAACAGACAGAGGGATCCAGTGATGTCTCATGTGGATCCCAGGCACTGGGTGGGCAGCTGTGTCCCACCTCTCTTAAGTATCCAAACAGAAGGTGCCTAATTTGTTTCCTTTTGAGGTGGAGATGTCAGCCCCCTGTGAAGCATTAGGCAGCAATTGATCAAAGGAGTCCTAGGAACCGTTAACCTCTCAGGTTGTGCAAGCCTTTATTAGCTGGCTGGCAACTACACTGAGTGTTCAGGAACCCAGTGTAGCCCCAAGCTTTTCTCGGGGTGAACTTTTAAGCACAAAAACCATGTCCTGGGTTGACATACTCCAGTTAACAAGAACAGCCAGAAATAGAACCACAGAAACTGGAAAAGCCAGGTATATTCTGAGACTTTCCCAGAACTATGAACTTTGGTGGATGTGGTCTTTGTTTTAGTTTGACAGGTGGTACTGCCCTGCAGGCTGAGTCTAACAGCCTGAACGGGACTTCTGTCATGGAGTCAGTTGTGCTAAGGTCTGGGGCCGTATCACACTTTGTCTGATGATACATTTTTAATACTCAAAAGGAATCATGCTAGAAAAATATTACATGACATAGGATCTACAATTAACAATATGATTTTTTTCTTAATTTCATAGGATGGTTTTTGGAAACTGACACCAGAACTAGGACTTATACTAAAACTTAATGTAAATGTTCTACACAAGTTTCTTGAGGAAAAAGGCATTAGATCTCTAGGTAAGTCACTGTTTTTCAATTGATTAAGTCATTGTGTTCCTTCATTTTTTTTCCAGTTGTTTATAGGCAAACTCCCCATTGTAATAAATTATTTTGTAAACTAATGCATTCATTTAGTAGTGTTGGTAGTTACATGTGAATAGAACTGGATTTTTTGTTTTGTTTTGTTTTTCAACTCAGGGTTTCTCTGTACCTTTGGAGCCTGTCCTGGAACTCACTCTGTAGACCAGGCTGTTCTCTGCCTCCTGAGTACTAGGGTTAAAGGCTTGAGCCACCACTGCCCAGCAGATTTTTTGTTTGTTTGTTTTTTGTTTTGAGACAGGGTCTCATTATGTAGCTCTGGCTAGCCTGGAACTCTGTATGTAGACCAGGCTGGCTTCGAGCTCACAGAGATCTGTTTGCCTCTGCCTCACAAGTGCTGCTGTGAAAGGTGTTGCACCACCACACTCAGCTACTAGAATTAGATTTATTGACACTAAAAGGAAACTCATAGCTTTACCAATGATGAGAGTATTATTTAGGCAACTTTTTTAGAGTACATGGCACAAATTACTGAAGAAGAACAACCCCAAATCTGGGAATAGTAACATAAACCTATAATTCAGCCATTTGGTAGACTAAGCCAGATGAATCGTGATTTGAGGCTAGTCTGGGCTACACTATCCAAAAGCTCAATTTAACATGCTCAATAATTATTTTCTTGGTCACAACATATGTACCTATTGGCCAACAGGGACATTCTCTTCCATATAGTGATTTCCCTTGAGACCTTGGCACATTCTACACTGTGCCCCTTCCATCTGCGATACATGGCTTTAGCATCAGGGAAAGTCAAATCAAAACTACACTGAGATTTTTATCTTACTCCATCAAGAAACGGGATTGAAGGGATGGCCCAAGGGTTATGAACAAAAACTGTTCTTGCAGAGGACACCAGTTTGGTTCCCAGCACCCCTATCAACTGGCTGGTAACTACCTTTAACTCCAGTTCCTTTTTATATTTTATTGTGTTTTGAGACAAGCTTTCCATTGTAATCCTAGCAACCCTGGAACTCACTGTATAGAGCAGGCTGGCCCCAAACTCACAGAGATCCTTCCGAGTTCTGGGATTAAAGGTGTATGCCATCACTTCTGGCTTTAGCTACAGTTCTAAGGGATCCAATATCCTCTTCTGGCCTCTGAGGGCACCAGCATTCACCAGCATGAACCCACACACAAATATACACGATTTAAATAAATTAATATTTTTAAAAGGTAGACAGAAAACAACAAATACTGAGGATGGAAGCAGACCAAACCCTCATATACTGTTGGTGAGTCACTGTAGAAATCAATACGATGGTTCCAAAAAAAAAAACAAAAACAAGCACACACACACACACACACACACACACACACACACACACACACACACACACAAAAAAAAACACCTAAAAATAATAGGCCAGATGGTGGTGGTGCATGCCTTTAATCCCATCACTCACGAGGCAGAGGCAGATGGATTTCTGTGAGTTCAAAGCCCAGCCTGGTCTACAGAGTGAGTTCTAGGGCAGCTAGGGTGGTTATACAGAGAAACCCTGAATTGAGAAACAAATAAACAAAAACTAAAAATAGAATTATATAATCCAGTTATACCATTCTTGGGCATATGCCTGAGGGAAGCTAAGTCAGCATATCATAGAGATACTTTACTGTTCGTATTTAGTGTGGCAAAATTCATAACATCCAAGATATGAAGCTAACCTAGATGCCCATCAACATAGGAATAAATAAAATTTAACCAGGAAGTGGTGTCCCATACCTTTAATCCCAGCACTTGAGAGGTAGAGGTAGGCAGATCTGAGTTTGAGGCCAGCCTGGTCTACAGAGTGAGTTTCAGGACATCCAGGGCTACTAAAGAAACTGTCTCAAAAAATCAAAAACAGGAAAAGAAAATTTGGTACTATACACAATGAATTTTATTCAGACATAAAGAAGAATGAACCAGGCATGGTGGCTCATGCCTGTATCCCAGCACTTGAAGAAGGTTGAGGCAGGAGGATTGCCATGAGTTTCAGACAGCATAAGGTGCAGAGTAAGACCCTATTAAACAAGGGTGGAAATTGAATTTAGTGTCTCATGTAGAGTTGCCAAGCACTTGAGTTGTAGTAGCAACCCTAAAATGAAATGAGCATTCTGTTTGTTTGTTAGTTTGTTTGTTTTTCCTTGATTTTTCAAGACAAGCTTTCTCTGCATAGCCCTAGCTATCCTAGAACTTACTCTGTAGACTGGGATGGTCTCAAACTCAGAAATCAGCCTGACTCTGCCTCCCAAGTGGTGGGATTAAAGGCATGCATCACTACCACTCTGGCAAAAAGAGTATTCTTTAGTGAGCCTTCTGAAAATGATTTTCAAAATACAACATAGGCTAGCAAGATGGCAGAGAGAGAGAGAGAGAGAGAGAGAGAGAGAGAGAGAGAGAGAGAGAGAGAGAGAGAGAGTACTTACTGCTCTTACAGAGGACTTGAGTTCAGTTTCCAACATTCACATGGTGACTCACAACTGCCTGTAACTCTGCTCAGTGACCAGTACCACCTATGCCTAACTTGTAATATGGTTTGGATTTGTCTGATAGCCAGAATGCGTTTGCTACACTGGAATAGTCAGATATGTCTGCTGTTTATCAGCTGTGTGTTTACGTTTCCTCCAAGATATTTATAGCAAGAACCTAGAAACTAAAGGTCTTCCTCATCTTTCATGCTCATTATTGGAGACAGCAAGTGTTGCAGTGAGAGAGTCTAGGTGCAGTTCAGTGTTCAAGAGCCATCAGGATAATGTGATAGGCACACATGTTCTGATTGTTCACAGTTCCTGTTTAAATAAAGTGCTAATTAAGGACCTTTGGGAGAGGGGATTGCGGGTGGGGTGGGGGATGTAGGGAGGCAGAAGGGGAGGGAGGGGGAACTGGGGCTGGAATGTAAAATGAAAAAAATAATTTAAATTAAATTTTAAAAAAGGACCTTTCGAATATATGGAGTTGGTTTTATTGATTTGTACAACCTAAATGTATTGTCTCATAATTCTGGAATAGTATAGAGTTTTATGGTCTATTAATGTTTTGTGATTCAAATGTAGCATAATGCTGTTGGTCTAGAAAGCACTGTGTTACTCTAGCTGGCCTTGAACTCATGGCAATCCTCCTGCCTTATCATCCAAGGTGCTGGGATTATAGTCATGAGCAAGCAACCTGGCTTAATAGAGATGTCACTCTTTAATAGAACTTTACACAGGCACAGATAGAGGCACAGAGTGTGTTGTTAAATACTTTTTTGTTGCTGTGCTTAAAATACCAGAAGCAACTTGTGGATTGTCTTGGCTCATGGTTCCCAAGCATTAGAATCCATGTTGGTATGGATGGCATAGCAGCAGGTGGCCCGAGCAGGAAGCTGGCTGCTGTCATACCAGGAAACCCAACAGGACAAGACTACAGACTCCCAAATCCCACTCCTAGGGAATTACTTTCCTCCACTAAGACTCCTTACCCTAAACCACCCAAAACCTCCCAAACAGCAACACCATCTGGGGACCAGGTTCCATAACCTCCCCAAACAATGCCACCAACAGGGGACCAAATGTTCAAATGTCCCAGGGGAACATTCCTCATCTAGTCACCACATGAGGTGAAGGAGATCTTTGCTTTTTTAGGTACAAAAGGAAGAGACTGTCTCCTGGACCTGATTGCCACACTGCTGGTACTGCAGTTTCTTCGTACCAGGTTGGAAGAAGAAGGAATGGTTGCCCAATCACTGCTAAAGATGGATGACCCCTTCATCTCCAGGTGCTTTAATGTCCTAATAAGAAATGTTTAAAGGAGCCACAGTGTAATTGTTGGCCTGTTTGGGACAACTGTGTGGTCTGGCAGAAGAATACAAACTGGAGCCACGTGCCCTGTGTCTAAGGTCATAAAGCAAAGCTGTGAGTGTAGCTCAGTGGTAGAGCACTTGCCCAGTATGCAGGGACATGGCTCAGTTCTGCAATCCTTAGCAACTCACACACACTGCACATCAAAGTATCAACCAGGTGATGGTGCCACATTCCTATAATCCCACCACCAAAGAGGTTATAGGTGGAAAGCTTGGTTTATGGGCCAGCCTAGGCTACACAGTAAAAACAACAGGGGGGAACCCCAAAAACCTATCAAACTATTAAATGAAACACATTAGAATATTCTTCCTGGCATAGTGACACATACCTTCAATTTCAGCGCAGAGGCAGGTGGATCTCTGTGAGTTCGAGGCCAGCCTGGTCTACAGAGAAAGTTCCTGACAGCCAGCACATAACAAAGAGACTGTGTCTCAAGAAAACAAAACAAGAATCTGTTATCTTTAATAGGTTTTCTGCCCCCATGATAAGTTTCTCCACTGACACAGTAAACCAGATCAGTCGGAGTTGAAAAAGTATAACAGGGCATGTTTATTTAGAGCAACTCCCAAGCGGGTTCACTGGTGCCAGGGATTGAGGCCAGAGAAGTTGTTCACCCAGACTAAGGCAGGGAGATTTTATAGATTATTGGTGAGGGGTGAAGCTGAGTCTGTGCCTAAGTATGGTCGAAAGCCGAGGGCTTGGGTGGAGATTTGGGTGGCTGGTAGCATGGCAGGGGTGGGGGGGTGGGGGGTTGTTGCTGCAGTGGTTGCCAAGAATTCAGAACTAGACTTTTGTCGCCTTTCCTTTGTTTGGAGACTCTCTAAGTGGGCAGGGTTCAGGGGACATGGGAAGGGTGGGGTGAGCTGAGCTTTCTGGACTGTGAAGGGGTGATCCAGAGGCTCCAACTGAACAATCCCATAACCACCTGGATAAGCAGATTCAAATTTAGCATTGATTGACTCCTGAGTAAAAGTTGTATAATATTACAGCCAAGTGAGATATGAATCCAGCTCCTCACCACACACTACACATCATGATGGCCCTTTCCCCGAGAAAAATTTAGGAAGATGGAAAAGATCTAACATCTTTAAGTTTGCTCCCTTAGCAACAGGTTTCTTTTATGTTTAGTGTGGGGTGTGTGTGTGTGTGTGTGTGTGTGTGTGTGTGTGTGTGTGTGTGTGTGTGTGTGTGTAGGAATATACAACATACCATACATGTGGAAATCTGAGGACAGCTTTTGGGATTGAACTAACTAAGGTCATTAGAGTTGTCAATAAGTACCTTTACCTGCTAAACCAACTCACTAGCTCCAATAAATTTGTTTCTTCAAGACAGGGTCTTACTATGTAGCTTTGGCTGTCTGAAATTCACTTTGCAGACCAGGTTGGCCTTGAACTCACAGAGATACGCCTGCCTCTGCCTCCCAGGTTCTGGGATTAAAAGTATGCGCTACTATGCCAGCTAAGATTTCATTTTAAGGAGGGGTCTCATGTATCTCAAATTGGCCTTGAACTCACTATGTAGCTGAAGATGACCTTGAACTTCTAATCTTCTTGTTTCTACCAACTGAGTCACACCCACATGGAATTTTTCTTAAGAACTTTGTTGTAAGGTAGGTACAATGGCTCAGTTAGTAAAGTGCTTGCTGCATAACCCTGATAACCTGAGTTCAATTCCCAGGATTCACATGGTGGAAGGAGAGAACTGACTCTCCAAAGTTGTTCTTGGATCTCCATATTCAAGCCATGCCATGTGTGCACTTGCATTTGTATTGCATCACGCACATGCACGCATGCATGCACACCCACCTGCCCTGAGGCCAGCAAGGCTAAGTCTCTGAGGATTGAAGGATTTCCCAAAACCTGTGTAAGGTACCAGGCATTTGGGTTCAAGGATAATCTAATAAACAAGCTGGACATTGGCGATGTATGCCTTTAATCCCTGCACTCAGGAGGCCAAGCAAATGGGTCTCTGTGAGTTCAAGCCAGCCTGATGTTCAGAGTGAGTTCCAGGACAGCCAAGGCTGTAACACAGAGAACCTCTGTCTTAAAAAATCCAAAAACAAAAAAATAGTATCAACAAAAGCACTTCTCATTTTATTATTAAAGTAAACAAAACATGAGGTAATGTTTACAGTTAGTTTACAAAAATACGCAGGGAATATAGCTGGGTATTATAATCTTATCATCTTTGGTCATGTGAAAAGAGCCAAGAATATTCCTCCCAGGCTTTGCCTTTCCCACAGAGATAATATAGACATGCCAGGGTATTTCCTTCATGTCCTTGCTCTCAAGTGCACTCACTTACTACAGTTTATGCAACTCTTTCTAGAAGGCTACTGTTGTAGGATTTCTATTGCTGTGATGAAACACCATGACCAAAGCTACTTGGAGAGGTTGGAGAGATGGCTGAGTAGTTAAGAGCACTGGCTGTTCTTCCAAAGGACTTGGGTTCAATTCCAGCACCCACATGGCATCTCACAACTGTAACTCCAGTTCCAGGGGCTCTGATGCCAATGCACTTAAAGTTGATTAAATAATTTCTTTGTAGTGCCCATGCTACAATCTGTTCCATGAATCAGGCAAAGGCCTAGAGATTGAAATAAAGAGACAAGACAGTGGGCCATTCGTTCAATGGCAGTGTAGGAACGCCAAATGCTGTTTATTGAGGGGATGTAAATACTGATTTACAGCACAGTGGAAAATTACAGTATTTTTAGGCATAGCTCCTCCCCACGAGGTGTGTGTTGTCATGAGGCGTGTGTTATCAAAACGGGAAGAGTACCAATAACAGCTTTGGGGCAAGGAGTTCTGGCCAACAGCTTCAGGCTTGCTCAACGTGCCTGGGGGGGAGGGCATGCAGGGCCCTACATTTTTAAAGCTACTTGGGGAGGATAGAGCTTATTCTGCTTACACTTCCACATCACAGTTCATTATCAGAGGAAATCAGGGCAGGAACTCAAGCAAGGCTAGAACCTGGAGGCAGCTGGAGGCAGGAGCCAGGGCAGAGGTCATCGAGGGGTGCTGCTCACTGGCTTGTTCCTCATGGCTTGTTCAGTCTGTTTTTATGGAACCCAGGGTCACCAGCCAATCCGCATCAACCACTCACTTTAAAAACCTACATGCTTGCCTCCACCCTGATCTTAAGGAAAGTTTTTCTTAGTTGAGTCTCCCTCCTCTCAGAAGACTTTAGTTTGTGTCAAGTTGACACAAACAAAGCTACCTGTGGAAGAGCATCCTACCTGCTGCCCAGTCCACCCTTCACAGCTTTCTTTTGAAGCCCCCCGCCCCTCCCACAGACATACACCACACACAATAATAAATTAAATTACATTTCAAAACTTTGGTGTAAAGGCTGGGGTTGTAGCTCTTTATAGCTGACTCTCCAGTATTCTTCCAGTATCTGGAACAAGGTGAAAACTCTCAGTGAACAGCCACTGAAACAGGGGCCTCAGGGACACTGAAAAGGAAACAAAGTGGCAAGAAAAAGCTGCAGTTGTCCAGAGGGAGCAAGGGGGCTGCTGGGAAGTGAGGCAGGTAAGTCATGTAGAAATGGACTGAGTACAGTCAAAATCCCCATGCTAGAGGGCGAGAACTTTATTCAGACTTCAAGAACTGCCTTTATTAAATAACCTCATTTTTGACAGAATCATTTCATCTGATACAGTATTAAAGATTTGGTACCATATTGCCTTTCACATATTCTGAACCAATAGAAACTTTTTTTTTTAATCTAGGTATATTCCATGGGCTCTTGAGAACATAAAGAAAGCAAGTGAATGGGCCAAAAGGACAGAAGGACAGTATCCATCTATCTGTCAACGGCTTGAGCTGGGTAAAGACTGGGACTCAGCCACAAAGCAACTTCTGGGAATTCAGCCCCACGCCAACACTTCTCTTCACCGAATTCTACATAGTAACCAAGGCTGAATCCAATGAAATTGCATTTTTAAATAGTTCTCATATTTCTTTTTGCTGTTGTTTTGCTTTGTTTGGTTTTTTACAAGACAGGGTTTCTCTGTGTAGCCCTGGCTATCCTGGAACTCACTCTGTAGACCAGGCTGGCCTCAAACTCAGAGATCCACCTGCTTCTGCCTCCCAAGTGCTGGGACTAAAGGCATGCACCACCATCTAGCTACCTTTCTCATATTTCTATGTAGCAAATAAGCAAATAGTAAAAGATACCGATATGTAATTAGTTTTTTTTGGGGGGGGGGGTCTTTTTTCTGTGTAGCTGTCAACCCTTTTAAAATAAAAGAAATGGGAGCAGGATTGATGAATCATTTAACAACAATAAAAAAACTGTAAAAATCTGTAATATTAGAGATTGTCTCAATGTCCTAGGGAGGGGGTGCTTGCTGTGTCTTCCCCCTTGGAGTCCAGTGGAAGGCTGGCAGGTGGAGCAGTATAGGAAGGAGGTGGTCTTTGGTTAGTAGTGTGTTCTAGGCTGGGCACTAGACAGTACCACTTGGTGCCCGTGTCTCCTCTCGCGTCTCTTCTGTCTGCCTCTACGATGCCTGTTAATTGACATCACAAGCAGTTCTTTCATGGATCTTGTTTTGTTGTAACATTCTAAAACTCAACAAAGCAAAGGTCATCTAAAATTTCTGCTGTTTTACTGTTTAGACATTTTCTAGGTCTTGAATTTTATTTTAGGATTATGATGCACATTTAGTTACAATTTTTATTGTTATCTTTGGTTTGACTATGAAAGGTCCCTCATAGACTTATTAATCCCACTGATCAAGAATAAGATCACTACCACAGTTTAAAGCCAAAATTGAAGCAAGCTTTAATTAAATAAGGGTCACATGGATGGGCTCTGGCCAGGTCCACACCCAGCTTCCTGGGAAATGGCTCAGAATCAAGTATGGCAAGGGCTTAAGAAGGAAAACCCATAATTCATTGCATATCCCATCAGGTCTAATAAGGGGCAAGCATATGATCTGACATGCCTCCTGCCACATGTGATCAAGCACATCTGGTGCAGCTTGCTGGGCACATATGGTACCTGGAGTTGGGATTTAAGGCCTAGGGTAAGAGCAGCTCCTAGGAGAGTGCAGCTCTTTGGATTTACAACCCCTTGGGGAGTGCATTCCAAGAGTTGGGGTTTTTTAAGGTTTAAGTATTTATTTTATACACAGTGTTCTGCCTGCATGTATGTCTGCACACCAGAAGGTACCAGATCTCACCACAAATGGTGTGAGCCATCATGTGGTTGCTGGGAATTGAACTCAGGACCTTCATAAGAGCAGCATGTGCTCTTAGCTGCTGAGCCATCTCTCCAGCCCTAAGAGTTGGAGTTTATAATCTCTGTTGCAGGGTTTTAAAACAGTCAAATATAGCCGGGTGTTGATGGTGCATGCCTTTGATCCCAGCACTTGGGAGGCAGAGGCAGGCAGATGCCTGTGAGTTCAAGGCCAGCCTGGTCTACAAAGCTAGTTCAAGGACAACCAAAGAAATACAGAGAAACCCTGTCTCCAAAAAACAAAACAAAACAAAACACATTCAAGATGTTTAAGTATCATGGGTATTGCGGTAAAGATCTCCTTTGCAGTAAGGAAGAGGCAAATGTCCCAAAGCTGTGGTGAGTCCACCTGGTTAAACCCTGCCCGTTGGGGAAAGTGGGGGAGGGGGGCGGCTTCTGCTGCCTGGGGGCAAAACCCAGGTAAATCCCGCTTCTGACACCAGATATTGCGGTAGATAAGGATCAGGATAAACAAATAGGCCGAATAGATGTTTATTCAGGGAGAAATAACTTACAACCTAGACAGATGAACACCAGGAAATTCAACCCCATCCTCTCCTGTCCGAGTCACGCTAGAAAGAGAGAGCGCCTTCCTGGCCCCCTCCGACCTCCTTCCTCAGGTCACCTCCGCCCATCGCTCCACCCCCCAATGGGCGTGGTCAGTGCTACAGAAGGACTACCTCACTACACATGGGTTCTCAGTGTATGGCTTTTGAGCCTATCCTTTAACTCCCTCTGTAGACCAAGCTAACCTCATAGACCAGGCTAGTCTCAAACTCACAGAGATCTGCCTGCCTCTGCCTCCCAAGTGCCGGAGTTAAAGGTGTGCACCACCACTACCTGGCTAGTTGTATTCATTTAAATTGCCTTTCCCCCTGCCTGGGAGAATGCAGGGCAAAGTGTCAAAGAGGCTATCAGTCCTAATATACTGAGAAATATTCATATAGGCTATAAGCATAACTTTTCCTCATGTTTCTGGGCTCTTCAGGTACCCAGACCTTCCTTTCCTTATGCCCCACGTTGTTGGTTGCCAAATGTCAGGTTGCACCGTGTAGCACAGGTCAGTTGAAGAAAGAAGGCACTCCAAGATGAAATTTTAAGGTCTATGTGGCAGCAGGAAGGTGTAGCCTCTCTGATGGACTGAACCCTCAACAGCCACACACAGGCATATTTATTGTTACATAAAGTATTTTCTCATACTAAGGTCTTTAACCTTAATTGGTCTACAGAGGGAATTATAAGACAGGCTCAAAATCCCTTTGGGTAAAGTCCCTGTGTAAAACTTTAAAAAATCCAGTCTTATCAGTATTCAAACTTCTTTTTCTCTTCTTCAGAATTTACCTAAAGCCCAGGACTACCTCTCATTCATGCAGTTCAGGATTTCCATTCCCGCTGCAACTTTTTCCTGTGATTTCTACTGGACTAGCCTGTCAAGGCACAATGGGACTCCCTTTTGATGGGAATCTAAGAAGGACAAAACATCAAGAACAATGATGCAAATAAGGAAGTGTGAAGCACTCTCAGAGTCATGAGTCCCTCAAGCTAGGCAGGCTGTCATTTATTTGGACAGGGGAGACATATTCAGGAGTGAGCCATCAGCACTTAGGTGTAATGCTGTGGGGCTTTGGCACTTCCCTGGATGGATACTTAGGTATGAATGAATGGATCAAGGAGTAAAGGCACTTACCATATCTACCATGAAAGACTTGAGTTCAATCTCCAGAACCCACATGAAGATGGAATGAAGGAAGGGACACCACAAAGTTGTCCTGTGGCCTCACAAATATCACGACACACAATAATATCACACAATAATAATAATAATATATAAAAATAACGAAATACATCTGTAATGTTTACACTGGTTTCATTAGTGTCATCTTTCTAACACAAATAAAGTTATTTACAAATTAAACACCCCAAGCAAAGGTAAGGCATAGTGGTGCACACCTGTAATCCTAGTACTGGGTAACCAAGGCAGGAGGAACTGCCATAAGTTTAACACTGAAGTAAGTTGTTTCAGGCCAGTCTGAGCTACATAGCAAGACCCTGTCTCAAAAACAAACAAGTAAAGAAATAAGCATGTTGCCATGTTTTATAAATCTGCATATCTCTTTTGTTTTGTCCTGTGATGTGAAGAAACAGTATTAACTGACCAATTAGAAAGTTCATATTCTGGATTTGACAGCCCCTCTCTTCTCAGTTTATATGTAGGGATACTTTGCTTGAATGTATGCCCATGTACCACATGATGGCCTCATGCCCTCAGAAGCCAGAAGAGGACATCAGGTTATTAACTCTGGTGAGATGTCCAGCAAAAGTTCCAGTCTCTTTGAACATGAGATATTTTATCATTATGCATTGTCAGAAAGCAAAAAGTTTTCTACCACAGACTTGTTTCTGATTTGAAATTCAAAGCAAGAAAAAAATTTTTTTTTGTTTTGATTTTCCAAGACAGGGTTTCTCTGTAGCCCTGGCTGTCCTGGAACTCACTCTGTAGACCATGCTGGCCTCGAACTAAACAGAGATCTGCCTGCCCCCACCTTCTGAGTGCTGGTATTGAAGGCCTGTACCACCACCACCTAGCTGAAAAATATTTAAGTGGATTTCCCTAGCACTATTTTATGAACATTGAACAATTGTCAATTATTCATAATTTGGACAAATCACTTTACTATATCATTCTCTGATATATATTTATATGTATCTATCATGCATTCCATCTAGCTCTGATATGTATATATTACTCTACCTGAAGGTGTTTTATAAGCCAGTCTGGTTTTGAAGTCTCCATTCTCCTGCTTCAGCCTTTGGAAGGCTGGGGTTCTAGGCATGTGATCCTGTTCTAAAATGAATATATCTCCTTGGTGAGAAATCACTCCACATATTTAGGTTTTAATAAAGGGAAAAGCACTTTAATAATAGCACAAATCAGCCAGGCGTTGGTGGCTCATGCCTTTAATCCCAGCACTCAGGAGGCAGAAGCAGGCAGATCTCAAACAATACAGAGAACTCAAAACACCAAAACAAAACAAAACAAAACAAAAACAAAAAAACTCAACCAAAACAAAACAAAAAACAACAAAAACAAAAAAAGGCACAAATCTGGCTCTGGATAATGCCCAAAAAAGAGCCAGCTGTGAACAAATTTTTACTAACATAACCTTAGGGTTATGCATTTCACATGTGTTATTATTTTTACATCTTATTCAGGTCTTGGCTCTAGGTCACACTTGAAACAGTTTAAAGTGGGGTGGGACTGGGGGGAGAAACAGTTTAGCGACAGGAGACTGCAATGTAAGTCTGGCCACCTGGGCAGATGGGAGATTTTATACAGCAAGGATACTTGTAGCACAAATTCTAATCTGTATTAATAACAAAAAACCTGGAGTGAGATATTAGGTGTGGGGGAGTTGAATCAATTTCATGTAACCCAAGGGTGGCTTTGAACTAACAGAGATCCATCTGCCTAGTGCTGGGATTAAAGGTATGTGCCACCACTGCCTGGCCTCTATGGCTAAACAAGTGTGGCTAGCTTTGCTCTCTGATCTTCAGGCAAACTTTATTTGCTAGATCAAAATATCACCACAGATACTTTCAGAATTCCTTCTCTCTCTTTCTTTGTTTTTTTGTTTTTGTTTTTTCGAGGCACTGTTTCTCTGTATTGCTTTGGAGCCTGTCCAGTAGACCAGATCAGGCTGGTATTGAACTCTGAACAGAGATTTGCCTGCCTCTGCCTCCGAGGGCAGTTAAAGGCATGTGCCACCAATGCCCGGCTTCAGGATTATTAAGTATATACACCAGTGTTGTTCTTTTCCAATAGTTGTCACCCACACTCATCTTGCCTACCTGGCAGAATCATGTTTCTCCTAATAAGGGCACAGGCTAGGACTTAATAATTGTGACTCAGGGCTCAGGAACTGAGCTGCCCCTTAGAGGCATGTTTTTTAATAAGGGGAGAGGTTTAACAGCCAGTTGGAAGTCAGGGTTGTCTTCCTTTGTTGTGGTAATAGAGCCTAATTGGAGGTAACCCTTAGTGCACAAATCTTAGCAGAAACTTTCTCAGCAACCCAAAACTTCAATTTTGGCACAAATATTTCCTCCCTAGAATTTCTAACAGCCCTGGTTATTATAATATTTATCTTCCAGTCATATTGGAGGCAAGTTTATTAGTAAATCCATCATAGCATCAATATTATTAGTTTCTCTAACATCAACCCCACACCTGCCTTTGATATTTTCAACTTAATAAAAAGCAGGGGAACTTTGGAACAAACACAAAACTGGTCTTGGCTGGCATATCAGGTGTGAATGATCCAGTTAATCAAGCCTGACAACCTGAGTTCTAGCCTTGGAACCCATGTGGTAGAAGAAAAGAAATGACTTCTGCAAGTTGTCCTCTGACCTCCACATGCAATTCTCTCTCTCTCTCTCTCTCTCTCTCTCTCTCTCTCTCACACACACACACACACACACACACACACACACACATGGGTACTGGGGCCAAACCTCCAACCTTCACCTGGAAGGCAAACCCTGTATCACTGAACAACATTCACATCCCAATAGTTTATGTCTGATTATTTGAGACAGTGTCTTGCTGTGTAGGTTGACCTTGAATTCCCCCCAAATCCTCCAGTTTCAGCCTCCTCAGTGTTGGAATTACAGATTTGAGTTACTGGATTGGTCATCTTCTTTTCCTCTCTCTCTTTCTCTCTCTGTCTCTCTCTCTCTCTCTCTCTCTCTCTCTCTCTCTCTCTCTCTCTCTCTCTCTGTGTGTGTGTGTGTGTGTATTCTCGTGCCAGGGCATGTGTATGGAGGACAGAAGGTAACTTTCGGAAATTCTCTTGCTCACTATGTGGGTCCTTGGGAATTAAACTCGGGTCCTCATACAGACCCCCATTCTTTATCTTTACTCATTAAAATGAAATGTCCCTATAGGTTATATTTAATTGATCATTAACATCCTAGAAGCCAGCCAGACTATACGTAAGAACTCTTGGGCAGCTATTCCGCCCGCAGGTAGGTCTCGTTAACATGGAGGGTCTCTCTCCCAGGTAAGTCGACGCACCCGTTAGACAACAGCAAGACTCCTGCAGCAGAGTCCCTTCCCAGCATCCAGGAGGATAGGCACTAGGCCCGCCCCTCGCACTGTCCTCTGGAGACCCCTTCCGCTCTTCCTCTAGATAGCGTTCTTCCGTCCTTCCACCCACCCATCCACTTCCCGTGAGCTCCTCAGGGCGCTCGAGGGGGGGCGCCTTTTGTGATTGGTTACTACGTGTGTCAATCCGGGGCTCGTAGCCCACAATTGGCCGGCTTTCCTCACGGTCGAGTCACGCCGCTGAAGGGGACTAAGGCGGAGCGGCAGGCGCGCGGAGCTGTCTCGCCGTGCGTCTCCGGCGGTTTTTCGCGTCGGTTTGTAGAGCGTTTGTGATGGCGGCAGCGGCGGCGGCTGAGGAAAGCATGAGTGTGGCCGCGCTAGCAATGTCAGTCCCCGACAGCACTGGCGGGTCTCCCGGGGCCGAAGGAGAAGGACTTGGAGTAGCGGGCGAAGAGAAGGACGCAGCCGCTAAAGGAGCTGAGGCCGTTGGGGATAGCGAGGAGGATGGGGACGACGTGTTCGAGGTGGAGAAGATCCTGGACATGAAGTGCGAGGGAGTATGTGGGGGCTGCGCGGCGAGACGCGGCCGGAGGGCCGGGGCGGGGACGGTGGGGGAGCATCCGAGTGGGACGCTCAACAGCCCGGCAGGACGGACGTGTCGGGCGAGCGCAGAGACATCTCGTACAGGACCCTGGCGGCTGCATCTGTGGAGGATGGATGCTTAGGGAAGTTTTGAGCGTTGTTTTGGCAGAAGAGACGAAGCAGTGTCGTGTTATGTTGAGAATACAGTGCAAGACGGCTGGTGGGGGACTCCACTTGCCTTGGACGTTCGGGTATACAGTTAGGGCCATTGCTCTGGGTTGGAAAGGACTGGTGGAAATCATACGAGCCGTCGTAGCACATTCTCCTCCACACCGTTGTCCCAATATTTTCTAAAAGTAGGGAATGCCCCGTGGCTTAAATTCAGGAATTCCATTCGTCCTCACAATGAAACCTCGATCACACCGAGTGGTTGGGACGGTAAACGTTTCCGAAACCTAGGGTCATCCCTACCCCCTCTGCGCGTTTGTTTTATGATTGTAACAGATTTAGAGTAAGGTTAAAAGGAAACACTTAGGCACATCCTCCTTGCCGGGATTGTTGTTCCCAGGAGAAATTCTTACTCTCCTTCCAAGTGTCGGGGTCCATCTGTTTGTAATGTCGTTTCCACCCTTCCCATTTCCGAGCCCTGTAGAAAATCTGTTTTCTCATTTGTGCTCTGAGGAGACCTCAACTGAAGCCATTCCCTTGTATCTATATTTACCTTTTCTGCTCTAGATCCTGGGCTCTTTTAATCCGGGATGTGTTTTTATTAATGTTTGAGTCACTGATATTTAGTCCAGTAACAGCATTTGCCAATCTCTTTTTGTAGCTAGGTATCATGCCCATGCCGATACGATGTTTTGCTTCTATTGTATTTTATTTCATTTGTTATTTGCCATATGCTATCTTTTGTCTGTTAATTTTTGCCCTTCAACAAACTTTTTAAAATCAACTGCTGTTTACCATGTTCTATGTTGGTTTGATGGTTGATTTTTTTTTTTTTTTAAGGCGGTGCCTTTCCCTAAGAGACTCCTTTTATTTGTTTATTGAGACTGTTTCTCTGTGTAGAAGGCTTTAAAATTCAGAAATCTGCCTGCCTCTGGCTTCTGGGTGCTGGGATTAAAGGTGTATTTGGCCAGTGCCTGGTCTAATGGTACAGGTTTTTTAAAGAAAAATTTTTAGCCTTTATTTTTATTTTATGTGTATGGGTGTTCAGACTGTGTGTATGTCTGCACCACATGCATGTCCAGAGAAGAGGGCATTGGGTCCCCTGAAACTGGAGTTATGGATGATTTTGAGCTGCCACATGGATGCCGGGAATCGATCCCAAATTTTCTGGAAGAGAACCCAGTTTTCTTAGCTGTGAAGGCTTTGCTTCAGGGTTCCCTCTGTGTCTTCCACTCTCACACCACCTGTGTTTTGAGGTAGGATCTGTCTCTGAAGCCCAGGCTAGCCTAGAACTTGAGACCCTCCTGCAGTTACTGACACAGGAAAATTCTCATGTCAAGCTTGAGTTAAGTAATTAAAATTCAGTTTCATTATGGAGCTAGAGAGGGTGCAAGTCCGGAATCCTGGTATTCCTGCTGGGAGATGGAGACAGGAGAGTACCTGTTGTACTCTCCTGTTGTAGTGCGGTACAGTTTTGAACAACTAGGCTTGAGTCTGTCCTCTGAGGTGTACCCACAGCTGTGGCAAACCCATACCCACATTGTGTGTCCACATTTGTGAATCGCTACACATGGATTCTGGGAAACAAACTAGGATCCTTTGTGAGAGCAATAAGCAGCTTTAATGATTGCTCTAGCTTCTGGCTCCAGTTTTGTGTTAATTTTTTTGAGAACATAATAGTGCCATTTCCCCCTTTCTTTTCCCCTCCAGACCCTCCTATATACTACTCCTTTCTCTCTTTCAAATTTGTGACCTCCATATCTTTAAAAATAGCCAAGTTTGGTATGTGGCACACCCTTTAATACCAGCACTCAGGAGGCAGGAGCAGGCAGGTATCTGTGAGTTTGAGACCGTTCTGGTCTACATAGTGAGTTCTAGAACAGTCAGAACTACATAGTGAGACCCTGTCTCAAATAAGTGAATTTAAAACTGTGAGTTTCAGCTGACTATTTCTGTGATCTTTGACTACTTGCTTATTCTATCTGTAGTCTTCAGATTCAATTATAGAATGCTTTATAGCACCTTCTTCATAGGCTGTTGTAAAGATTTAAGCTACTGAAAGTAAATATTTAGACAGTGTATGACATTTTGCAAAGCATTTTTTGAACCTTGCATTATTAGATCTGCTTGAGCCACATGCCTATTATGTGTATTATTTTTTCTTTTAGATTTATTTTTTGTATGAGTTTTGCCTCTCTAAACACAAGGCACACAAGTGTTAGAGAGGTCAGAAAAGACTGGAATTATAGGCTCCATGTTGGTGCTGGTGATCAAACCCAGTTCCAGATCTTCTGCACGAACAGTAGTTGCATATGCCTTTTTTTTTTTTTTTTAAGACACATTTCTCACAACTTTGCCTGGGATGGCCTAAAACATAGGCTTGCCTCAGACTCTGCATCTGTTTCCTCTGTGCTTCTCAAAGGGTTGTATGTGTGTGCCACCATGCCCAGCAGCAAACCCTCGCTTCTATTGTAAAAGGTTTACATTTACTTTATGTGGAGACCAGAAGAGGGCAGCAGATCCCCTGGAGCTCCTGGCAGTGATGAACTGCTTGCTGATGCTAGTCACCAAATTCCAGTCCTGAAAGAGCAAAAACAACAAAATGCTTTTAACTGTTAAGCCATGTCTCCAGCTCCCAGTTGCCATTTTGTTGTGTCAGTCATCTCTTCAGTGTTGTCTGGGGCTCTTTACTCAGGTATATGCCAGAAGCACCTTTACCTGCTAAGCCAACCTCCTCTTAAAACTTCACTGATCTCCTGTTTGAGGATTTATTAATATTGTCAAAGAAGTACAAGTGTATCAGTGCTTTATTTTTTTTTTAATCTAAACACTGTTCTTATATGATAATCTTCAGTTACTAAAAATCATTGTTGAGTGACTTGCCTTGCCTTTTTCGTTTTTCATTGCTATGAGTATACATTGCTTTGTAATATATAATCAGAAAAAGACATCAGTCTTTGTTTTTTGTTTTTTGTTTTTTTTTTTGTTTTGTTTTGTTTTGTTTTTTGTTTTCAAGACTGGGTTTGTCTGTATAGCCCTGGCTATCCTAGAACTCACTCTGTAGACCATGCTGGTTTTGAATTCAAAGAGATCCATTTGCCTCTGCTGGGACTAATCCCCCTTTTGGGATTAAAGGCCAACACCACCTGGTTAAGTCTTTGTTCCTTTGGAGCATTCACCACCAATGCCCAGCTCAAGTCTTTGTTTCTTTTAAAAAAAAAAAAAAAGTTAATGATAGTTGTTTTTTTCTTAAGCCACTGTGGGCCTCAAAAGATAGTCATACTAAATAAGGTGTTTCTCGGCAGTTGAATGGTTTTGAAATTTTAATCATTGATATGTCCATTTTTAATTTGTGCCACAGGGTAGGAACCTTTATAAAGTCCGATGGAAAGGATACACGTCTGATGATGACACCTGGGAGCCTGAGGTTCACCTGGAGGACTGTAAAGAAGTTCTTCTTGAATTTAGGAAGAAAGTTGCCGAGAACAAAGCTAAAGCAATCAAGAAAGATATCCAGGTATCAAGTTTTATCTCATACTTTTTGATTTGATGATCATAATTTTGTTTATAGGTAGTATGTGTAGTAATAATTTATGAGAAATATGATGTCCTCTGTTTCTGTTGTGAAGTCATGTTGCTGATTTGTCCTCACAGACTGCTTCTGCTGATGTTGCTCAGCAAAATCATCCTGTGATTGTATTTGGTATTTTTTTTATGTTGTGTTAGTCAACTTACACTGTAATGAAATACCTTCTGTTGCCATAGAGAAAGACGACACGCCACAGAACTCACATAGAGAGGTTTTTTTTATTGGGGGAAGGGAAGGAGGGGGAGTGGGAAGACCTTCCTCTGGGGACAGGAGCAGCAAAAGAGGAAGGTGGGAGGATGTGACACAGAGCGAGAGAAAAAGGAAGAGATGGGAGGTGGGCAAGGCCCACCTTTTAAAAGGGAATGTAGTGAATGTGCACAGGTGGTACTCTTAGTGGATGCAGCTGAGGACTTATCCTGTCAGGAACCCAAGGGCAGGCCAGCACAGATGCCTGAATACTAACACCTACCATAACTTAAAAATAAGATTATTTTGCCTTACAGTTGTAGAGGTGTTAGTTTACCTCTGTGGATACCTGTGATACTGAGCACTAAGGTACTATATGCTCCTTGTTTTCATAAGCCAAGAAGCACAGAAGAAACCAGGGTCCCCAATCGTCTTTGGTGTCATGTCATCTCCCTAAGGGTCTACCACCTCCCATTAGTGCCTCTCCAGAGACCAAGCCTCTAACACATGGACCTTTGGGGGACATTCAGCATTCAAATTAGAGTAGGCATGAATGTTAGCTAATAAGGTGGAATATGTTTGTAATTCCAATACTCAGGACAATTAGTCAGGAAAGGAGGCCAGTCAGGGCTGTATAATGTGACCCCCCCCCCCATCTCAAGGACAAAAGAGAAGGGTATATTCAGTGGTTCAGCACCTTCCTAGCATGTGTCAGGCCCTGGATTCAAGCACCAGCATCATGCTGAGGAGCAGGAGTGATAAATATAAAAGTGAAGGAACATAGTCTGTTTTTAACATTTTTCTGCTAATTAGATAAGTCTTTCTTTTGGTTTTTCAAGACATGGTTTCTCTGTATAGTCCTAGCTGTCCTAGAACTCACTTTGTAGACTAGGCTGGCCTTGAACTCAGAGATCTGCCTCCCTAATGCTGGGATTAAAGAAAAGCATATATACCACCATGCCTGGCTTAAATATCTTATTCTTGAGTTTCTTTTTAGAATAGAAAAACATTTTAGTAGGAACTATTTAAGATCATAAAACACAAATCAATCAAATCAGTAAGATTCCTATGTAGTTAATGTGCTTACTCCATTTAACCTGAGATAACAAGTTTAAGAACATTGATTGGGGTGTGGCTGATAGCTGAACAGTAAGGGTGCTTGCTGAAAACTCAGACTTCCCGTGGTAGAAGGAACAAGATTCCTTAAGTGGTCCTCTGACTTCTACATGTATACTGTAGCAAGTCATGAATGAGACTGTTATTATAACTCATGTTTCAATTTGATATCTTGGAAACAGTAGCGTTTTTCTTTGTGTCTCCTTTTTAAATTGACATCACCTCCAAGTCCTATTTGCTAAGTCAGAAATTTAAGTGATACACATGTTTAATTTAGGTAATTTAAAGTCAAATCTGCTTTTAAAATGTTTTCATTAGATTTTATTAATACTGCCTCTCAAAAAACTTGAAATTATGTTAACATTTTTACCTTTTTTGTATTTTATAGAGACTATCTTTAAGCAATGACGTATTTGAAGCAGACTTTGATAGTGACCAGCAAAGTGACACAAAAGAAGATACTTCACCAAGGAAGAAAAAGAAAAAAATAAAGTGCAAAGAAGAGAAAAGTCCAGATGATCTGAAAAAAAAAAAAGCAAAACTGGGAAAACTAAAAGATAAGTTCAAGTCAGAGCTGGAAAACACCTCTGAAAATTTAAGTTTTGATATAAGGACAAAGAAAAGAATTTTGGAAGTCAAGGAAGAATTAAAGGAGTCCAAAAAACCCAAAAAGGATGAAATAAAGGAAAACAAGGCATTAAAGAAAGCTAAAAGGGCTGAAATAGGAGAGTTAAAGTTTAAAATAAGAGAAGATATCAAAGACAACCGGAAAACAAAGAAAGAGAAGTCTGTTGAGTGTCCACTGGATTTTGAATCACCTGTACCTAATGAGTCCCTCCTTCCAGAGGATGATGGGGAAGACTTACTTTCTTACAACAGAGAAGAGAATCAGACGATAAGAATGGTGAAAGATAGGACAGAACAGCATATAGTGCAAGAGGGTATTTTTGAGAAACATTTGGATGACCTTTTAAGTACTGAAGAGGATGCTGGGGCCCGAGTTAGAAGGAAGAAGAAAAAGCCAAGGAAGTTTGAGGAAACAAAAGAAATCAAGAAACTAGAGAACATGGATACCTTTTTAGAAAGGAAGATGATAATACCTAAAAAACAAAGACATCAAGACAAGAGCAGAAGTAACCTAGAGTTAAGTAAGTTACTATCACCTGTGTCTGCCCAAGCCCCAAAGAGTTCCAGACTGAGTGCAGAAGAGAAGGGCCTAAGATCCTCGGACTCGGCAGAGGAGGTAAGGGCAGTAGAGAACCTGTAGAGTGTAAAAATAATTGGTACCTTTATTATTGGATATTGTATGGTCAGGAATTTTAACAAGGAATGGGAAAGGAAATGGTCAGATTAGAATAAAGTGTAACTCCTCAGGTAATTATTGAGGACAGCTGCATGTGCTCAGATCCTCAAGCACTCAAACCCAAAGTTTGTCTTAGTTTTAACCTTTTCCTTTCCTTTCTTTTTTGGGGAGCTTGTTTGTTTGTTTTGTTTTTTGTTTCTTTGAGACAGAGTTTCTCTGTGTAACAGCCTTGGCTGTCCTGAGACTCACTCTGTAGACCAGGCTGGCCTTGAACTCACAGAGATCCACCTGCCTCTGCTGTGTGCCGATACTGCCTGGCATCAGTCTAGTTTTCTTTTACAAAGCATGATCAAAAATTTTTTTGTAGAGGTATTCAGGTATTGTGTAGCATTGTATAGACAGGCCTATTGGCTTCAGTTAATTTCATTTTGGAGTGTGTATATGTGTTCTCTTTTTAAAAAATAATTTGAGGGGGCTGGAGAGATGCCTCAGTGGTTAAGAGCACTGGCTACTCTTTCAGAAGGCCCTAGTTCAGTTCCCAGCACCTACGTAGTAGCTTACAGCTATCTGTTGTAAGATCTGACACCCTCACACAGACATACATGCAGGCAAAATACCAATGCAGATAAGATAAAAATAAGTCATAAATGAGTCTTATTTGAGAATGTGATAACAACGTGTTCACCCTTACTCTCTCCCTAACTTCTCCCAGATCCACTTCTGCCCCTTCCCTTCCCCAACTTTTTCTTTTCCTTTTAGTTTCATCTTGTCCAATTTGTCAGAATATTTTACACTGTAATTCAGGCTAGCCTGGAGCTGATTAATCCTTGATATACTCCCTCCTTAGGTACTGGGGGTTGGGACTACAGATTTAGCTTTCACTTTTTCCCTCTTTTCTTGTAGCCTTGAACTCAGAGAGCTACCTGCCTCTGCCTCCTAGGAATTCTGGTATTAAAGACATGTACCACTGAAACCAAATGGTTTTTATTTTGTTTTTATGATTTTTATTTATGTGTGTGCATACCACATGTATGCCAGTACTTGCAAGAGCTAGAGGGTGTGAGATTCCTTGAAGCTGGAGTTAAAGGCAGTTGTGGGCCACCTGAATGAATACCTGGATACTAAGGACTGAGCTGTGGTCTTGTAAGAGCAGTGAGCACTTAACTCCTGAGACCTCTCTTCAATTTGTAGTTTCCACGTTTATGGTTTCCACAGTTATTTTAACTACAGAAAGAAAAAAAGTAAAAGTTCTTCAACTTTTAAGAACATGTATTTTGCCGAGCAGTGGTTGCCCACACCTTTTAATCCGAGCACTTGATAGGGAGAGGCAGGTAGATCTCTGTGAGTTTGAGGTCAGCCTGGTCTACAGAGCAAGTTCCAAGACAGCCTCCAAAGCTTCAAAGATACTCTGTCCCAACAAATAAATACAATTATATTTTATCCCAATGTAATAATTTTATGTTTTTAAGTAGAAAACTTCAAAATTATGAAAATGTCAGTCAAGAACTATTTTAAAAAGATGTTTCTTTTCATTATTCTTGGTTTTGATAATTTATCTAAATCATTTTAAAGGGAGGGGAAACTTATTTCTTTTCCCACTCTTTGAGACACGCTATAACAGCTCTGGCTGTCCTGGACTTGCTCTGTAGTCCAGGTTGCTCTCAAGATCATCTGCCTCTCTGTCTCTGCCTCTGCCTCCCAAGTGCTGGGAATAAAGGCATGCACTATGCTGCCCAGCCCTTTTCCATGCCCGATCCTTACATATAGAGTAGATAATACAAATCATAAATGTATTTTTAAAAATAATCTCTGATATTCATATACTTTTAGCACTTAGTATATAAATTTACATACTAATATAAAAATTTAAATCTTGGTTGAAAATTTGATCCTGCAGGATGCATTTTTGGGGAAATTGATCCATACCTTGATTTTATAATTGTTGATGAGGAAAATGGCCCCTTATACAAATATATAGTATAAAATAGCAGATAATTTAGGGCTATTTCAGAGCTCTTTTTTGAAGTTCTAGTCTCAAGCCAAAAAGATTAGATTTTGAAACAAGGTGTCAGGCTAGTTTAGAATGAACTGGCTGTGTAGCTGAGAATGACCTTCCTTAAACTGATTCTCTCTTATCCTCCATTTCAGGGATTGTAGGCATGTATGTTATTTCCAGTTTATGTAACACTGGGGGCTTGAACCATGGTCATTGTGGAGGCTAGGCAAGCACTCTGTCAACTGAACTGGTATAAGAGCAGATGTTTTTACAGTAAAATCATACAATAGACTTGAGTATGAGGAATCTGGCAGGATTGACATGTGGTGCATTTGAGCTTGAACTAATTTTTAGTTGTTGAACATTGAGAAATGTGTTTGTTGCTCCTGTGACATTTGTGCTAAGTGACCCCATAGCTGTGGTCTATAGAGTAGGTCCTCTTTGCAGGTACGTATCTATAATTAGAGAACTTGGGGAACTGAAACAGAGGGATTGGGAATTTGAGACCACCCTGGGGCTAAATTGCAAGACCCTGTCTGGAATTATTTGTGGTAGTATTATCCTTAGTATAAAAAAAAAAAAAAAAAAAGTCAAGATTGCCTAGCCATGGGGAAAGTGGTTCAGAAAGTACTGATGTGTCAACCTGGGGACTGTAATAGTCGATTGAAATATAAGATCTGTTTCAGAAGTAAACCATGGTTGTCCTGGAACTCACTCTATAGACCAAGCTGGCCTCAGGTTCATAGAGATTTACCTGCCACTGCCTCCTGTGTGCTGGGATTGAAGGCATGTGCACCACTTCCTGGCTGGGGGTTTTTATAAAGTTTAATTATGTAGCAATTGAGTTTTTATTATTAAAAAAGTAGATTTCACATGACATTTTCATATATGCTTATAGTGAACTTTGATCATATTCAAGGTTTCTTTTTGTTTGTTTTTTGTTAATTTATTTGAGAATAGGTCTCTAGAGAGACCAAGCTGGTCTTGAATTCATATAGATCTGTCCCTGCCTCCCTAGTGCTGGGAATAAAGGTTTGCACTAGCATGCTATGCACAAACATTTTACATAATATATTCATAAAAGAAAATGGGGAAATGGGTATTAGGTTTTGAGTTTGATTTTGTATCATTTTATGTCTGAAAGATAATCTTGATTGGAGGAGCAGTGAGAGAAAAAATTGAATAATCAGCTGCTATGTGCTCAAGTATTTGTACACAGACATGGGTGCTTGAATATTTTGGTTTACAAATATACAATGTCAGCTTTTTATCTATCCTTGTTCTGGTTTTTGTATTCATCTTTGTTTAGGAGAAAGAAACCAAAAAAATTGAGGCCAAAGAAAAATACCAGAAAAGGTATGATTTGGACAAAGAAGAAAAATGCCGAAAAGAGTCAAAGGGATTAAAATGTAAGTGTAAAATGAAATTATTAATTGCTGGATGGAGGTGGTACACACTTTTAAGCCCAGCACACAAGAGGCAGAGGCAGGTGGATCTCTGTGTTCCAGGCCAACCTTGCCTACAAAGCTACACAGAGAAACCCTGCCTCAAAAAACCAAAAATAAATAAATGAATGAATAAATAAATGTTGAGCATTCCCTTCTCTGAAATATTTGGTACAAAAAATGTCTCTCATTTTTCATTTGGTGTTCCATTGTTTTTGTGTCTTCTTTTGTTTTGGTTTTTCGAGACAGGGTTTCTCTGTATTGCTTGGAGGTTGTCCTGGAACTTGCTATGTAGATCAGGCTGGCCTCGAACTCACAGAGATCCACCTGCCGCTGCCTCTCCAGTCCTGGAATTGGATTGATGTGTCTTACATGAAATTAAGAGTGGAATTTTCTACATGTAGCTTCATATTGCTACTCATGTTTAATTTGGGGTATTAGGGATTTCTCTAGTGTTTGGTGTATATGATGTGGCGTTTACCCTGTGCACTCAAGATGCCAGAGGAGGACATGGGGTTACTGCTCTGTTACTCTCCACCTTACCTACCCTTGAGCCAGGGTCTGCCTTCCACTGGGTCTGGGGCTGAGTTGCCAGTCAGCAAGCTCTGGTAATCCATTTGTTCCCACCCCACATAGTTCTAGAGTTTTAGTTACTTACAATATGTCCATCTTTTTTTATATGGGGGATTTGAACTCAGATCTCATGATTGCACAACAGGCCTTCTTAAAATGTTACTCCATTTCGGGGCTGGAGAGATGTTTCAGAGGTTAAGAACACTAGCTGTTGAGAGCACTGGCTGCTCTTCCAGAGGACATAAGTTCAATATTCAGCAACCACATGATGGCTCACAACCGTCTGTAATAAGATCTGATGCTTATTACAGATGGCATGCTTCAGACAGAACACTGTATACATAATAAATCTTTTAAAAAAAAATGTTATTCCATTTCTTCAGCTTTACTGACTTCAGGTGTTACGGTTTTTTTTTGAGGCTGGCCTCAAAGAGACCCACCTACCTTCCTCTGCATCTGGGATTAAAGAGGTACACTACCACACCTGGCCAGCAACACACATTCTTTTTTTGGGGTCAGGGGGATTCCAGATAGGGTTTCTCTGTGTAACAGCCTTAGCTGTGCTGGAACTCGCTCTGTAGACCAGACTGGCCTCAAACTCACACCTCAAACTCACAGAGATCTGCCTGCCTCTGCCTCCTTAGCAACACACATTTTTAATACTCCTTTTCCTCTCCAGGTTGGAGGTGGAACTCAGGGTCTTACTCATGTTAAGCAAGTGCTTAGCTGCATCTCTCCAGTTAGAAATTTTATCATGACAGTAGTAATACCATGTATCTTAGTGGCTCATACATAGAGTAACATAAAGGCTGCATCTATTTTGAACAATACAAGAAACAACTACATTTCAGATATTTGTTGGGCAAGATGTCCAGGGTGAACACTACTGATCAAGTGTTCTGAACTATTCTTCTGTGGTTGTGATAAAAGCTACTGAAGGAAGGAATATTAGTGATTCTAGTCTTACATCCCACCTTTCCTCCTGAAAAATGCATCAACCCATGTATGACTGTTGCAGAGTAATTAGTGATAAACGGGGAAAAGACCATGGTGTTGAGAGCACTGACCATGTACCTGATAAAGCTACCAAATTTCTCCTTCTTTGAACTAAAAAAGAAACGGGAGAAAAACTGATTAGATTAGTGGTGGATTGTGCTTAGTATGTAAGGTCTTGGATTCTATCCTGAGTACTAAAAGTAGGTGTGGGGGTGGTAGGAAAAAATATGTAAAAGTACTAGACAATTTGGAAGGGCTAAGTACTGGTTACATAGATTTTTACTATAAAGGATATTGGAAACTGGACTCAGTACTCCACATACATAAATAGTAGTTTCATTTAAGGCCAAGAAAAAAATGCACTTGAAATTGGCATAAAAGATGAAGGATCTGGTGTGGTAGAGTGTTTTTAGAATGCATAGGGAAGAATGCAGAAAGGAAGAAAAAGTTAAGCAGATTAAATACACCTTTGTCACAGCTTCCTGGGTACTGGGGAGTCAGTCAAAAGGCTAGTTAAAATCATTTTATGACTTTGATAGTAAATCTTTACCTTATAACCAACACAAGTATTAGTAAAACTATAGAAAACATGTTTATTCAGTGTGAATATGGATTTTCTTTCGTTGTAACATAAATTTGCAACTTACAGTTAACCATTGGCTTTAATTTTGTACTAGCATTTAAAGAAATCAGAAGTGCATTTGATTTATTTAAAAAAACAGAAGACAAAAATGATGTACTTGAGAATAATTGGAAAAGAGAAGAAGTACCATTGGATTGTAAAACTACAGATGATCCCAAAAACAAGGACAAGTCTTCACTTAAAAGAGATGAGACTGACACATGGGCATACATTGCTGCAGAAGGGGATCAGGAAGTTTCAGACAGTGTATGCCAAACGGATGAAAATTGTGGTGAGTTTGCTTGGTGTTGCATTGTTCAATAGAGTGACTTTGGAGTGTCCTGTGCCCCATGTAGTCTAATCTTCTCTCATAATAGTTTTTATTTGGGTCCCCTGAATACTTTTAATATTGAAGACTCAGGTCATCCTTTGACATATAAATGCATCAAATAGTTTCTAAGTTCTTACAATACACTTACAATAAAGATTTCTATTTTCCAGTTTAAATTCTTTTTTTTTTTTTTAAATCTGAGATTCATTCCAAAAATGACCGAATAAAAACTACGCATGGTGACACCAGCCCTCAGTAGGTAGTGGCAAGGTCATCCTCAGCTACATAGGGAGTTCAAGGACATGTAGCTGTGCACTCAGGATCCTCTGATCTTTACCCCTGAATGTTGGAACAGTAGGTGATATGCTTCAAATTCCTAATTCTATGTTAGCCTCCTAAGTTTACCACCATTGCTAAGAATATTTTAGGAGATAAATAGCATAAGATCTGTATGGAGAAAATTGTAAAACATTCTTGGAAGTCACTAAAATCTGCTTGCCCAGATTATGTAAGACCAGGGTTTGAATTCCCCCACTGCAAGGAAGCTATTAAAGTGTTTGCCATTTTTACTAATAAAAAAACATTTACTTCAGGCTGATTATAGTCTGATTCTAGTTAGAATCAAACCACCTAGTACTGGCTAGAGATCTAGTACGTGACAAAGTTTAGGGCCCTGGTTTCCATCCTCAACATTACAAAAACAACTAAGGAGTTTACAAATATGGACTCTTTATGTGGAAGACTCAGAAGCCAAATCCAGTTATGTCAGTAGTGATCAAAGTCTTCTATATAAACTGTAGCAGTTTGGCTGGAGACATGGTTGTTCCTGCAGAGGACTCAAGTTCAGTTCCCAGCACCCACTTAGCTGCTCACAGCCATCAATAATTTTAGTTCTATGGGACCTTACATCTTCTGACCGACCTCTGATGTTACTACATGCATGTGACAGACATACATTTAAGCAAAACCCACATACATATATACATATATGTATATATACATTTTTTTAAATTTATAAAAACTATTTACTTGGCATTAGGAAGATTCTATTAGTACAACAGAGTCTTCAGTCAGACTCATGCATAGCTGTGTGATGGAGAAAAGGGGACAAACTCATAGACTTATGCTGATACAACAAACATGCTCTTGGTCACTATTTCAGAATAATAGATTATCCAGAAACATAAACTCTTGTGAAAATCACATTCTTAATAGAATAGGGAGACTTTAGATGCTGGTAGTCATGGGGCTAAGATATCTGACCTTGGGGTAGGGAAGACTGTAAATGTGTGAAACACGGTGCACACACAGTCATTTACCACTGCACCTGTGTGCAAGCCAGGGGAAACCTTCTAGGAATGATGCTTCTCCTAACACCGTGGGGTTAGGAATAGAATTCAGATGGCCATGGTTTTGCTAAGCAACTGCCTTTGCTGCTGAGCATTTTATTATCACCAAAGATTTTTTTTTTTAAGTATTTTTTTTTTTATGTATATGGGTGTTTTGCCTTCATGTATGTCTGCATCATGTATGACTGGAGTTCCAGGAGGTTATGAGCTACAATGTGGATGCTAGGAATCATGCTTTTAACTGCTGATCCATTCACCTTCCCAGTTTCCAAAGATTTCTTAATACAAAAAAAAAAAAGGGATGACAACAAAATGGCTCAGCAAGTAAATTGCTTGTCACCAAGCCTGATAACCTGAGTTTGGTGTCCAGGGCCTTCGTTATAGAGAACAGAGACTGATGACTTATACGCTGTGCTGTGGCATGTGTCCTTCACTCAATTCCCTCACCCCCAAAAGTGTGAAAACAGTTACAAGGGTAATGTATTAAAGTCATCAAAGCTGTCATTTAAGAGGGTGGAAGCAAAAATACAATTGTTAGGGCAGATTGTCACCACCTAATCTTACAAAGGTTGTGACCAGATTCTCACCTAGGCTCCCAATGTATGTAGCTAGTGCCATAAAGAGCAGCCAGGTATGGTCTCATATGCATTAGTGTTTGTATGCAGTGTGCATTAATTCTTTGCTATTGTATCTCAGCATTTTCTTTTTCAAAACAGGGTTTCTCTGTATTGCCCTGGTTGTTTGGAATTCACAGGTCTGCCTGCTTCTGCCTTGCAAGTGCTGTGATTAGAGGTGTATACTACCACTGCCTGTCTTTCTTTCTTTCTCTCTCTCTCTCTCTCTCTCTCTCTCTCCCTCTCCCTCCCTCTCCCTCTCCCTCTCCCCCTCCCTCCCTCTCTCCCTTTATCTCTCTCTCTCCCTTTTAATTAAAAATAGAGAAAGTGAAGTCTATAGGTCCAGAAGTAGCATGGAGCATGGGGTAGAAATGAACAGTGTTTGGATGAACTGAGCCACAGTATAAGCCAAGCTCTTATAATTACAGTAAGCTGGTAGTGTTAAGCTTGGCTTCTATGGATCTTCTCTATCCTGTTCAGTTTCTTCCCATGCAGTGACTGACATTTCTTCCTGTGAGAGGAATAAAGGAGTCTATTGTGGACTGAGGGCTGACTGTGTACTGAAACTAACTAGGCCTTTTACTTTGTGCTGTGTGATAATGCTCAGAGCTACTTTAAGCCTATCCTTGCTGGGACTTGTTCCCTTACAGGTTAGTGTATGTGAGAAGTAAATTGTTAAGAATATGTTACAAAGGTAGCTTGTAAATATTAGCTGCTCTCTATATAATCACTGCTGTTTATTCAGAACCATATGATTTGTTCAAAGCTATACAGCTGAGACACAGAACCAGGGTTTGTAGCACCAAAGCTGTGCTATTTTCTGTGATGTCATACTCATGGAGTTAACAAAGAGATGAGTCAGTTTGAGTCTGGAAGACCAGAAGAAGTTACTTATTTGAAATGTACAGTTTTTCCAGACTTCTTTCTTGTGGTAGGTTATCTTCTTAACCTGTATAAAGTTTACAAATTGATTTTTAAGGGGAAAAAAAAATCCTACTTTTGCTATCAAATATTTTGCTGCTTGTTTTTTTTTCCTTGTCTTTTTTTTTTTTCTTAATGACAATGTCTTGCTATATTGCTCTGACTTGCTTAGAACTCACTGTAGACTAGGTTAGCCTCAAACCTGTGACATTCCTACTTTTGCCTCCTGAATATGGGATTATAAGCATTCAATATCATACCTGATTAGCTGGGTTTTGTCTGACACTAAAGTCCAGGTTAAGCTTATCATAGATAACCCTACTGCCTCAGCCTCTTAAGTGCTGGGATTTTAGATATGAGCCACCAGTCTGTGCTCTGGTTTTCATTTTATTAAAGTAACATTAGACTATGCAGATCAGGCATGTGTTACAGTGTAAGAGTTGAATATGTGCATTCCAGTATTCAGGAGCCCAAGGGCCATTAGCTATGGGAGTAGACTTATCAGTAGACATGAGATGGGACCTAATTGCCATGTAGGAGCATTTGGTTTATAGTAGGAAGGGAAGCATCATAACAAGGATCTGTATTTGCTATTTTGGGGGGGGCGGGGACTGAAGACTGAACCCAGGGCCTCTATCACTGAGCTAAATCCCCAACCCCAGTGATTTGTATTTGCATACGGACTAGTTTACACATAAAGAATGATCTTTTGCAGTAAATAGTTAGAAGCAATGAGTATTAAAAAGAAAAAACAAAAATAGCCAAAGACAGGAAAACTTGCAAAACTCCTTGGGATATAGCTTAATTGGTAGAATGCTTGCACAGCATGTGCAAAGCCCTGGGTTTCAACACCCTATACCATATAAACTGATTGTGATGGCACCTACCTGTAATTCTAGCATTCAGGAGACTGAAGCAGGAAGATCCTAGGTTCAAAGTCCACTCCAAAATTCATTATTTCAGCAATGAAAGAAAAGATTCAGTTATATACTGGCCGGTGTTAAAAGTGTATATATCAACATGGAGTCTTCTTTTAAAAAACTGGCAATAGATCTACCATCCTACCCACCTGGTTATATACCCAATGAATTTTATGTCTTTCTACAAGTACAGAGATACTTGCACATTTGTATTCCTTGCCTCTCAAGTCACAATAGCTAGGAAATAGAATCAGCTTAGATGTCAATCCACTGATGAAGAGATAATGAAGATGTGGTACATAGAATATTACTCAGCTATAATGAAAAATGAAATTTGCATGTAAATAGGTAGAACTAGGAAAAAATACACAGGGTGGGGTCACACAGACCCCCCCAAAAAAACAAATGTCACATGTTGTCTTTCATAATAAGAGTCCTAACTTCAAATCTTTTGGGAGCTAATGATAGGATACGTGTAGAAGCAGACCCTTGGTGGGTGGCTGTATTTCAGGGGGAGAGGATAGTAGGATATAGGCGAAATGAAAGCAAAAAGGGAGACAACTGAAGTCGGCACAGTTGAAGTAGATAGTGGAGTGATGTGGGTGAGGGAAGCTTGCTTGAAGAAGCTCCTTGTACCCTGTGACTTTGCAATTCAAATAAAATGCAAGAGGGTATAGTAGAGCATATGCAGTATGAAAGAATAGTAGAGGGAGTATTGTGAGGTAAGGAAGGGTTAAGCTGAGATGGGGTATGGAGAGGGCAGAGGAGGAGTGAGGGTGAGTTAATCAAAACAAGGAATGTATGAAAAAGCCTATGAAACTCCACTAGTTTGTAAGTGATTTAAAAAAAAAAAAAAATAATTGAAACTGTTGTGGTGCACTCCTTTAATCCCAGCACTGGGGTGGCAGATGCAGGTAGATCTCTTGAGTTTGAGGCCAGTCTGGTCTATAGAGTTTCAGGACAGCCAGGCTTACTCAGAGAAACCCTGTGTTGAGCCCCCACCCCCAGTAAAATAAATAACATTTAAATGCAGTATACACAAAAGTTTGTTTAAAATGTGACAAGTTTAATAATCAGTCCTATGGTTTTGTGGGTTTTTCTTATTTTTTTAATAGTACTGCATAAGATATGTTAATGATGCCTTTATGCATTCCAGATGGCAGGCAACAGATTTTGAGTTTAGGCATGGATCTGCAGTTGGAGTGGATGAAGTTAGAAGATTTTCAAAAGCATCTTGATGGGGAAGATGAGACCTTCGCTACAACAAATACGATTCCAAGTAGTATGTGATTTGCAAATTATTTGGCTCTTCCACAAATCTAGATTTATAAAATCTAATGCACCTTTCTTTTTATTATAGATTTGTTGAGGGATGCTGTGAAAAATGGAGATTATATTGCTGTGAAGGTTGCACTGAACTCAAATGAAGAATACAACTTAGATCAAGAGGTATTATGTTTTGGGGGTGCGGGCTCTCACAAGCATGGAAAATAGTTCTGGCATAATATGGTAGTTCTGTTATTGTCTTAGAAAAGTAAATACATGTTCACATTTTAAAGGTGGAACACCATAGACTTTGTGTAAATGTACTTAGAATCCCTCAAACTCTAGCCCTCCAAAATGACTGGTTTAAGTAGTATATTATTACCTTTTAGTTTTTCAAAACAGGGTTTCTCTTTTTTAACAGTGCTGGCTGTCCTGGAACACATTCTGTAGACTAGGTTGACCTCAAACTCAGAGATCTAACAATCATACCAATGCATGTAAGCTTTTTGTTTTTACATGGAAGCATATTAGAGTAGTCGTTCCCCGTGGGCCCCGACTCCCCCCCCCCCCAAGTCAGGTTTTTAGGTGAGACCTGAATTGTGGAACATTTTTTTCTTTTGAAATAAGAGTCTCATTATATAGCCCATACTAGCCTTGAACTTGTGGTAATTGTTTTGCCTAAACTTTCCAAGTACACTTGCCTCTAATACATTTGTAAAGATACATCTATTGATGTATCTTATGACTTTTAAGTGTCACATCTTTAGACAAAGATTGTATGATTATATTTTTATAGTTTTGTTGCTTTATAAAATTTTATTAACAATTTTATAATATTTTTTTTTTCAAGACAGGGTTTCTCTGTGTAACTAAGAATCTAGGTTGTCCTCAAACTCACAGAGATCTGCCTGCCTCTGCCTCCCAGGTGTTGGGATTAAAGGCATGCACCACCATCACCTAGCCTTATTAACAAGTTTTGTATTGATTTTCTTTTGGGGGGGGGTCTTTTTAAAACTTTTTAATCTTTATTTGTTGGTGGAAAAGTATATGTATAGGTTGCCTTCAGTCATTTAAATGATTTTTTTTCCTTGGAGCCAGGGCCATGTAGACAGACTGTATCACCAAGGGTGACCAACACGTGATTCTCCTACCTTTACCTCTGAGTGTTGGGATTATGTGTGAGTAACAACACTCACTTTGTGAAATTCTTTCTTGATCATTTTAAATAGAGCTTTGGATTTTATAGAGAACTGATCATCTGCTCAAAATTTGCCATTCATTTTACATTAAGAAAACTTGACAGCGTGAGTTCCAGGGTAGCCAAGGCTAAAAAGATTTGTTTATATTTTTTATGTATATGGGTATTTTGTCTATATACATGCCTGTACACCAACCATAAGAGGGTGTCAGATCCCCAGGGATTACAGTTAAAGATAGTTTTTAGATGCTGTGTGGGTGCTGGGAATTGCACTCTAGGACTCAGTCAGAAAAGCACTTGCCACACACGCATGAATGCTGTGAGTTTGGATTCCTGACATGTATATAAAGAGCTGGGCCAACAGCACCTATCTGGGAGGTATAGATATATCCCCTGGGCTTGCCAACCAGTCAGTGTAGCTGAATTAGTCAAAAAAAAAAAAAAAAAAAAAAAAAAAAAAGGAGAGTGGCTGGGGGCTGGGGAGATGGTGGTTCAGTGATTGTGTATATTGGAGAGAACTGCATTATTTCAGTTCTCAGCACATGGGTGGCTCACAATAGCTTATAACTACAGTTGATGTCTTCTGGACTTATACACACATACCCCCACAGAGATATACAGACATAATACATAATTAAAAATAATAAAAATGGATCTTTAAAAATTAAGGTGACTAGCATTTGAAGAAAACAATGGTCCCTATATTTATGTTCATGAATATGTACATGTACAAAAAATCCTGAAGATTATTAGTTTCTGCTTATTTTAGGCTATTTTAGTAAGCAACCTAACCTAAGTGGATGTTTAAATCAGTGTTCTTTAGTGATTTCTCATTGAAATATCTTGACATCAGAGACTTGCTTTTAAAATGTTCCTGATTAAAGACTACATGGTTTCTCAATGAACTCACAGGATTCTAGCGGGATGACACTGGTGATGCTGGCTGCAGCAGGGGGGCAGGATGACCTCCTGAGACTCCTAATCACTAAAGGTGCAAAAGTGAATGGACGCCAGAAAAATGGGACTACAGCCCTCATTCATGCCGCAGAGAAGGTTTGAAACTTGACTGCATGAAGGCACACTGAGAATCTGGTTTTTGTATGGAAATACAGTGGTCATGTTATGTAGTCCTACTTTGTGGTTTCAGTGGGTCTGTGACATGTGATTAATTTTAGCATTAGCACTACTCTGTATTCAGATTTAAAATGTGATTTATAATAAGTACAATTTTTAGTTACAATGACAGTATTTATTTTAACCTTAAGTGATTTAGAGGACTCACATGTAGAATTCTCACATGGAAGCCAGGGAGTAGACTTCAGTGGCATGTGGTAACAGATCAGTGAGGGGACCGGCCCAAGAGGTAGGCACTTGTGGCCTTACAGTGAAGAGGCAGGGAGGTGGTGGCCAGTCACCTGCAGGGAATAGAATCTCTCAGGGTTTTTCCTAATTTCAAAACATCTAGAAGACCTATCTAAAATTTTAAGGAATTGTTGGAATCAAATTTGTTTCTTGTTTTTCTAATAGAACTTTTTAACCACTGTGGCTATTCTTTTGGAAGCTGGAGCTTTTGTAAATGTGCAACAAAGCAATGGTGAGACTGCACTCATGAAAGTAAGTCTCAGTTCCACACTGGGTGTTCATGCTGGTATCTCGGACTGGGGAAGCATAGGAACAAGGTAGTCCCTGGGATTCAGCAGCTCCCATTTAGTAGATGTGGGTCAGCAGAGCGGTAGCGTGTGGTAGGGTCAGTGATGTAAGCTCAGTCTAAGGGACCAAACAACAGCCATGAGGTGGAGGTGGTAGACATCGGGTCAGGAACAGAAGGGACTAGCTGTAGGTGTTTAAGTGAGTGAGAACTCTACTAGAAGCAGAAAGTGCTGGAAAGAGGCACACAGAGTCAGGATTGTACAAAGTATAATTTATTAGAGATTTACAGATAGGTGTCTTGGGTGGTCTCTACACAAGTGGATTCTCTATCTTTTTGTGTTTGTTTTTGTTTTTCAATACAGGGTCTCTGTGGCTTTGGAGGCTGTCCTGGAACTAGCTCTTATAGACCAGGCTGGTCTCAAACTCACAGAGATCTACCTTCCTCTGCTTCTTGAGCACTAGGATTAAAGGTGTGTGCCACCAACGCTCAGTGCAAGTGGATTCTCATATCCCAAGACGGAATGAAGATTTTGTCTGCTAGGCTAAACAGAGACTTTTCCTAGAAGCAATTACTATGTCCAATGCCAGTTAGGAAACTGACATCAGAGGTGCCCTGGCAATACAACCAGGTTCCTTGTAGTCACATGAAAAGTGTGTCCAACATCCATCTTCACAGGTTTTGAGACCTGGGATGGAAAGGAATATGGTATGCTCAAATATGATTATTTTGTATTTGGCCAATCCATCTCCTTTGGAATTGTGGCTTGCAGATAGGTTTTGTGTTAAGATTGTTGAGTGTTCCTGCTGCTCCCAGCTGCCCTGCTTGTATTGTACCATTCTTTGAATGGTAGGTTGTGTGTGGCTCCTTCCTCTGCAGTAGTTACAGGGTTCTGGGATTAAAGGCCTGTGCTGCCACCACCACCTGGCTGTAAATAGTCCTTTTAATCAGGAGTCTGAGTTTATGTCTGTAGTCTTTGTTTGGTGTCTTTCTGTTAGTAGCACATATGTAGACCAGAGGTAACATCTTGGAATACTGTCTTACTGAGAAACGAGTAGACAACAGACACATGTACCTCAGTAGAAGAAAAGAGCACAGGGAGGGGAGTACAGTATGTTTTACAGGATTGGGAGTGTTCCTGAGGGCATTTGGGAAATTGGTTAAGATTAAGGGGTGGGTTAGTTTAGTAGGGAGATGGATTCAGGAAAAGACAGCTGTTTTAGACTTGTAGGGAGGTTCCTGAAGTAAGTGAAGTAATATTAGTCTGTACCTAAATAGTAACAGGGTTCAAGTGAGCAGTTCTTGGGGCTGGAGAGATGGCTCAAAGGTTAAAAGCACTGGCTGCTCTTCCAGAGGACCTGAGTTCAGTTCCCAGCAACTACATGGTAGCTCACAACCATTTGTAATGAAATCTTGTGCCCTCTTCTGACATGCATGCATACATGCAGGCAGAACACTGTATATATAATAAATAAATCTTTTAGAATGAGCAAGCACATCTCCAGCATTTTAGAGGTTGAATTGCAGAACATAGTAACAGGTGATAGTTGATTGTCTTGAGTTAGGGAGCTCTGGCAGCCAAAGGCAAGTAGGAGCTGGGTATCATGCTATGAGAAGGCACCATTGAAAGGCAAAACAGGCTGCTGGGAGAGGTAGGGTGGGACTGTAGCTGGGTCTCCAGAGCCTGGAGAAAAGTATTAGGGCGTTTGTACTGTGGACAGCTCCTCCTAGCCAAAGCCTCTAGTGTTACTTCTTCAGTGCTGCCTTGTTGCCTTGAAAGAGAGCAGCCAGACTTGTGGAGAAAACTACCCACACCAAGTGAAGTTACTATGGTTTACATTTAAGAAATCGCCACTCCTCTTTTTCTGACCTAGGCCTGTAAAAGAGGAAATTCGGACATTGTGCGCCTTGTGATTGAATGTGGAGCTGACTGCAACATTTTGTCAAAGCACCAAAATAGTGCATTGTATTTTGCAAAGCAGTGTAACAATGTGCTTGTGTATGAACTGCTGAAGAGCCATTTGGAAACGTAAGTGTCAGGTGAATGTGCCATGGTTAAGTCAGAGTGAGATAACAGCTATTTATTTGAAGACATCATATTTGGAATACTTTGTGGAGGAAAATGTTCAAAAAAGATTATCTTTTTTGGGCTTCTTAAGTAGATCATGCATTTAATAATTGGCATGTTTGTTGGGTGCATATTTGTACAGATTACTGAAATATTAGAAACCCTGGGAACATCTCCTTACAATGTTAAATCTAGGACTGGAGGCATAGCTCAGTAAAGTGCTTACCTAGTGTGTACAGAACTCTGGGTTTAGTCCTCAGCACTTGTTAAAAGCAAGCATGGTGGCACGTGCCTATAGTAGCAGCTTTGAGGAGGCTAGGGCAAGAATAGTCCTTGGCTACATAGCTAGTTCATGGCCTGCCTAGACTATATAAAAGACTCTTCCTCAAAAAATTTACATCTACTCTTAATTTGGCTACTATTTTCTGTTCTTATGTGTGTACACACATGTGGAGACCAGAGATTGACATCTGTGTCTTCCTCAACTGCTCTCTTCTTAATTCAAGTGCATTTGTTTTTCAAGTGCATTCTGAACTATATTTTAAGTTTCTGTCTTTATCATTGAATAATTCTTTTGATGGGCTGGGGTGTGGTTCTGTGGTAGAGCTTTTGCCTAGCATGTGCTAAAGCCTGCAATTCCATCCCCAGTACCAAAAAGAAACAAAATTCATTGGCAACACCTGCCAAAAATGCTGGTAGAGAAGATGAGGGTCTTATTATTCAGCCAGGTCCCTGGTAAGACACCCTGGAAGAAATAGCCCCTGGCATTCTGAGCTTGAAAACTAGACACTAGGTACTCTAAACAGAAAGTAAATTTTAAGCTGAGTTCCATCTTGTCAGCCAGTCCTGGGCATTTCTCTTAAAGAGTCCCCGGAAGCTAGTTCATCCCTCCCCCTTTTTTTTTTTTTTTCTTTTTCTTTGAGCCTGTCAGTGAGGTGCCCATGGTCCTTTGCTCAGGACTGAGGGGCTCTCATTTCTAATTTTTCACTCATGCATTAGCCAAGTGCTAAGTGAATTTTGTGCCAGACACTGTTTCAAAGGCTGTGTGCAACTCCTGTTCCAACAAGAGATGGATGAAAAGGAAATTTAAAGGCCACTATCATGAGATTAGTCGAGTAAGGCCAGAATTGTTCACAAAGGATGCTGGGTTGTGTGGTATAATCCCAGCTATTCAGGCAGCTAAAGCATAAGGATGAGTTTAAGGCCAATCTGGGCAACATAGTAAAATTCTGTCTCAACATAAAAAGTGAAAAGAGGCTGAAGATGTAGGTAGCACAGTGCTAAAAGTACTTGTTGTGCACCTATGTGAACAAGGTGGGTGGCATGGTCTCATTCACATCTGTCACCACAGCATTGTGAGACAGTGGAGACAGGAGTCACTGTAGGTGTCTGGCTATCAGCCTAACTGGATAGTGAGTCCCAGATTCAGAGAGAAAACTGCTTCAGAGGAATAAGAGAGTGATAAATGATGACACAGTGTTGTCTTTTGCCTACACACACCCACACACAACTACAACACAAAATCAAAAAAGTAGTTTCTAAAAGGTGATCAGAGCTTAGAGATACAGCTTAGTGATAGAGCACTTGTCTTAGCCATGTGCAAGGGCAAAAAATAAAAATAAAAAGCTGCTGGGCGTTGGTGGTGCACGCCTTTAGTCCCAGCATTCAAGAGGCAGAGGCGAGTGTTTCTGTGTGAGTTTGAGGGTAGCCTGGTCTAGAGTGAGATCCAGAACAGGCCCCAAAAGCTACACAGAGAAACCCTGTCTATAAAAATGAATGAATGTATGTGTGTGGTGGTGGCACACACCTTTAATTCCTGCACTTGGGAGGCAGAGACAGACAGATCTCCGAGTTCAAGCCCAGCCTGTTCTGTAGAGTGAGTTCCAGGACAGCCTAGGATACATAGAGAAACTCTGTCTCGAAAAACAAGTTAAGCCAGGTGTCGTAAGCCTGTAGTCACAGCACTCAGGAGGCAGAGGCAGATGGATCTCTGTGGGTTTGAGGCCAGCCTGGTCTACAGAGCTAGTTGCAGGACAGGCTTCTAAGCAATGCAGAGACTACGTTGAAAAGCAAAATTAGTGGAAGGCTTATGGGCATTCAATGTACAGCGTAAATACATCTTTTGGTGGTTTCTTTTTGTAGAAGGGGTAAAGGGAAGGCAGGGTCTCATGTATTCTGGACTAGCCTCAGACTCACTGTAGCTGAAGCTTACCTTGACCTTCTGATCTTCCTTGACTTCCTCCTAAGTACCAGGACTATAGATGCATGCCATCACACCTGATTTATGTGTTTCTAATGATCAAACCCTGGGTTTGATGCATAATACTAGGTAAGCACTCTACCAACTGAGCTACATCCCAAACCCCTAAGGTAATTATTTATTTTAAACTTTAATTTTACAGTTGGGTACAGTGTTATGATGATACAGTATACAATATATAATCAAATCAGCATAGCCAAAGCTTTTTTTTTATTTTGTTAATATATGTAGCACAGTGTAATAATTCAGTAATCTACATTGAAAGTTTTAAAGGTAGGGACTCACTCTAACCTAGGCTCACCTCAAACTCATGGCATATATCAACATTCTTAGTTTTTAGGTATGAATCACCATATCCAACTGTTACAATAACAGTCTTCTGTCTTCGCTCACTAGACTTTCAAGAGTTGCAGAAGAAACAATCAGGGATTACTTTGAATCCCGCCTTACTCTATTGGAGCCTGTTTTCCCAATAGCATGTCATCGGCTCTGTGAGGGACCAGATTTCTCAACAGATTTCAATTACAAGCCACCTCAGAATATACCAGAAGGTAAACATAAGCTCCCCTTCAAACTTGAAGCTATAATCTGTAAAAATGAGCTTATTCCTAAGTAAACCCTTTCCGTTGAAGGACTCTTTAGCAGAAACCACTGTGTAATAGCTTGCAGAGTTGCTCTTGCAGGAGGCCTCCCCATCCCACTTTACTACCATTGTGAGTCCTTTTTAAAATATAGGAGTTGGTTCTTGACAATTAGAGTTGTTACTAAGTTTTACTAAAAGCTTACACATTGCTTCACATTGCTAAGCCTAGAACATTTTTTTTTTCTTCCTAAATTTTTAAAATTATATCTGGGTTCCCTCTTTTTGGTTTCTTTTTTCTGCTTTGTTTATAAATGTTTTTGAGACAGGGTCTCACTGTATATAGTTCCTCCTGGCCTGGAACATGCTATGCAGTCGAACTAGCCTTGAACTCAGAGAGAGATCCACCTGCCTCAGACTCTGTATACTGGAATTAAAAATGTGCTCTATTATGCCTGGCTTGGGTTTTGCTTGTTTTAATATCTTGTCCCAATACTCCTGTTTCAGCCTTCTGAGAACTGGGATTATAGGCATGAACCATCACCTAGCTTAACTTTAAGAAGGCTGACTGGGGGGGGGGGGCATAAATGCTTCCCCTTCCATTGGAATTAATGTCAGAACTATAAGCAGTTAGTTAATAATGCCTAGAAGGTTATATTCCTCAGTAGGGGAGCTGCTACTAAGCTTACCTTGCTTAAGTGAACAACACAGCCATGCTCCATCAAAAACAAAAAGTCTGGTGATTAAAGGCTGATGCCTTTAATCCCAGCACTCAGAGCCAGACAGATATCTGTGAGTGAGTACAAGGCCAGCCTGGTCTACAGCACTAGTTCCAGGATAGCGAGAGATGTTAAATAAAGAAACCCTGTCTCAGAAATGCAAAAATAACAAACAAAAATAGAAGAGAGACCTGTTTGGAGGAAGCAGTTTGGCAGGTGGTTTGGGAAAGGGAAAAAGGGAATATGATTGGATTATATTAGATGAATATATGAAGTTATAAAAGAATAAGTAAAAGCAGAAAGACTGACATGATTTCCTAAGGGCTCTCCTCTGTCTTTCATGTTTGTACCATACACACTGAAGGGAGGGCAAATAATGTTGTCTCCCTTTAATAGGGCTCTGACTGTTCTGTTAGCTTTTTTTCCCCTCAGTTTAAAACTGGGTATTTAGGACTGGTGAGATAGTTCAGTGGGTAAGCCTTCTGCCACCAACTTGATGACCTGAGTTTGATCCCTAAACACATGTGGTAGAGAGAATCAACTCCCAAAAGTTGTCCTCTGGCCTCCAAACACCTGCTGTGTGGGTGCCTGCACACAGAATAAAAAACGGTTTTTTGTTGTTGTTTTAAAGCATTGCTATAACCTACATTGTAATGTTGTATTTATGAGTAGGTTATTGCTGCTGACATGCATTTCAAGATTTACAGGAACTAAAAGATACTCATTTGTACATACAAATACCAACATAAAGGAAAAATTTTTAACGTGTATTTATAATCTGGGTGTGGTTGTCCACATCTATAATCCTAGCACTTAGAACACATATTTGTGTACACATGTGTACAAGTATGCATTCATGCCACAGTGCATGGGTGGAGGTCAGAGGACAACTTTGCAGCAGTCAGTTTTCTTCTTCCACAGTGTGGATCCCAGGGTAGAGCTCATGATCAGGCTTGGTGGGTAAGTGAGCTTTAAGTGGAGAGCCATTGTTTGTGTGCTAGTACAAGTGAAAACCGTTTTTGGAAATTGGTTCTCTCCACCATGTAGGTTCTCCAGGAGTCAAATTTTGTGGTCAGGCTTGGCAACAGGTGCTATCTCCGGGCCATTGGGCAACCTTAGCACTTGTGAGGCTGAAGCAGGAGGCCCAAGTCCAGCGTAGAGTATTTGCTTAATATTCAAAAAACCTGGACTTAGTCGCCAGCAACACATAAACTAGGCTTAGTGGTACATCTCTCTAACCCAGCACTAAGGAAGTGGGGGCAAGATAATCAGAGTCATCTTTTTGGACAGTAGTGAATTTGAAGCTCTCCAGAACTACTTGAAATCCTGTCTCAAAAAAGGAATTTTTTTTTCCCCCTAAGGGAAATGCACCCTTATTATAATTGCTGCCTTGCTAGCTAATGAATTTGGTTTAGTTTTGTCTTTTTTGGCTTAGGCTTATCTTAAGTGCCCATCAGTTCTTCTTCCTTGGCCTGTAAGTTCGGGCTTGGAGCACATGATACTATGACTGAATATTATAGGCGTGTGCATTGCAGGGAAGGGGCATTTGGCTTGATTTTTTTTTGTTTGTTTTTCAAGACAGGGTTTCTTTGTATTGCTTTGGAGCCTGTCCTGGAACTAGCTCTGTAGACCAGGCTGGCTTTGAACTCAAAGAGGTCCTCCTGGCTCTGCCTCCTGAGTGCTGGTACTAAAGGTGTATGCCACCAACGCCTGGCTTATTTGGCTTGATTTTACTATGAACCAGAAGTTATACTATTCTTCTGAAATATTTATAGACAGATAGGTCATCCTGAAATGTAAACCCTGATAGGCCCTAATGTGGCATTTCAGACAAACCCCAGCAGCTGACTCAAAGGCCCATTGTGGTCATTCTCTGTGTTACTCCATTCTTACAAGCATATTCAAAGGAGGGAAGGGTATAGCTCAATGGTAAAATACAGTTTTCACAAGTTCCTCGGTTTGATTCCCAGCACCACCAAAACTCATTAATGATATATAAGCAAAATAGCATTTTCTATACCTTTGGAGAGGCTTTTGATTCTTAAGAACTATAATCACTGGACTGGTTACTTATTACATATGATTACATGTACTTCTACCTCCTAAACCATCTTGCTGTCTCCCAAGATTCTTGGTTTTTTTTTTTAGTGCTTGGGATAAAACTTGAGAGTATTGTGCATGTTATACATAGAGATGCTTACCACACCAAGCTCAATGGCTTACATGATAGGAGCTCACATTAAAGTATCCTTGACTACCACACAATCATGTCAAATTATATAAATTTTGTTTTTTCAACATAACACAGTAACAGTTTTTTAAGAGCGGTTGCTTCTCTTGCGGAGGACCTGGGTTCATCTTTTAGCACCCGCATGAGTCATACACAAAAGTCTCTCCCCTGGGGTTATTTGGACAAGAAGTCGAATTCTGTGGTTTGGAAACTGTAGGATAAAGTGCAAATGTTGTGAGTGGGGGGGGGGGGCTTCTCAGTACAAGTGGCAAGAGGATCTACTCTGTCAGGAGGGATGACCTCACCCCACACTGACAGCATCATCTTCTCTACTCTCCTTCTTCAGGCTCTGGTGTCCTGCTTTTTATTTTCCATGCAAACTTTCTGGGTAAAGAAGTTATTGCTCGGCTCTGTGGACCATGCAGTGTACAAGCTGTAGTTTTAAATGATAAATTTCAACTTCCTGTTTTTCTGGTAAGACTTTCTGTAGTTCATTGGCAATTGTGATCAGAAGCCAGGTAACATAATTTACATTTTTTTAATGTCTGCAGGTGTTTTGAGTGACTTGGTGTGCACTACACATACACATCACACACACATGAAGTCATAAAAGAAAATGATGCATTTTGTTTTAAAATATTTAATATTTATTTTACTGCTAGCATATGTCCTAGAAACATTCTGAGAATAAATTCTTACCCTGAGAACTTTTACGTGAAGCCAGAATATAAAGTATTTGTGTTTATGCTTGTTAATTAATTAGGTTTGATTGGTTGAAATAAAGCTACCATTAAATTTCCTACATAATTGCTGAATCTGAACTCTGGGATCAAACTACTCTAACTGAATTTTATATTTTGCCACTTTTCGAATTCTACCCTAAGGCTAAATTAAGCATTGTTAATTGAGAATAGTCCTATTTCTCCATGCCAGAAGAGGGCACAAGATCTCTAAGCCCTCCATACTACATAAGTTTTAAATGTACTAGAACTTTGTTTTTGTGTTTGATTAATGTCTCAACATGCAGTCCTGGTAGTCTCTGAACTTGCAATGTTCCTCCCATTTCTGCTTCCCAAATGCTGAGATGTGGTCTTTTCTAAAAAAACAAAGGAAATTACAATACTCTGAGTCACACAGACTTGAGTGGTTAAGAACATTTTGTGTACAGGCATGTGGTGGGTGAGGACAGATGTCAACTGTTCACAGGCAGAAGCTGAAAAGATAACACACTCACATGTTTAAAAGAACAAACAATCTTAACCAAAAGCTGAGCCATCAAGTATGAGGAGAGCCTATCCAAAAAAAAATATAATTAAGAAAAAGCCATCATCAGTTCACTGGTTCCTCTACTGTAAAAGGTTCTAGAGTTTATAGATTATCACAGATGTCTCTTTGACTTTATTTTCTCTCTTTCCCCTCTAGGACAGTCACTTTGTTTACTCATTCAGCCCTATTGCTGGCCCTAATAAGTTGTTTATACGGTTGACGGAAGCACCCTTTGCCAAGGTGAACAACTCTGTTTTATATTTAGGGTTACTGCTCAAGTTGTCTGAGCCGTCCAAATGCTGACATGAACACCATGTGGCTAGGCTCATCTAGGAAAGCTATCTCCCTATGAAAGGAAGCTGAAATCTCTCTAGACCAGGCTGGCTTTAAACTCAGAGATCCGCCTGCCTTTGCCTTCTGAGTGCTGGGATTAAAGGAGTGTACCAGCACCATACTAACATTCATTTGTCTTATTTAGGTTAAGTTGCTAATAGGAGCATACAGAGTGCAGCTGCACTGACCAAAGGACTGAGACCAGCACCATCTTTGTAGCAGTGTGAAATTCTGGGGCACCTGAAATGTTCAAACGTAGTTCCTGTAAACTTGCAATCTAAGCCTGTTGCCTGCCTGGTAAGGTACAACAGGGGCTTTATCGTACATAGTCTACCTGTGTTTGTGCCATTGTTCAAAATGTTCAATGTTCTGCATAGTTTTATTTCCACAATGTGGAACAGTACATATGAGAACTATTTAATTAAACTTTTGAACTTCTCTACTGATCTTTGTGAGTTGTCTTTGAAAAAAAAACAAACCAGGGGGTAATGGCAATAATGTTGTGAATTCAGGGTCACCCATGCCTATAACATGAGGCTTTCCAAACATTCACTTGCACTTGGGAGACAGGAGAATGCTACTTGGAATTGTATTTGAATAAAACCTAGCCCATTCCCTTTGTACAGTGAGGCAGGAGGATCAGAAGCTCAAGGACATCTGAGAACTGTAATTGCAAAATCAGGTTTTCCTGGTCTGTTGCTGCTTCTGGGGCCATTTGGGGTTTTGCATGTGACCTGTAAGAGACAAAACTTTCATCAGTAAATAGGAGTCATACAGTTAATACATTTTTACCTACTTAGGTGTTCTCTAATCCAGTGGCTCTCTCTCAGATACACACATACACCATATCTTAGACACCCCCCCCCCCCCTTCTTGGAACCCTGGCTCTCTTGGAACTCACTGTCCTCAAAGCCCCATTTTTGGAACCCTGGCTCTCTTGGAACTCACTGTCCTCAAAGCCCCATTTTTAAAAACAAGGTTTTGCCAAATATAAGCATATACTAACCATAAGTTTGTACTGAAATCAGTCATGACACTTCTGTTAATTTAAAAGTACATTTGACATTCTTAGTAATTAACTTGATTTGCATATCTTGCTATAGTTAACTGGTTTCCATGTTTCCATTTCATCCATATTATAAAACACACTTACCATAAAAAAAACCTCTATGAAGGACATAGGCTGGGTGTTGATGGCATACATCTTTGATTCCTGTGAGTCATTCGTGTAGATGCACCTCTCAGATCTCGGGCAATACCTTCCCTGCTGATCAACAGCACCACACCTGAAACAGCCAGAACAGGGCAAGAACACCAGAAAAAGTTACTATCGGGGTTTTTGCCATGACCTATCTATCTAATCTTTTCCCCTCACCCCCTGTTTGGTTTTTGACAGGGTTTCTCTGAATTGCTTTGGAGTCTGTCTTGGAATTCACTCTGTAGAACAGGCTGGCCTTGAAGTCTCACAGATCCTCTCAAATGCTGGGATTAAAGGTGTGTGCCACCAATACCAGGCTCTCTATAAAAACCTTAACAAAATTTGTGATTCTTTCCTAACCAGGTGGGAGGAGAAAGGATCCAGTATCCCTAGCATACCTATGTTACAATATTTTTAATATCAGACTTTCCAAAGGATCCTAAGGTAAAAGTTGTAAATCGGGATGAGGAGCATGGCCAAGCTTGTAGGCATGCCTGAGCAACAAGCCTGCAAACAAAAGGTGCGTGTCTTCAAACAAATCCATTCCTATGTCTGAATCATCTAGCTCATGAAAAAAAGCACCTTCCTCCTCATACATGAACAATGCTATGGAAACATTGGAGCAGAGCTCCTAAAGTGTGCCTTTTTGTTTGGCAATGAAAGGTTCTGGCAGATTAAACCTGAAGTCTCGACTCAAACAAAATATATTCTGATGACATGGATCTAGCACCTAATCCCCAAGGAAAAGGATAGAGGTGATTTTGGAATGGCAGTACATAAGATATTGGGAGCTTGGGGCCATGGTGAGAATCTGGTTGTAGACAGCAAAGAAGAAAACACATGTATGTACTATATATGTACTGATTTTGAGACTGGAAGGGAAAGACAGCCTCTTCCTTCTCTCTCCCTCCCTCCCCCTTCCCCCCTCTCTCCCCCTCTCTCTCGCTCTCACTCTGACTCTCCCTAGATGTATGTAGCCCTGGCAGTCTTAGAGAATACTTGTTGGGATGTCATTTCTCACACTCCAGTATAACTCAAAATTACATTATATTCAAGAATGCAAGAAAGCAATCAAGAGCATAAAACATCATCCTTGCAAAATGGACACAGGCATCCTTGCAAAATGAGGCCAGTGGGACTACCAACCAAAAAAGAATGAGTGGTTCAGTGGTAGACACTGGCCAGACAAACTCTGGGTTCAAAGCTGCAGGACTACCAGACAGGATCGAGTGGCTGACTGGCAGGGTTGGTCTCTGTGAGTTCAGCCTGATCTACAAAGTGAGTTCCAGTCAAGGCTACACACAGAGAAACCCTGTCTCAAAAACCAGGGTGTGTTTGGGGGGGGGGGAGCGGGAAGAGGAGGAGTTTGAGTTGTTCATGCTTGTTAGCCCAGCATTCTAGCTGATGCAAAGGGACTATAAGATGCAAAGACTGCTCTGGTAAGAGACTGCCTGCTCTCCAAAAGCCCAGGTTTGATCCCCAGCTCACAACTGCCTGCAATGCCCACTTCTTGAATCTATAGGCACCAGGCACACATAGTGCACATACATACATGCAAAAACAAAATACTCATAACACAAAAATCTAAGAAAAAAGTTGAAGACCACTTTAGACAACACAGTAGGTTACATAGTAAGACTGTCTCAAACCAGACTAAGACAACCTATGTCAATGGTAGCAAGCACAATCCAGAAGAGTCAACTGACCTAATGCAGCAGTGTGAACCCAACATTCCTGGCTTTCAAGCTCTTCTGTAGTAGACCAGCAGCTTGACTTATGGCAGTTTCATGTTGTCTTAACAACCTAGAAATAGAAAAATAAGATTTAACCCTTTAAAAAAAAAATCAAACCATGTAACTGGTCTCTTCAAATTTCCTACAGTAATCAAGACTTCACTAAAATAACGCTTGGTATTCATGAACTACTTTTATTTTAAAAAATTAGTTTTATTCAGAAGGTAATTTCTCTGATCCAAAAATAATCCATATTTCCTTAACACTGGCTTAATTAAGATTCAGATTAACACTAAATTCTAAAAGATACTCAAATTTGCTAACAATTGAAAATTTTTATGTATATTATTATGTGTGTGTGGGCAAGCCACAACATAGGTCAGAAGACAACCTCTGGGAGGACATTCTCTTCCAGCATATCAATTCCAGAGATCAAACTCAGATGGTCAGGATAAGCAGCAAGTGTCTTTACCCACAGAGCCAATTTTGACAGTCCATTTCAAAAACAGGAAAAAAAACCCATATGCATGGTGGCACATGCCTTTAATCCCAGCAGCTCTCTGTGAGTTCAAGGACAGCCTATTCTCCAAAGTTGAGTTCCAATACAGCAAGGGCTACACAGAAAAATACTATCTTGGGAAAAAAAAAAAAAAAAAAAAAAGGCTTTTAAAATTGATCCTTCATCATCACAGTACTCCTTCACAGATTACAGGTCCCCGATGGCTCCAAGGTTAAGAGTAGCAGAACATTGAGGTTTGAATACCAGCTCATAAGTGACTGTAAACTCCAGCTGTAGGGGATCCAATGCCTGTGGTCTCTGTAGGTACCAGGCACATGTGTACTAACAATACATACATTTTAAAAAAATAAGAGAATCATATAATCTTAACATCTGCTATATCCACAAAAACTTTCTGTACTTGTACTAGTACGGTCAGCTACAGCTATCATGCATGCTTCAAGACTTTCCCCTTGGAATACTTTAGATAATGTTCTCCAATATAGCATAAACATGCAATTACAGTCATCTGATGCTTGAAAAATGTTTCTATAGCATACTGGAAACATGAATAAAGTAGGACACAATAGTAATGTAATAATCACAATGATCAGACTTAGGTTCAGTTTCTTTTGTTTTGACAGGGTTTCTCTGTGTAGCCCTGGCGGTCCTACAACTCACTCTGTAGACCAGGCTAGCCTCAAACTCACAGAACCTGCCTCTGCCTCCCAAGTGCTGGGATTAAAGGGTGAAGGCCATCCTCCACCCCACCTGTTCTCTTCCTTTAAAAGTTAATGTTTAGTTTGTAAATAAATACAATAAAGTAACACTTTCGGGAGATAATAATCTGGGGGAAAGTCATATTTGACTAGAAATCTCTTAGGGATTTTGCATTTTCCTCCAGAGATTTAGGGTGGTGTGTGCGTGCGTGGAGAGAGAATGTGAATATGAAAAGTTTCAGTTTGAAAGTTAGGAGTATATAACCACAGAACACTAGAACTCTACATATAACAGTATGGCTTTGAAATGCCACTGATGTAAGAAATGCTGCCCCAAACTCAAATCTGGATGGAATATTCATGCAAAAAGGCTTACTATGTACCTTAGTGGTTTATAGAAACTATGGTTTGTTATAAAACCTTCTTTGAGTGTACCATAAATCAAATAAAAAGATTGTATTGACAAAGTATGGGGAGGGAGCCTCTCTAAGCACACCAAAAGATGAAACAAGGGCATTTTTTATATACTCAGATACACAGTACCATGCATACTCCTATGATTGCAAGAATATTTCAAGGAAAAGAGACCCTGTTAACCAATGCATCATTCTCTGGGCCTTTGAGTGGTAGAAAATGATACCTCTTTACTGCGATGTACATATTACACTCTATGTATAAGAAAATAAAGAAGGCCTATATAAAACAGCTGGGTGTTGTTGGTGCACACCTTTAGTGCCAGCACTGGGGAGGCAGGGACAGGTAGGTCTCTGAGTTCAGGACAGGCTCCAAAAACAATACAGAGAAACCCTGTTCAAAAAACAAAACAGATAAAACACACATCCCAATATTATGGAGGCTGTTATTCAAATCACACGTGAACAGTAAAATCTCAATGCAAACATTGAAAAATTCTTCCTATAAAGTAACCTAAAGAAAAAGTGACATTTCCTGATGTCTATAGTTTCTTAGCCAGTAAGAATGACTTTCTACGAGAATGCTCCCTACTCAATAGCAGGGATTCTTTCTCAAGAAATGCATCTTTGGCGATCTGTAGGTTTTGTAAGTCTGGGATTCTTATTAGCAAATATGACAAGAGAGCCTGTGGAGACCAGGCTGTTTGCATTGTGACAGACAAAATACAGGCTACTAAAGCAATAACAGTATGATAGAATATTTTCTCAAGAAACTTTTTTCCTTTAATATTATTAAACTTTTGTCTGCAACACCACGTTAACCACTAAGCCATCTTAACACCTCATTACCATTAAAGGTTACAGGTAACATTTGATATTAGGTT